TGGGACTACCTGTCAACTGTGGCAGGAACAGGAAGTGAAGGATCAACATCAACAACACTTCGAAATCCTCGTGGAATATTTCTCGATGAGAATAATTCAACTCTCTTTGTTGCTGATTGTGGAAACAATCGAATACAGAAATTCCGCTTTGGTTCATTTCAAGGTGAGACAATTCTTTCGAATGGAACATTTCAACTGAACTGTCCAAATGGAATCACTCTGGACGGTCAAGGTTTTGTATTTGTCGTTGATTCTAACAATCATCGAATCATCGGACAAAATTCGAATGGTTTTCATTGTTTGATCGGATGTAATCAATCAGCGGGATCTAATCCGAGCCAATTGAGTTCTCCGTCAAATCTTCAATTTGATTCATTTGGAAATCTTTTTGTCGTTGATCAGCAAAATCATCGGGTTCAAAAATTTGATCTAATTATCATTTCAAGACGTAAGTTGAAAGGAAAAATCAAAGAAACAAATCATTTTCAATTGGAAACTGTCTGAAACTGTTTCATTCGGAAAGTTTTCCACGGATTTTGTGAAAATTAACGAAAGTCTAGTTTTATATGAAAGAAAAGTTTGCTTTTGTATTGTCATTCTCATTTCGAAGATTTTGGGAAGAAAAAAAAATCGAGTTTTGAGTTTGTGTTTGTTTAGAATGGAAATCAACTGGAACGATGAGTGTTGTACGAAAGGATCATACAGCATCGATTTTAACAAATGGAAAAGTCTTAGTCACTGGTGGGCAGACTAATAGTGTTTATCTGAATAGTGCTGAATTGTATGATCCATCTACAGGCAATTGGACAACAACTGGAAACATGAGTGTTGCACGAGTATATCATACAGCATCGCTTTTATCAAATGGAAAAGTCTTAGTCACAGGTGGAGCGAATAGTGTTTCTCTGAATAGTGCTGAATTGTATGATCCATCAACAGGCAGTTGGACAACAACTGGAGCGATGAGTGTTGTACGAAAGGAACATACAGCATCGATTTTAACAAATGGAAAAGTCTTAGTCACTGGTGGATGGACTGATAGTGCTGAATTGTATGATCCATCAACAGGCAATTGGACAACAACTGCAACGATGAGCGCTGCACGGTATCGTCATACAGCATCGCTTTTAACAAATGGAAAAGTCTTAGTCACTGGTGGGCAGACTAGTAGTGTTTATCTGAATAGTCCTGAATTGTATGATCCATCAACAGGCAATTGGACAACAACTGGAAACATGAGTGTTGTACGAGTGTATCATACAGCATCGATATTATCAAATGGAAAAGTCTTAGTCACTGGTGGGCAGACTAGTAGTGTTTCTCTGAATAGTGCTGAATTGTATGACCCATCAACAGACAATTGGACAACAACTGGAAATATGAGTGCTGCACGAGTGTATCATACAGCATCGATATTATCAAATGGAAAAGTCTTAGTCACTGGTGGTGTTTCTCTGAATAGTGCTGAATTGTATGATCCATCAACAGGCAGTTGGACAACAACTGGAACGATGAGTCTTGCACGGTATCGTCATACAGCATCGCTTTTATCCAATAAGACTATATTAGTGACAGGTGGATGTTGTTATTTCAGCAGTGCCGAATTGTATTGATCAATAAACACGTTCAACTGAAAACTTTTTTCTTTTTCAAACTAAAAACAAGAAATTGTGAAAATGGAAAACATGTTGAGCTGAGAAAAGATTAAATAAATTGTGACTGAAAAGATCTATTTTTCATTTCTGTTTCAACTTCGAACGAAATTAGCACGAAGAACTTGAAGGAAACAAATGATGTTTTGATGAAAATCAAATTGAAAAGTTGATTTGTCGATAGAAAAAATTCTGACGAAATTGATTTTATTTTGCAAAGACAATTAATGAAACACAAATCTTTCGTGAACAATCTTTGCTTTTTTTCATGTAAAAATACAAATTGTGATGAATTAATGAGAAACATTCGAATCGAAGAAGATTTCACATGAGAGTGAAATCTGTTTGCAAAGAGTTTGTTGATGATTTTAGTCAAGAAAAAGGAAATTTCTGCGGCGAATGAAGATTTCCCCAATGAATTTCTTTTATTTATTGTTTAATAGAATTTGTTGATCGATGAAAATGAGAAGAATTGAGAAATGGATTTGTTTTGATGATTATTGAAGCAATGTGTCTTGAAATGAATATTTTCACATGTGAGAAGTATATCTCATGTTAATCAATTTTTATGAACAGAATGAAAGAATAAATGAAACGATTCGAATTAGGAATAACATGTTTTTTCGATTAGATCGAATCGAAATGCCATTGATCTTCGCTGTTATTATTGCGTACAAATCAAATGGTCAATATTTTAGTGTGAACGTTCAGTAAAATGTAATTAGTATTTATTGTATGTGATCAATGTCACGTCTTGAAAACTAATGAAATGTTTATGTGGAAATTAACAGCAACTGAGCCCACAACATAGAAAACGTTTGGCTATATATATATAGGATAAGGCAGAGGAATATTACTTTGAGAATATTCCCTAAGGACTACATGGAGTGTTTTTGTAGGATATTTCCTAGGAAGACAAGAGATCCTATTGTGATGTCAGTACGTCACAAATGTGTATGTTGGAAAAACGACGTTCTTTTCTTTTGACGTTGCGTCGATGTATGTGTGACGGAGAAAATGTTTTATTCGTCACACGGTGTGCAGTATACATCAGAATCGCATTAACGACACCTTATGCAAATATTGCGTTCTTATTAGTCGCAAAATGCGCCACATACTGTAAAATAAGTCATGTCTTCTTCGATTCGTACTTGCGCCATTACTAAATGCGAAAATTCGTCTTTTGCTTTATGCAATTGCTGCCAAGAACTTATCTGCATTGATCATTTGAAAGTACATTCTGATCAGTGTAATGCACAACTTCTACCAATAGCCGATGAAGTCAACCAATTACTAGAACGACTGAACGAAGTGAATTCGACCGAATTAATATGTGTGAAACAATTGGAAGAATGGAGACAAGCTGCACATAGATTAGTCGATTCATTTTGTGAGCAAAAACGTCATGCCTTGCTCAATAGGGTGCACAAACGAGAACGAGAAAAACTTGACAATTGCCGAGGTAAATTAAACGAACTAATTCGAAAGAAAGGTGGCACTCCAGAAAATATAGAGTCGTTGAGAAATGATATTCGATTAATCGAACAGAATCTCAATGAGCTCAAACACTTTCAATTAGAATTACAACCATTAGTCATTGACAGCGATTTAATTACTATTCCACGATTGAATCAAAATATTCTTCAACTTTCGATTCCCGATAAAAAAATCGAGTGCGTATCACCGCATTTCTACCTCTTGGCTAGTAATGACCAATACTTGTTGGCTGATATCGGTACCGCTTTGTGTCTGCTCGATCTTGATTTAAACATTGTGAAAGAAATAGATTTTACGTATGGTAGCATATGGGATATGTTTTGGTCTTCGAAAATCAGTCGATTTTTCGTAATGACTAAAAACAGAATATTGACATTCGATATAGTGACAATGAGTATTCAATTATGCGGGATTCCTTGTGATTCAGACAGTTTATGGACTCGTGGAACATGTTCTGATGCGAGCTTGTACTTGTCAGCGATATCAAACGAAGACAGTGCATTTATTCATGAATTCACGTTACCCTTAACTTCATTCGTCAGAACACATCGGCTACCTTCAAGCTCAAACGTCGGTAACTCAATTCGAGATATAAAATTTCGAAGTGATTCATTCATTATCATACGAGGTGATTGGAAACCACACTCCGCCACGTGTCTTGAGCTGCGTTCAGCAATAACACTTGATTGTCTGTGGTCAGTTCCAATTGACACTGCGGGTCGCTGCTATTATATGAATAAGAATAATTGGATAGTTGTCGATTACTACAAGGAGCAACTCCTTCGTATCTCCATGGATGGAGCAATCGTAGAACAAAGTAAATATGTGCCAGGACCAACAGACGTACTTCCATGGAATGATGACTTACTCATAGTGCGAACTGCGAAACAAATAAACCTGCATGTGCTTCAATGAATTCTGTGTAATGTGAATGCGAGTGTGCTTTGAAAGTATTTAGTGGAAACAAAGAACCATATTGAATCTTAATTAGTCCTGCGACACATATATTTAATAAAGAATAAAGAATAATACTGCTACTGATGGTTTTATGAGAAGGCATAGTTCAGGAAAAACTGTGTATTATATAATTGTATGAGAAAAGAAGTCTTTATTGTTCAGTTGATTTAACATTCTGATCATTGACTGTGAACAATCGCATGAAAATGAATGCGATAAGAAAATTAATTTATGTCGAAAACGAGCTGTATTCGTATCTGCTACTGATCGCCATGTATTTGAGCGGTAGCCGTAAACTTCAGCTGAGCGAAGAAATATGTAATCACTGCATGACCAGTCCCCACTGAGAAGCACAAAACCAGACAGGAATAAAACGGCACTAGGTTCAATGTGTCCTTGAATTGTGTTTGCATCAGGGACAAACGAATTTCTTATTGGATTGTATAAACATGTGGTAATATTAGCCTCAGCACCACCAGTGTTCAGAGATGGCAGATACATAGCGGTAACGTGTGTTCGCTTGCTAATCATCGATGTTGGCATTGTCCACTTATTGGAAGTGAAATCGTATAAGCCACAGGATTGAAAAGTGGCCGATGTGCAATCGTAGTCTCCCATTACTAGAATTTTTATTTATCAATGTAGGTAAGTAGACCGTTGAACTTATATTACAGTCATGACCGATTTTGGTGTTCGGTTGTAATGGTAGAATAGCTTTTTGATCCATTTCTGGTCAGATCATGCGGGTCATAGTGTAAAAGAGACGAGTAATTGTATGGTAGACCGAGAGTGTCTGCTACTGCTTTAGAGAGTTGTTCGAAATTCTTCTGAAAGTAGCTTAGAAATTAAACGTGCCACCATCATAAGATGCTAGACAAACGAGAAGTACCTGGAAGAGCGGTGTCGTTATCGATTCGAACATATGTGTCATGATCTGGACGTGACAGATACCTAAATAAAATAAGATATTTAAGATTTAAAAAACTGTTGATCATATCGCAAAGTTACTTGCCTAATGTGCGCATTAATTCGTCCATAATTACTCCAGATCTGAGCAAAATCGCAATTATCGTCCTACTTTTCCCAAATGATGTAGCATCCGATCATGATATTCTACAATTTTAAAATGAAAAGAAATAACATAAGCGCAATGTTCCTCAATAGCTATAACTTACGTGTTTCTCGTAGTTTTTATGATAAAGCTATCGGGATCTGAGGGGGCATTAAATATGAATATTCAATGTGCGGAATTCGATCGTATCGGTACTGTAGAAGCATAGAAGTTTGTTGGAATAACAATGCACAATGCGAACTATATTGAAAGTAGCGGCAACCATTCTTTGCGCTAAAAAATTGTATTCACAAATGTAAAGAAACTCGTTTTAGCGCACGTCTTTATATAATCTGTTCAATAGTGGTCAACGGTAGAAATCGAACATGACCTTCAGAAATTAGTAAGACATCATTTATGGTAAAAAAGGGATTGATTTTTCACTCTTTTAACAGATGATTTGAAAGTGTTTATATAGCATCTTGATATGTCATCACTTCCTCGGATTTCAGATCCGAAAAATATTCCGCTTTGAGGAAGATTGAATGAAAGAGAACAATGTATTACAAAACTGCTCTTTGGTGTAGTCATTTTTCAATTACCATTTCATAATCTCTCTACTATTATTTTATTCGTCTTGAATTTCGCAATTACTTCAAGTTCAGCTTCAAGAAATAATTACGTTGGTCTGGCGCTTACTATTGATTCTTATTTTATTAGTTTCACATTGACGAATATTTATTGTGGGAAGAGTGTGGAATGAATATCAGGAAGTGCACGCAATAAGTTCTTGCCCAAGCCATCAGAAAGGAAACTTCATTTACAAAGAACGAACTCTTAGTACAAAGAATATCATTCATATTAAGTTAGAAAATTTATTACATCATCTCTTTGAGTCTTCAAAAAAAAATCTTGAATTGTAACTGTTCTTCTTCGTTCGAGAACAAAACATGGCAAAACTGTTCATAATAGATAGTATGAGAAACTACTTATGATCTTTCGTTGCATTGAAATGTCAACCATTTAGAAAGAATACATACAAAATAGTTTAAGCTAAGGAATCGAAGAGAAGTCGTCGGTCGTCCCGAAGGTTAAACGAACCATCGTCTGATTCGAAGCACTTCATTTTTTTAAAATAAGATTATTTTGATGAACAGAAATTCTCAAAGTTCGTGTGATAAGCAGATAATGGACTTTTTATATTGAAGTCTGTGCAGTTGATGCTTTGGTTCGTTTTAGTTTTGTTCGTTTTTCCATTTCAATCAAATTACTGTTTTCGCTTGGTAACAATTCCGTTGTGAGCGAGAAATATTTTCTCGTGTTTTTTAATAGTATTTTTCTCCTCCTTACAATGACTTCTTTTAGAAAAAAAAAGCATACAACTTTTCTGTTCTGTGACTTCTGAGTAAATTTTGTTGACGTTGAATCCACGTTGTTATGTAGTCACTCTCATTTGCAACGAAGACAAATGGCGTCTACAGAAGAGAGAAGCTTTTGCAAAATCTGTAACAAAGAAAAACGAACTGTGAGATGCGATGGATGTTTACAATCATTTTGTTATGCTCACTTAACCGATCATCGACAAGGATTAAACATTCAATTGGACTTAATCGAAAGCAACTGTGATCTATTTCGACAAACACTCAATGATCATACAAGCAATCCTCAAATGTCGTCCATGATGCAAAAAGTCAATCAATGGGAAAAAGAATCGATGGACAAAATTCAACAAACAGCAGATGAATGTCGAAGATTGATTACTGAACATTTAGATAAGAACATTCATGAAATCGAAGCTGAGTTCAGAAAGTTTGCTGATCGAGTCAAATACATTCGCAAAGAAGATGATTTCAACGAAATTGATTTGAATGAATTTGATACTAAATTAAAACAATTACAACAACAACTTCATCAACCATCTATGTTTTCTATTCAACAAAACTCGACTTCACTTATCAACAAAATTCAGATTGTGACATCTTCTGGTGAGTCAGTTATATATTTCTGTATGAGAATAATGAAAACGGAACATACAGGACGTGAGAATTTGCGAATATAGACTGAATATCCATGAAATCAACGAAGTAGATGTTTTTGTTTAATTAGAGGCAAAACATCAAATAAAGAGCAAGAATATAGCTGTGCAAGTCAAAACTCCACTAGCAGCACCACTTTGGTATCAACCATTTCAAGTATCTAATGTTCGAAGGTACATGAATACAATATTCTTTACTGCCTCACCACGGATTTTTAAGTTATTTTAGAACAGACTCAAACTATCCAGAATGCAAAACTAGTACGACACAATATTCAGTCGAAGATTGTGTTGATGATCCTCGAACAGAGAACAAGGACAATGATATCAACCTTGAGACATGTCCGATGTGTTATTGGCAATTTCCACCATCTATGTCAATGCCGGCAAAACACGAGCATATAGAAAGTCATTTTTAATAAGATTAACAAACTACACTACGTAGTTGACTTCAAATTTTCTTTCTGATGGAATACAATTTCAATATTGAGAACACGTATGCAATTCTATCATTCACTTTCTCATCTAGTCTAGATGTAATATGATACTGAGTGAAATAAAATAAACTGTCTGAGACATTTTTTAACTGTATGAATATCTTCAATTGGAAAAAACCCAGGTGTGTGTTTATTTAAGAAAAGTATTGTTTACTTTTCTTCTAATATCTTATGACAGGTAAAAAAAATCAACCATGACCGATTTCAGGAAGAGAATCGATAAATATACCTTGTGTAGAGGTAAAACTTACCTTAAAAGCAACAGATTAATCACTTTCTATACATACAGCATGTTATGCACGGATGCGACCGTAGTCTTAGATGTAATGAATACAGATGCCAATAAAACAGTTGATCAAGAAGAACAAATTAGATGCAGAACGATCGCTATTCGTCGGCTTATTCGAAAGATCGACTGGCGATTTATTCCATTTTTGTTTCTTCTCGAAATGTTACAGTATCTTATTCGTATTAGTATTGGTAGATAATTTCAACATGAATAGTTCCTTATCAACGAATCTAATGTTATTCTTTAGGTCACGCTAAATTAATGGACATCGGCAAGGATATAGACCTATCAACGACTGATCAGCAATTAGCGGTTTCACTTTTCTTCGTAGCTTATGTAAGACAATCTGTATAAATCAATTCAAATATATTTATAATATGTGATTTCGTTCAGCTGATCTTTGAGCTACCCAGTATTTTCCTGATGCGTTATCTGGGACCAGCTTCGTATCTTCCCATCAGTATTTTTGCATGGGGTTCCCTCACTGTTGGCATGGCTTTCGTTAATAATGCTCAAGCACTCTTTGCAGTTCGATTTCTTCTCGTAAGTGAATTAAAACTTCAATAATGACACTTCTATTTCTCAATCCGAAGGGTATCGCTCAAGCAGCATTTTTTCCCGGTCTCGTCATATACATCTCAATATGGTATCCTAAAAAGTATCATATGATGAGACTTGCAATTCTCTATGGCGCTGCGATCACTGCTGGTGCATTAGGTAGCATTCTCGTATGTATTTCTGATAATCTCATGCTTAACCAATTACTCTACTTTTGATTTACAGGCATATGGTTTCAAAAAGATGGATGGTAGTAGAAATCTGAATGGATGGCAATGGATGTTCTTGATTGAAGGTTTACCAATGATTCCCCTTGGTATTGCTACGTTCTTTCTGCTTAGTAACATACCCGATAATGCAGATTGTAAGAACTTCAAAACTAGGACACATGTGTTTACATCGATTTTGCTTCTAAAAAGGGTTAACTATGCACGAGAGGAACCTTTTGATCAATATTCTCCTTCAAGATACACCTGTCGTTCAGTTCGATCATCGTCGACTTTCCTGGCGACAAGTTTCTCATGCATTTATTGATCATCGAGTTTATCTCTATGTTTTGATCACAACTGGTGTTTTAGGTATTATCAAATACCTTTCAACATATCTCCCATCGATTATCAAAGACATGGGCACTTCAACCGAAGTGGTACAATTAATGACAGCACCACCATACGGTTTTGCATTTCTAATGTGTTTACTAGTTGCGTATTCATCTTCAAGAAAAAATGAACATGGATTTCATTTAGTGTTCTGCCTATTTGTTGCTCTACTGGGTTTTATCCTTCTAGCTGCTGTAAACAATTTTAGTCAAACAGGAATGTATGTGATCGGTTGTGTTATTTGTTGTGGCGTATTTTCCGCACTTCCTATATTATTATCCTGGGCGACGAACAATATCGATGGTCACACAAAGAAATCAATCGCTATCGGATTCATGATTGGTGCTGGCCAACTCGGTGGTATCATATTCCCTCTAGTAAGAAACCATTGTAGTCAATATTGATGATAAACTTGTTTTTATAGATTAATGATGACATCTCAACTAGTCGACGCAATAATCTTATTTGTCTTGGAATATTAGCAGTTAGTTTAATTGCGACGATTATTTTACGTGTTTGCTTGATAGTTGAAAATCGACGACGAGAAAGACTAACCCCGGAAGAATATGAATATGAAGCAAATATTAAAGAACCGTGTGATTGGGTAAATTCGTAGAAAAATTTCTCATTTCTTTATCTTTTTCTATTTTATAGCATCCCAGTGTTCGATACACCCTTTGAAATTTCAATCAAAGCGAGTTTCGTGTCTGTGAAAATATCGTTTTTCGTTTTTAAATATTTTCTAAAAATAAATTATATGTGATATATTACTTCCTTTTTCCAACATAGACAAAGGGCGAATAGAAAAGTCGATTGATCGTCAAAACAAAACTGATTTCTATTTGTGGACACCCATCGCATACACCTATTTCATCATAAAAGAAAAAGGGATTTTTCCTCGTGATTATAATAGAAAACGATTATATTATTCATCATGTATGCTTTTATCGGTACTGACGCAAACGTTTGTAATTACAAAGCATTGATTTAAAGCATCCTCTATTGTATTCAGATTTGCACTGAGCTTCTCGCCTAATTATCATGTCACTTGATGAAGCCGCTCCTAGATACGGCTACATATGGGAATATCGAAGCGATGCAGATCCGTGGGATACAGAACGAGTTCCCCAGTGGACACAATATTCTAGTGCTACATCACTAGCAATTGAAAACGCCAAGAATCAACAATCCAAGGAGATATTTATTGAGAATAATTATCGTATTGACTTGGAAAAATATGTTCAGCAGCATACGATAGACTTACATAGACAAAGACCTATTCGGCGACGACGACAACTGTTACAGCACGATTTAATCAATAATTCCTCAGATAGCGAAAGTATTAAATCTCACCGAGAACGGATGTCATACTGTTNCATTGAATACAGATTGATCAGTTTTATACTCTATTAATAAAGAAACTCGATAATTTCAAACAAAAAACGAAAAATGGGAAACTTGTTGAACCGAGAAAATATTAAACAAATTGAAGGGAAATCAGACTCTACTGACTTCCTGAGTAAATCTTTGTGGAAAGAAGAGAAAACAGGAAGATCGATAAGAAAATGATTGAAGAAATTTATTTTTCATTTCTGTTTCAATTCCGAACGAAATTAGCACGAAGAACTTGAAGAAAACAGATCAAGTTTTGATGAAAAACAGCTTGAAAAGTAGATTTGTGAATGGCAAAAAATCTGTTGAAAATGATTTTGTTTCGAAAAGAAAAATAAAGAAACAAAAACCTTTCGTGAACAATCTTTGCTTTTTTTCGTGTAAAGATGCAAATTATGATGAATCAAGGAGAAACATTCGAATCGAAGAAGATTTCACATGAGAGTGAAGAATTTTTGCAAAGAGTTTGTTGATGATTTTTGTCAAGAAAAAGAAAATTTTCTGCGGCGAATGAAGATTTCCCCAATCAATTCCTTTTATTTGTTGTACATAGAATTTGTCGATCAATGAAAATGAGAAGAATTGACAAATGGATTTGTTTTGATGATTATTGAAGAAATGTGTCTTGAAATGAATATTTTCACATGATAAATATTTCTCATGTTAATCAATTTTTATGAACAGAATGAAAGAAAAAATGAAACAGTTCGAATTAGAAATAACATGTTGTTTCGATTAGATCGAAACGCCATTGATCTTCGCTGTTATTATTGGGTACAAATTAAATGATCAATATTTTAGTGTGAACGTTCGGTAAAATTGAATTAGTATTTATTGTATGTGATCAGTGTCACGTCTTGAAAACTAATGAAATGTTTATGTCGAAATAAACAGCAACTGAACCCACAACATAGAAAACGTTTGGCTATATAAGGCAGGGGAATATTACTTTGAGAATATTTCCTAAGGACTATGAGTATATGGAGTGTTTCTGTAGGATATTTCCGAGGAAGACAAGACAACAATGACATCTATAGAAGAAGACATTCTATGTGATGTCGGTATGTCACAAATATGTATGTTGGAAAAACGACGTTCTTTTCTTTTGACGTTGCGTCGATGTATGTGTGACGGAAAAAAATGTTGTATTCGTCACGCGGTGTGCAGTATACATCAGAATCGCATTAACGACACCTTATGCAAATATTGCGTTCTTATTAGTCGCAAAATGCGCCACATACTGTAAAACAAATCATGTCTTCTTCGATTCGTACTTGCGCCATTACTAAATGCGAAAATTCGTCTTTTGCTTTATGCAATTGCTGCCAAGAACTTATCTGCATTGATCATTTGAAAGAACATTCTGATCAGTGTAATGCACAGCTTCTGCCAATAGCCGATGAAGTCAACCAATTACTAGAACGACTGAACGAAGTGAATTCGACCGAATTAATATGTGTGAAACAATTGGAAGAATGGAGACAAGCCGCACATAGATTAGTCGATACATTTTGTGAGCAAAAACGTCATGCCTTGCTCAATAGGGTGCACAAACGAGAACGAGAAAAACTTGACAATTGCCGAGGTAAATTAAACGAACTAATTCGAAAGAAAGGTGGCACTCCTGAAAATATAGAGTCGTTGAGAAATGATCTTCGATTAATCGAACAAAATCTCAATGAGCTCAAACACTTTCAATTAGAATTGCAACCATTAGTCATTGACAGTGATTTAATTACTATTCCACGATCGAATCAAAATATTCTTCAACTTTTGATTCCAGATAAAAAAATCGAGTGCGTATCACCGCATTTCTATCTCTTGGCTAGTAATGACCAATACTTGTTGGCTGATATCGGTGCTACTTTGTGTCTGCTCGATCTTGATTTAAACACTGTGAAAGAAATAGATTTCACGTATGGTAGCGTATGGGATATGTTTTGGTCTTCGAAAATCAGTCGATTTTTCGTAATGACTAAAAACAGAATATTGACATTCGATATAGTGACAATGAGTATTCAATTATGCGGGATTCCTTGTGATTCAGACAGTTTATGGGCTCGTGGAACATGTTCTGATGCGAGCTTGTACTTGTCAGCGATATCAAACGAAGACAGCGCATTTATTCATGAATTCACTTTACCCTTAACTTCATTCGTCAGAACACATCGGCTACCTTCAAACTCAAACGTCGGTAACTCAATTCGAGATATAAAATTTCGAAGTGATTCATTCATTATCATACGAGGTGACTGGAAACCGCACTCTGCCACGTGTCTTGAGCTGCGTTCAGCAATAACACTTGATTGTCTATGGTCAGTTCCAATTGACACTGCAGGTCGCTGCTATTATATCAATAAGAATAATTGGATAGTTGTCGATTACTATAAGGAGCAACTCCTTCGTATCTCCATGGATGGAGCAATCGTAGAACAAAGTAAATATGTGCCAGCGCCAACAGACGTACTTCCATGGAATGATGACTTACTCATAGTGCGAACTGCGAAACGAATAAGCCTGCATGTGCTTCAATGAATTCTGTGTAATGTGAATGCGAGTGGGTGTGGGTGTTTTGAAAGTATTTAGTGAAAACAAGGAATCATATTGAATCTTAACTAGTCCTGTGACACATATATTTAATAAAGAATAAAGAATAATACTGCACTAGGTTCAACGCGTCCTTGGATTGTATAAATATGTGGTAGTATTGACTTCAGCACCACCAGTGTTCAGAGATGGCAGATACATAGCGGTAACGTATGTTCGTTTGCTAATCATTGATGTTGATATTGTCCACTTATTGGAAGTGAAATCATATAAGCCATAGGGTTGAAAAGTGGCCGATGTGCAGTCGTAGTCTCCCATTACTAGAATTTTTATTTATCAATGCAAGCAAGTAGATCGTTTGAATGTCTATTGAATTTAGATCACAGTCATGTCCGATTTTGGCGTTCGGTTGTAATGTAAAAGAGACAAGTATTCGTATGGTAGACCGAGAGTGCCTGCTACTGCCTTAGAGAGTTGATCGAAATTCTTCTGAAAGTAGCTTAGAAATAAAATGTACATATGTGTCATGATCTGTACGTGACAGATACCTAAATAAAATAAGATATTTAAGATTCAAAAAACTGCTGATCATATCGCAAAATTACTTGCCTAATGTGTGCATTAATTCATCCATAATTACTTCAGATCTGAGACAATCTTGAGAGCGATGAAACTTCGTGGTTGATTGCTGAACTAGAAAGCATTCCAGCCTAGAACCGTAATAGAATACATTGTGAATTATTCACAGCGGTACCACTTTCCATTTTGCTCATTACACGAACAACAGTTGCTTTTTGTTCTTCAGCTAAAAAGTAAATACCGTACTGTGTCGCGTCGAGATCTGATAAAGAATGATGCCATTTGTCCAACGAGAGTATCATGATCACGTATTGCTACTACATGTTTTGCTCTCTAAAAAAATATAATCTAGACTACAATTGCAAAATCGCAATTATCGTCTTACTTTTCCCAAATGATATAGCATTCGATCATGATATTCCACAATTTTGAAATGGAAAGAAATAGCATAAGCGCAACGTTCCTCAATAGCTTTAACTTACGTGTTTTTCGTAGTTTTTATGATGAAACTACTGGAATCTGAGGGGGCATTAAATATGAATATTCAATGTGCGGAATTCGATCGTATCGGTACTGTAGAAGCATAGAATGAAAGTAGCGGCAACCATCCTTTGTGCTAAAAAATTGTATTCACAAATGTAAAGAAACTGTTTTAGCGCACGTCTTTATATAATCTGTTGAATAGTGGTCAACGGTAGAAATCGAACATAACCTTCAGAAATTAGTAAGACATCATTTATGGTAAAAAACCGATTGATTTTCACTCTTTTAATAGATGATTTGAAAGTGTTTATACTGCATCTTGATATATCATCACTTCCTCGAATTTCAGATTCGAAAAATATTCCGCTTTGACGAAGATTGAATGACAGAGAACTATGTATTACAAAACTGCTCCTTGGTGTAGCCATTTTTCAATTACCATTTCATAATCTCTCTACTATTATTTCATTCGTCTTGAATTTCGCAATTACTTCAAGTTCAGCTTCAAGAAATAATTACGTTGGTCTGACGCTTACTATTGACGAATATTTATTGTGGGAAGTTCCATCCATTTCTGATAGACATTTGAAATAATCGAGTGTTCTGCAGAATGAATATCAGGAACTGCACGCAATAAGTTCTTGTCCATAAGCCATCAGAAAGGAAACATCATTTGCTAGAACGAACTCTTAGTACAATTGAGTATCATTCATATTAAGTTAGAAGATTTATTGCATTATCTCTTTGAACCTTCAAAAAACATCTTTGGATTGCAACTGTTCATAATACATGGTACGATAAACCACTTACGATTCTTCGCTACATTGAAATGTCGACCATTTAGCAAGAATCTTTTTTAAAATAAGATTATTCTGATGAACAGAAATTCTCAAAGTTCGTGTGACGAGCAGATAATGGACTTTCTATGTTGAAATCTGTGCAGTTGATGCTGTGGTTCGTTTCAGTTTTGCTCGTTTTTCCATTTCAATCAAATTACTTTTTCCCCTTGGTAACAATTCCATTGTAACCGAGAAATATTTTCTCGTGTTTTTGAATAGTATTTTTCTCCTCCTTATAATGACTTCTTTTACAAAAAAAAGCATACAACTTTTCTGTTCTGTTACTTCTGAGTAATTTTTGTTGACGTTGAGTCCACGTTGTTATATAGTCACCGTCATTTGCAACGAAGACAAATGGCGTCTACAGAAGAGAGAAGTTTTTGCAAAATATGTAACAAAGAGAAACGAACTGTGAGATGCGATGGATGTTTACAATCATTTTGTTATGCTCACATAACCGATCATCGACAAGGATTAAACATTCAACTGGACTTAATCGAAAGCAGCTGTGATCTATTTCGACAAACACTAAATGATCATACAAGCAATCCTCAAACGTCGTCCATGATACAAAAAGTCAATCGACGGAGAAAATTCAACAAACAGCAGATGAATGTCGAAGATTGATTACTGAACATTTAGATAAGAACATTCATGAAATCGAAACTGAATTCAGAAAGTTTGCTGATCGAGTCAAATACATTCGCAAAGAAGATGATTTCAACGAAATTGATTTGAATGAATTTGATACTAAACTAAAACAATTACAACAACAACTTCATCAACCATCTATGTTTTCTATTCAAGAAAGTTCGACTTCACTTATCAACAAAATTCAGATTGTGACATCTTCTGGTGAGTCAGTTATACATTTCTGTGTGAGAATAATGAAAACGGAACATACAGGACGTGAGGATTTACGACTATATAGACTGAATATCCATGAAATCAACGAAGTAGATGTTTTTGTTTAATTAGAGGCAAATCATCAAATAAAGAGCAAGAATATAGCTGTGCAAGTCAAAACTCCACTATCAGCACCACTTTGGTATCATCCATTTCAAGTAACTAAGGTTCAAAGGTAAATGAGTACAATATACTTTACTGCTTCACCACGGATTTTTGAAATTATTTTAGAATAGACGCAAACTATCCAGAATGCAAAACTAGTACGACACAATATTCAGTCGAAGATTGTGTTAATGGTCCTCGAGCAGAGGACAAGGACAATGATATCAACTTTGACACATGCCCGTTATGTTATTGGGAATTTCCACCATCTATGTTAATGCTGGAAAAACGCAAGCATATAGAAACACATTTTGCATAAGATTAACAAACTACACTACGTAGGTGATTTCAAATTTTCTTTCTGATGGAATACAATTCTACCGTTCACATTGTCATCTAGTCTAGATACAATGCGATACTGAGTGAAATAAAATAAACTGTCTGAGACATTTTTTTAATTGCATGAATATCTTCAATTGGAAAAAACCCAGATGTGTGCTTATTTAAGAAAAATATTGTTTACTTTTGCTCTAATATCTTATGTCAGGTAAAAAAAATCAACCGTGACCAATTTCAGGAAGAGAACCGATAAATATACGTTGTGTCGAGGTAAAACATATATTAAAAGCAATAGATTAATCATTTTCTGTACATACAACATGCTATGCAAGGATGCGGCCGTAGTCTTAGATGCAATGAACATAGATATCAATAAAGCAATTGATCAAGAAGAACAAATTAGATGCAGAACGATTGCTATTCGTCGGCTTATTCGAAAGATCGACTGGCGATTTATTCCATTTTTGTTTCTCCTCGAAATGTCACAGTATCTCATTCGTATTAGTATTGGTAGATAATTTCAACATGAATAGTTCCTTATCAACGAATCTAATGATATACTCTTTAGGTCATGCTAAATTAATGGACATCGGCAAGGATATAGACCTATCAACGACTGACCAGCAATTAGCGGTTTCACTTTTTTTCGTAGCTTATGTAAGACAATTTGTATAAATCAATTCAAATATATTTGTCATATGTGATTTCGTTCAGCTGATCTTTGAGCTACCCAATATTTTCCTAATGCGTTATCTGGGACCAGCTTCGTATCTTCCCATCAGTATTTTTGCATGGGGTTCCCTCACTGTTGGCATGGCTTTCGTTAGTAATGCTCAAGCACTCTTTGCAGTTCGATTTCTTCTCGTAAGTGAATTAAAACTTCAATAATGGCACTTCTATTTCTCAATCCGAAGGGTATCGCTCAAGCAGCTTTTTTCCCCAGTCTCGTCATATACATCTCATTATGGTATCCTAAAAAGTATCATATGATGAGACTTGCAATTCTCTATGGCGCTGCGATCATTGCTGGTGCATTAGGTAGTATTCTCGTACGTATTTCTGATAATCTCATGCTTAACCCATTAATCTACTTTTGATTTACAGGCATATGGTTTCAAAAAGATGGATGGTAGTAGAAATCTGAATGGATGGCAATGGATGTTCTTGATTGAAGGCTTACCAATGATTCCCTTTGGTATTGCTACGTTCTTTCTGCTTAGTAACATACCCGATAATGCAAATTGTAAGAACTTCAAAACTAGGATACATGTGTTTACATCGATTTTGCTTCTAAAAAGGGTTAACTATGCATGAGAGGAATCTTTTGATCAATATTCTCCTTCAAGATACACCCGTCGTTCAATTTGATCATCGTCGACTTTCCTGGCGACAAGTTTCTCATGCATTTATTGATCGTCGAGTTTATCTCTATGTCTTGATCACAACTGGTGTTTTAGGTATTGTCAAATACCTTACAACATATCTCCCATCGATTATCAAAGACATGGGCACTTCAACCGAAGTGGTACAATTAATGACAGCACCACCATACGGTTTTGCATTTCTATCGTGTTTACTAGTTGCATATTCATCCTCAAGAAAAAATGAACATGGACTTCATTTAGTATTCTGCCTATTTGTTGGTCTACTGGGTTTTATCCTTCTAGTTACTGTACACAATTTTAGTCAAACAGGAATGTATGTGATCGGTTGCGTTATTTGTTGTGGCGTATTTTCCGCACTTCCTATATTATTATCTTGGGCAACAAATAATATCGATGGTCATACAAAGAAATCAATCGCTATCGGATTCATGATTGGTGCTGGCCAGCTCGGTGGTATCATCTTCCCTCTAGTAAGAAACCATTGTAGTCAATATTGATGATAAACTTGTTTTTAGATTAATGATGATATCTCAACTAGTCGACGCAATAATCTTATTTGTGTTGGAATATTAGCAGTTAGTTTAATTGCGACGATTATTTTACGTGTTTGCTTGATAGTTGAAAATCGACGACGAGAAAGATTGACCTCGGAAGAATATGAATATGAAGCAAATATTAAAGAATCGTGTGATTGGGTAAATTCGTAGAAAACTTTCTCATGTCTTTATCTTCTTCTATTTTATAGCATCCCGGTGTTCGATACACTCTTTGAAATTTCAATCAAAACGAGTTTCGTGTCTGTGAAAATGTCGTTTTTCGTTTTTAAATATTTTCTAAAAATAAATTATATGTGATATTCAAAAATGATTATTTCATCTTGATATATTACTTCCTTTTTCCAACATAGACAAATCGCGAATAGAAAAGTCGATCGATTTATCAAAACAAAACTGATTTCTATTTGTGGACACACATCGCACACACCTATTTCATCATAAAAGAAAAAGGGATTTTTTCCTCATGATTTGAATAGAAAATGATTATATTATTCGTCATATATGCTTTTATCGGTATTGACGCAAGCGTTTGTAATTACAAAGCATTGATTTAAAGCATCCTCTATTGTATTCAGATTTGCACTGAGTTTCTCGCTCAATTATCATGTCACTTGATGAAGCCGCCCCTGGATACGGCTACATATGGGAATATCGAAGCAATGCAGATCCGTGGGATGCAGAACAAGTTCCCAAGTGGACACAATTTCCTAGTGCTACATCACTAGCCATTGAAAACGCAAAGAATCAACAATCCAAGGAGATATTTATTGAGAATAATTATCGTATTGACTTGGAAAAATATGTTCAGCAGCATACGATAGACTTACATAGACAAAGACCTATTCGGCGACGACGACTACTGTTACAGCACGATTTAATCAATAATTCTTCAGATAGTGAAAGTATTAAATCTCACCGAGAACGGATGTCATACTGTTTGGGAGCACCACAGCGGTGTAGCACCACTCGGGATATGTCTTACTATGGTTCATCGTTTGTAGATGATTGGCTATTCTTATTTTCCCATGGGAAACTGGCAATTACTTTCGATACTATCTTTCCTGCCCTTTTCAATGGTTTGATTACTGAAGGAAAAAATCAGGAGACACATATACTCAATGACATCGAAAAATCGCTACGCACAGCTCAGCAAAAAACCAATGGACAACCTGACGAAGATAGAATAACTGAATTAGAAGTTTGCTGTGCACGACTTTATACCAAAGAGTCTTATGTATACTGCATGACAAATAATGCATTACGTGACGATGACCGAACGAAGTTAGTCACACTCGGACCGTTTTGTTATCTTCTATTCAATTACATTGCTCGATGTCTCAAACAGAAACCATCCATTCGACATCGTCTTCGACAATTTTTACATTCGAATAAAACAGACACGATTATTCTTTATCGCGGCGACAGAGCCTCAGAAAACACTATACATGAGTATCGGCAGGCAGCTGGAGATAAATCTCAATATTTCAAATGGCTTCCATTCATTTCGACTTCACGGAAAAAGGAAGAAGCAGATAAATTTGCACAGGATGTTATGTACATAATTGCAATTGAATCTCAGTTGTCCAACGAAGACAGATTTGCATTTATGGCACCGATCAGTGAGTACATCAACGAAGACGAATATCTACTACTGCCAGGTCTGCAATTTCAAGTGAAGAAAGTCGAATTTAACAACACGCAAGGTTTATATTACGTTCATATCAAGATCATTTCATCGTACATCTCAAAACTACACTAATTGTTTCATTTGAAATTATTGAATAGAAAAATAGATATATTCAAAGGACAAAGGACACAACGCGAAAAAGGTGTCATTAGTCGAAGCTCGAATATTTCAAGTGCATCCAGGGATTGTTCACGCTTAGTCCAGCTTTTTAAAGTCTAATTTCATTGTTTCTCGATAGATCACGAAATCATACGAAAAGTGCCTTAAATCCTTGATTATAATTGATCATCAAAATGAAAAACTCCACGCATGATTCCGTCATCTATCGATTATAAGATAGATTCAAATATATCAGTGTACTATTGTGATTTTGAAGACAACAGTTGTCGCTCTGGAATGTTTTAAGTGCATACTAAAAATACCATCTGTGTGTCACATATCAGTATTTTGCTCTTGATTTACATTCTTATATTATAAAATTTAAAAAAAAACGCTTTTTAATCACTCGAATATGACGGCCGGTCACAAGTGCACATTTTGGGAAAATATCCTGCTAAACAAACGCCTTCATATTTATAATTACAAGCTTTCGACGGCGATACACCCGGACGAGTACGTATCAACAGTTGACGAGCAGCCTCTTTGGCTTTTTCATCGTCCTGAAATACGTAAAGCAGTATTATAGATATAGTTCACATCCCTGTAGCTAATTACTTTATATTTCAAATACAGTTGCATCGATGCTTTCGCATCTTGAGTAGCCAAATGTCCGTTAGAAGCATTTAAATTCACATGTAATAATGTCAACGCTTCATGCGCTAATGAAGAGAAACTATAGATGGACAGAGTGCGCAATGTAATTTTCTGTACGTCTAACTTACTTGAAGTTGCCAAAACGTGGATTATATGCTTTGAACCAATCGCTAAGGTCGATAACATCGGAATAGTGTGTGCCCTTTTGTAGGTGTAACCATTTAATATCATTTTTTGGACTTTGTCCGACAATGATTGTCGTCGGACCGAAAAAAGGATATATCTATGTAAGATAAAAGTTGAGTTCATACTAAAGAAATTATTCATAGCTACTTTTTGTAAAACTTCGTCGAGTGGCGGTGCTTGTTCGAGATCTTTGATTTTTAACCCTGTAAATGGATATAGATCACTTACAACTTTTTCTGTTGGTCTAATCAATGACGAATAAATTATTTCACAACGATCATTAACAATCGCTACGCTGCATGGAGCTCGATCTTCATGTGTGTAACCCGTTGCGACACATTCAACATCAATTGCAAGAACATGGTGATTATTTGAAGTAGCCATCTGGAATTCACAAAATGGATGTCTATGACTTGCGAGCTGCAATAGAATCTTTCATCAACGACGTTTTTATAATAAGGTCACTGTGTATTTCCCTGTTAATACTGTGTAAGTTTAATCGATAATACGAGTAATATTGACAAAATGAGTCTTACAGGTGAAATTTTCGACTGCTCTGTTTTGTCGAAAAAATAGAAATATAGAAAAATGACACAATAGATGTCTTTGCAAGTCGCTCCCCTATTTATTTATTATTCGATTCGTTAATAGTTCGTAAATATGACACACTTCATATCAAAGTAAGCGTAGCAAGAAGAAAAATGCCATGATTGATTTATAGCTGAGTAGAACACAAACTGTGCCAGAATGAACTGGTGAAAGACGATCTTCAGCAATCTATACATAGAAGAATAATTAATAGTGTAATTATAAAACGTAATCGTATTACTAACATGAAAAACAATAGCCATTCCTCGATCTAGATGAGGTTCTGTATGACAGTGAAAGAGCCAAACGCCAGGATTTTGTGCACGAAAGCGGATGCGCATATATCTAAAATGAGATTTTTCTCATTTTTATTAACTTTCCTTCTCGTAAACAATCCTCACCCTCCTTTTGGTAGCTGAATCGTATCCTTGACTAATCGCATGTTATTCGTCCCACACGTTCTATCTTCGGATTGACATGTGCACACAGCATGTTCATCGCATACTATCTTAGGATTGTTTGACATGATTTCTCCTGTTGTCTTGTTCAATACTGAAAGACCTTGCTCCACAATATGGAAATAAGAACCGTGTAAATGCAGCGGATGTTGATCGTCATCGTGATTGACAACAAGCAATTCAATGACATCGTTGTATTGGGCGACGAGAGCGTGATAGCATTTCTCGCCATCATCCTCAGCTAATGATCGTCCGGAACATGGAAGAAGTTCTCTAGCGCGTCGAGGATTGGACAGAACCGACTCCTTTAATGGAGGATATTTCATACCAATATAATTAAACGATTCAAAACCGGCTCGATTATCATTTCCTTTGACCATCGTTAACGAAAGTGTATGATTGATATTAATTCGAATATTCTCACTAAATAATTCCTCATCGAGATGATCAGCATGGGTACTAATGTTCAATGGTGTTAGGCAAATGAAAGTATTCCTTCCATCACTATCGCCTGGCCCATATTGAATGAATGGACAATTCAAAATTTGACATGGTTGCGATAAACTACATGTTCGAGGAACGGTTGTAGGTTTCGTTTCAGTTTCTGCATACTGTAGAATAGCATAACTGTGCCATCTACTGTTATTATTCCTACCCATCGTATTCACTCGAATCCAATAGTTGACTGAAGTATCGATTCCGGTAAAGTTATCTATAAGGAGATCGTATCGTTCACCAACACCAATAATTAGCTGATCGACAATCATCGGCTGGGCGAATGGTACGCCATCGGAACTGATCACTTTCAAAAGATGTTTATCAATGGAGAATTTCAACGAGAATACACTACCCCCATTGATGAGGCGAAAACGATAGGATTTATTAACCTGTGTGGATGGAACTTTCAGACGTTCGAAAGGTGTCGTGCTAGAACCACTCGTTCCATTTCGCGTGTCGATATATTGGCCACGGCCATTGATTAATATTGAAGTAACTAACGCTTCGGCAGCTCTCGATCCATCCACTGATTGAAAGAAATCAATAGTTTCAGATTTCGTTAATGATTCTAGATCATTCGGATAAAACTGACCACTTTCAATCAGTAAATATTGTTGTTCGCTGGTGTAAAAATGCTGCCAGTCATTTAGAAGAAGGACGAATTCACCATCATCAGCCGCGCTCGGTTTAACTCTCGGATGCACTACAAATCCACCCATGAGACCCATGGCTGTTTGTAAATGCATATGTGAATGGTACCAAAAAGTACCTTCATCGGTGGCAACAAATTCATGGAGAAAATCAGCACCAGGTAATATCGAGATTTGTGTTAACTGACCAATTCCATCGCTCTCAGGCGTGTTCACCTGTCGAATACCATGAAAATGTACACTCAACGATTCTGTCATCATGTTATTGTAGATGCGCACGCGCACAGTTTGATTTTGATAAACATGTAGAACAGGTCCTGGCAATGAATTATTGAAGACATATACCTAGATGAAACATAACTGAAGAACCCAATTCATTGTTGTTAAAGATGAAAACCTACTAGTTTTGGATAACCATCAGCAGTGATAATATCGCTCATTGGAAATGTTCGATTCACGTCAGCGTAATGATGTAACATACCTTCATCAGTAGCAACAACACGAAAGAGGTCTTTATAGAACATGGTCATCGTTGCTGAAGCATGTAACTCAAAAGAACAAATCGACATCGAACTTTGGCAAAGATTATTATCTTCGTATGGTCTGTATATCTCCAGTGTTTGAACATATTGCTGACAAAGCTGCAATGCATTCAGTAGCATAAAAAACAATCCGTACATCGTGTGAGAGGATCAACTGAAACTGATATTTCAGTGAATGACAACAGAACGAGAACCTTTTACCTATACGCCGTGTGTATCTACAGATTTTATATCACCGCCCTGTGTAAATATTTTGAGATATTTAACTCTTATAGATACGAAGAGAAGCAGCATATATCGTAAAATAAATTCAGAAATTCTACGCCCTTCGAAGATTTAAACGCGTAGTGATTTGAAATCTGTCTTCAGTATTTGAACGAAAATTTCTCAAAGAAACACTGAATTAAGTTTTCAGAGCGATTTCCTATTTCGTGTAGTAGGCGTTATTCACCATATAAGGCGCAATAAGAAAGATCGAGAGTGAATATGCAGTCACAAAGAAAACCACTGCTGATATATTGCGCTTTCGTTATACATAAATACGTGTAGTCATGTATGGAATCCAAATGGGAAGAATGAAGACGAGAACAATAGTAGCACATATACCATTACAGTGTGCATTTATTTTTTTAACGCTTCTGTCCTGTACGCCACAGTAAACCATATAGGACGTAAAAGAAAAGAACATAATATTGACTTTTAACTCGATGATGAAAACTGCACATGGCATGCAGCGCTTTTTCTTCATCTTATTTTAACGACAACATCAGTAGGAATCAACATGAGCGACGATGAAACAATCTTAACGGCGATCGATATGATCGATCGAAAGATCGAATCGTTGAATGGTCAAGGAAAAGAGTCTTCTTATTATATTGCTAAATTGATGGTTGTTCGGGAAGATCTTGAGAAGCTCTTCAGTTTAACATCTTCAACGAATACTTTAGTTCATCTATTTTGTCGACGAATGAACCGACTGATAAAATACAACAATCCAATGCTGATCAACGACTGGCTCAACTTACATGCGGACCTTCTGCTCGTTTTAGAACATCATGACGAATCAATTGAAAAGCTTGACTTGATGCAATGTTTATCGTTGTTGAAGTTAGAAATTAAGATGGAGGAACGTGAAATACAATTCGAGAAGAACTTCGGCCGCCGAAAGACATTCCTTGAATTAGCTGAACAACATCGAGTTTTACTTGATGAATATCTCCAAGCATGTTACTCACTTCATTCAAAGATTCAAATACAAGGTCTGGTCGAGAACGTCGACGGATTTCTTCGAGAGATGTCTTGCACAGCAGATGTTCAAACTAGCGATCGGCTTGAAACAAGATTGAATTCGATTGACATTCCACTGATATGTCCTTATCAATTATTTCAGTCCTGTACACCAAGATCTTTCTTAGATTTTCAATCGCGTCATCAATCGACCGATGGTGAAAACGTCTTCTTGCCCGGCATGGATGAGATAAAAATAAACTATGATGCGGGTATGTTAAAAATCCATCAGAGACTACTCGAATCTCGATGGCTTGTCGTTCTCGGCGATCCTGGAAGTTCCAAAACGACGTTGTTACGATACATCACGCAACTATTCGCTTCGGCAGTTCTTCAAGGGAAAACACATGTCGCAACCGATGCAGACAATTGCGGTCCACTTCGAATTCCGATTTTAGTTCGAATAGGCGAGTTCTCTGAACGGCAGAATATCGATCCAAACCTGACTTTGTTCGATTACATTGGTAAACACACGTGGTTTTCGCAATTGTACGGTGATGATAACATTGGGAGTGTATTAAAAGACTTTATCCGTCATGGCCATGCACTCGTTCTTTTGGACGGTCTCGACGAGATTTCTGCATTCGAACAACGAACACAAATCGTCAAACTTATTCGCGAGTTTATTCACGAGTACGTTTATGGCGACGATTTCATCTCTGCATTTGATGATGTTCCAAAAGGCTTCAATACAGAATCTCGAAGACCAATGGCAAATGAAAAAAAATCACCCGATGATTGGAGATTCAGAGAGATGCATCCACCATCGCTACCTGGTGGCAATCAAATTGTTATAACAAGTCGCATCGTCGGTTGCAATTTATATCGATTCAATAGTCGATTAATTGATTACTACAATTTACTTCCTATGTCGAGCAAAAATGCGAAATTATTCATCGAACAATGGTTCACCAGTGTTGATCAGGAAGTGCGTAACGTCCTAACAAGCGAAAACATTCATTTCGACAAGGAAAAAATGGATAAATCCAGACGACAACGGCAAGATGTCCTCGATAATATACATACCGACATGCAGAAGTCTTTCTTATCACATCCATTGATGCTGTCTCTGATGTGTTCATGTATATTCAAACTGCTGGATGACAGTCAATTACCAAAAACTGTGACTGAATTGTACGATAAAACTATACGGTCCGTACTAGGCTATAGGACGATCTCGCGTCAGTCGAGAATATCTCAAGATATTATGATCAAACTTCAGAGCAATCTTGCGTTGTATCTTCATGCGCATTCATCGTCTGGTGTCATTGATGAATTCGATTTCAAACGAATCTGTGGTTTAGTATTAAAACAAGAAAATGTCGCGAAAACCAAGGCGGAATTGAGTCGATACACGGATGAATTGTTAACATTAATTAGTTCGAACAATAGTATGATCGTCGAACGAGGATTGAAGGTATTCAGTTTCACTCACCTATCGTTTCAAGAGTATTTCGTTGGCTTATCTCTTATCGATCAGTCGTCCATCGAGAAGACGATTCAACGTATTCTTATCTACGCTGTCAAGCCTCGTTCTCGTGAACCCATACGGTTCGCGCTTGGTTGGATTAATCAGACATGGCCATCAAATGATCGGCAGGAGCTCTGCAGAAGACTAGTGACTGAAACAATCAATTCCGTACTTCCGTTAGGCGCTATCTTATTTTTCGATGTTATTCATAGCATCGAACAGTCACTCTCAAACTGTGCAGTTTACGCAGCACTAGATCAGCTTATCGATCATCCTTCTATGTTGATCTCGATTGGATTCTTAGGAAAAAGTTGGCCTGTATTACCACTGAATGCAATACTCAGGTGGATGGAGTTAACTTTAACTAATGATAAACGTGTTGTGAAATTCTGTAAATCATTTTTATTCTCAATTTTTCTTATCGAACATCACACGTTGTGGAGACAAAGAAATAACGAATTACCGGCTGTTTGCCAACGATTATGGTCGTTACATTCCATGAGTTCAGATGTTGAAGTCTGTATTACCCAAACATTGTACCGTATCGTGACGTCATTACGTTCACCATGTTCTATTTTTCAACGTGTGTTGCCTCAGTATCTTCAGACACATAAGATGGCTTTGTCTCAATGTCATCCATTGGTAACAAGCGTTATTATTGCATTGTATGGTGGGGCTTACAAGACGAAGGATGAAATGGGGTTTTCTCACACGTATATCTATCGCAATTCCATAGTCGGTAAGCCAATTCTCGACTATTTGACCAATACGAACGACTCTTACTCAATCAAGGTTTCAAACCTTATCGAACAATACGAAGATATGCTACGAAAATATTCATCTGATGATGTTTCGAACAATGTTATTGATATTCTCATTGCTCTTATTTGTTTACGTGGCCTCTCACAATCGTTAATAAATTATAAATTCGGTGTATATCGAGCATTGCCGCTGGCTTTGGATAGGTTTAAAGTTATATTATTTCTTTTGAGAGACGATTCAAGATTCGTATGGGATAGAACAACACAAGTGATGTTTTCTGGAGTGAAATTAATCATAGATATATTCGCTTCACAACCTGGCCAAACAATTGAGCAATCCAAACGATTTACACTAGCATGTATAGCCGCATGTGATCGACTCAAAATTGATTGGACACCCTATTCATCAAGCTTAGGGAATCTATTCGACAACAATACTTATCAGTCGCATCGATTACGAAAATATTCTGATAACAACGGATTCAAAACGCAAGGTACTCACGTTCGCCAAAAGTCAACCGTTCAATTAGTAGAAGAAGTTTATTCATCCCATGAGCAGTTATTGACTCTGCTGAAGTTTGTGCCCAGTTTCGTTCAACGTCTGTACTATCGTCTATTGATGAACCAAGGTGAACAACACGGCTCTCCACTGTTTATTGTTCTTTTATCACAATGTTTGACTTTTTTCGATGCTAATATTGAACTAGATGAGATACTGGTAACTTTGAACGGCTTATTACCATTGTTCAGGATGTACAACATGCAAAACTATGTACTAGCTCTGTTTTGGGAAAGTAAATTTCGATATATGAGCGATCCAAAGGGCCTGGATGACGGTTATCACCGGAGATTTTCGACAAATTATTCGGAAAACTATGAAGATCTGATCGTCGAAGAACAACGACGAATTTTACAAGCAAATGTGTCGAACGATGTTCGTGACAAAGATTTTCAACTTTTTACTGCATCACTTTCACTTGCACGATTGTATCAAATTCGATTCCGTTACGGCACAAACGCAAATTTATCAGCCGATGAAAGCGAACATATTCAATCCGCAATAGAAAATATCAACGACCAAGTTTTATATATCGTAGCCATGAACATTATTTTAAACATGAACCAGCCATCTATTTTCGATACCAACCTCCACGATACCTTAAGATCAAAATTAGTTTCTCGATTATTAGAAGTGTTGCCTAATCTACTCGTCTTAACAGGCGCTTTACTACTTTTCCGATGCCAAGTAATAGGCCAATCCTTTCCATTAATTTTCCAACAACTCGTTCATATAATTGGTGAACAATTGCTTACAATTCCATTAGATGAAGACATGTTGGAAAATCAGAAAGCAGTCTATGTCGCGCTTAGCTCAATAGAGAACTCTTCACTTAACAGTCTCTTGATCGAATTCAAAAAGCAAGTTCATGATGACGAAGAATTTCTTGATGTGAACTCGGTGGTGTTTCATCGTTACTTAACCAGTACAGAATCGTTTGGTGAATTGGATGATATTCTTTTGTGTAGCATGTACCTAAGCGAACTAGCAGTGGATGCTCAAAATTTGCGAAAATATATGTTTAACAATGAACAACAGAATACGGTTTCTTTGTCCGAAAAATTCCAGCAATTGTTAAAAGTTTCGAAGAACGTGATTACATCTGAAATTGCGACATTAATCGTCACTTGTGTAGCGAATGGCAGTGAAAAAGATTTTGATGTGATTGACAATGAGCTAATTAATTGTAATCTTGTCGAAAAAGACGCTCAACCAGTGCTCCTCGAAATATTCAATCTGCCGATGAAGGAATCAAGCCAATCGTTAGTTTATTACATTGCACTATTATTAGCTAAAGATGGTTCAAACACACCAGCATCCATCGACTATATTAGAAATTTTTGTCAAGCTGCTATCAATAAGAAATTCGAGGGTATTATCAAACAATTTCTCGAATTATCCAACATACATTCGGTATCAATACGTCAGGTGTTAGAGACATTACTTCGTTGTATGCGTCGTTCATCATTTCACATTCGTGCTACTATTCGCTCCCGTGAAATTATGCAGTTAATCTTACAACTGGAAAATGAAGAATCTCGAACAGATGGTAGTTGCGTTTTATCCGATTCGTTTTTAATGCTAATCGATGGTTGTTCATTCGAAGTACAAAACTATCTTTTAGAATATCTTAATGCAGACAGTGATCTACAAGGCAGTGTGAAAGAACAGCGTCTGATTAGAATGATCACATGGGTTATGCAACACTTCGCCACGAAAGAATGTCCGGTCTCTGATCTGCTTTATAAACATATCGTATCACTTTTTCAGGATCGAAACTTCTCGTGCGTACAAGAAACGATTATCGATAGTCTTCGATATATATTTCTCGGAGAATTTCAGAAGAACGTTTTCACCAACAAAGATGTCAAACAACTCTTGGAGAAGACTATTAATCACTGTGTAAAAGTAGCCGATTCTTCTTCTGAAAAGCTCTTAGCAAACTGCTTGAACACTTACGGATGTTGCATCCGCTTCTACAAAGCTTGTCGAAATGAAAATCCATCAGATGAGATGATCAATTTATTCACAAGGCTTTTTCAAACATCTTCATCGTCACTCGTCGCTACACGAGCAAGTCAATGTTTGCTAAAAATCGAACTGTATGTTCATAGTGGTTCGATTGATAGTTGGCTCAGCAAAACTAATCTGAATCCCGAGCAGCTATATAATATATTCATACGATGTACATTCGATGAATGTCAATTGTGGAGAGATTCAGAGAGAGAGAAAACATTGGCTCACATTATACTACAACATCCGACAGACTTGCTTCCGAAATTCGTCAACGAAATGTACGTTTATCTGAAAAGCACACCAATGACCTGCAAACTTTCCAAGGATCTATTTTCTTATGTCACTACAGCTAATCAATTATGTGTTACAAATTTTACCATGTTTCGTACTGCCGTAGAAAAACAATTTCATAACGCTAAGGAACTCAAATTATTACTTTATCAAATAAGCAAACAAGGCGATGATGGCTTTCGAAACGAATGCATATCATTATACGCTTATTTTGGTGAGATTACGTCGGATCTTATCGATATGATACTAACCAGTGATTTGAAACAATGGGCATTTTTATCAAACCGAATAGAGTCCTTGATAACTGGTAAACAAATATCATTAGATCGAGAGATAGTTGAGAGTTTATACGAAGCATTAGAAACGCCATCGAGAGGGAAACCTGCAGCACAATTTCTGATATGGCTTGTGAACGCTGGTTTTATATCGGTTTTGGAAGTATTTCAGAGAATATCAAGTATCGTTAGCAAACAATATTTACAAAATGAGGATAAATATCAAGCAGACTGTGAACATTTGTTCGAAACCTTACTGAAGTTGACTTGTATTCAGCTCGGCACTGTATCTAGTACAGATTTACAAGGGCTGCTTTCTAGAGAAAATAAATTAGGAATATCTACGCAAAAGAGAATATATAAGCGTTTTCATAATTCAAATTGACTCTTTACAAATATTTTAATGAACAGAATCAATGCTTTTTCCAGTTTTTTCTTTTTATTTCCTGCTAAATAAAGTTCACTTTTTTATCTTTACAACTTTAAAGTACATAAATTTCGTTATAAAGATTATAATCAACATTCGCAGAAATCAAGAATCCAAACGCCATGTTCATTAACTCTGCCATGACCATCGTCACATGTGGCACCCTCGTGAAGTACCCAACGATCACCATTGTAATACCAATCGCGACATTGACCACATTTATTACAAGCACGACCATTACAACCTGACGCCTTTTCATGAAAACTTTCTGACTGCTGGACTATGTTAGCAGGTTTTTTGTCTAAAGTGAAAATCTCCATTATTTCTATGTTTACCAGGTGACTTGGACGATTGTTGCATTTAAGTCGTAGTTGATGAAGACGCTTTCTTGTTAGTCTTACTCGTTTTTGTCGATGACGTTATTGTTCGATCTGCATGCAGCGAGATAAATGCTAAAATCGCCGTGTATTGATGTAAAATAATCTATTTAAACACATGTATGAATAGTTTGTTGTGAAGTTTCAGAAAAGTAGCTTTTCTCTGTTCTCTTCCATTCGCTGATGTCAAAAGAATGCAAAATTTCTCTTCTTCTAATGCAATTCCAATGTTTTGCATAAGTAGAAGTATCGTTCTTGGGATCAATCGTTGAAATATTCATCAGGAAAAAAATCAGGAGTGGAAGCGAGCGGTATTTATTTTACTCTAGATGAAATTTTCATAGATAACTATATAAAAGTATATCAAACAAAAATAGCAACTATAAAATAAAAAAAATTTCGCATAATCCGGTATATTAAAAATATTTTCTACACTTCAACAATTAGTCCGTTACGACTGTGTTTGATAATTGTCTGTAGATGAAAATAAAATGCTGGTATATTGTAGCTAAGATTTGCATATGTCATCAGGTGAATTGCATATCATATTAGTCTACATCTACACGAAGAAAAAAGTTAGATCGTAATCAAACGGGAAAAAATGAGAGCAACGCAGATTATGAAAGTTGAAAAAGAGATAGATGAAAGTGAGTTATGTTTTTGTAATGTTTGATCATTCAATTCACTCGGACTCTTGGCATATGCGGTATTTCGATAAGCAGCATCGTCATAGCGTTGAACTTGCGTATTGGAATTCACAAGTTTCGTAACTTTTCCCGGTTGATCATTACATCGATCTGTGGCACAACAAGTTAAATCGAGATACTTTTGAGAATGTTGACGCATCTCTTGACATTTCCTCAATGATGTTAAACCACGATGCCATTTAACATTTCCATTACGACGATCGGTGTCCGTACATGGAGAGTAATGATTTGGGTCATACGATGAATGAGAACACGCAGCTCGATAGCTAAAACAAGCACAACCAACAGTAGCACATTGTTCGCCTTCGGGTGTGGCATATTGCGTCATTTCAGCTTGTGAATATGCATAGCTTAACACATCACTTGATGCTTGATTTCTTGTCTCTTCATGTTCATATTTTGTATAGCATGTTAACGGTGTCTGATAGTAATTTTGCGATGAAACGTATGAGAATAGTACGAGCAAGAAGCAAAGCGTAAGTTGATGGGAAACAACCATCGTTGTTCGTCGAAATGAAGATAATTATATTTCCAAACATTCTTGTGCGTATATTTATCTATCGTACTTAACGCCTTTCTTCTTTCTTCTTCTTCTATTTCTACTTCAACCCACACATCAAGTATAAATAGTTTTGTATATCTAACAAAAGATAACTGCTACATGTCATTCGCCTCCACATATACGTTTGTTTTTCTTCGCATTCTCGATGCTATTCTGATCATATACATAGAACGAACTCTTATATTCCGTTATCAGAAAACACTAAAATGGACGCTGTTCTATTTCTCTTCAGTGTGAATCATCACTGAGTACACCATATATTTTTTTTACGATGACGTGTCATTGCCTTCCTTCTCTCATAAATTGTGAGTCATTCTTTACTTTCTTTATCAAATAGTAAAAACACAGAGATGCATAGGCAAGAGAAGAAAAACATTCAACATGGTGTTGGTTACATTATTGATTGTAGTTTTCATCACCATAGTGTTGGCAATTGTTTATTTACAATATTTTTCCAAAAGCCGTTATCGATTTCGTTATTTGTCGAAAATATCAGGTTTAACTTCAATCAAATTTTCTGTGCTCGAACAAAATCGTCAAACATATTATCCAGCGAATCCCGAATGTCGATGTCATCCGAATCACGCTTCAATTATTGTACCGCAAACTAATTGTCCTCATAGATCTGAGACATTATTTATTAGCTTTGCCGGCGCTGCACTACTCGTCGGAGGATTCACATTTACAGAATGGAAATCTACAATTAAACTATTGGACTCGCAAGCGGACATATTATTTTTAACTGATCCTGCTCAGTCGTTCTTTCTACAAGATTCCACTTATTCATGGCAAGGATTGACATATTGTCGTTCATTAGTTCGAAACTATTCTAAATTGTATAGAAAGGTTGTATTAATCGGTGCTTCAATGGGAGCGAGTATGGTTTGTATGTGTAGCGATCTTGCTACACTCTCAATTGCATTCAACCCGATATTCAATCCGTCATTGGTGGCGAATGCATACTACTTTTATAGGGTATTATGGAAATATCCAAAAACACTCATTTTGAAACAAGTGCAAACCAACATCGATAAGATTACGAATGAAAATCTACCGTCTATTTTACATGTACATTGGAGCAAGAATTCACATGATGATATCATTCAAGCAAATTTTATTTCAAATCTAAATTTTATGCACTTCACGGATGTGAAGGAGTGTACTAAACAGCAAGGAGTATATTTTTGGTTGCATAAGTGTGATAGTCATGGTTTACCCCAATACTTGAAAAATGAAGGAATTCTAGCTGATATTTTGCGATCTCATGTAAGCGCGTGAATATTTTTTTTGAGATCATAAAAGCAGAATAAAGAGGTTTTTGAAGTCAGACGTGAATAAACGTTTATAGTCAATGGCATGCACAAGTATTCAATAGAACGAACATGGCACCAGCAGTGTCATCTGAAGCGAGTATATCTTGACAATGATCGTTGTTAAAATCGCCAACAACGATCCAAGTATAGCTGCCAGTTAATCCTGTTGAAAAGATCATTTGTGTATCGAAGTCCCCATCACCATATCCAACTAGAATATAGATAACAGACCGGGAAGTCGGATTGACAGCTATATCTGATATACCATCGTTATTGAAATCACCAGTGGCAGGTCGTGTATAGTATGTTTTATTTCCTACAATATATTTTTCCACCGGACTCATCGTTCCATCACCATTGCCTAATAGGACACCAATTCGTTTACCACCGCTGTAGGAAACAACAGCATCCGAATGATTATCTCGATTGAAATCACCAATCGCAATGTACGATGGATAATAATTGCCACCAACAAATGAGGTCTTTTGCGGTTCAAATGTTCCGTCACCTCTGCCGAGCAACACACCAAAGCCTCGGCTATTAATCGTATTGTAACTAATATCTTGATGACCATCACCATTAAAATCAGCTTGATCCACTGTTGATGGATTTGCATTAAGCCCGGTATAGTATGTTGTCCTATTTCGAAACGATCCATCTCCATTTCCTAATAAAACAATGAGTATGTTAAACGATGGAGCAGACACAGCTATATCATTGTTATTATCACCATTAAAATCATAAGCAATAATACCTCGTAAATTCGTACTGTCTCCCATATAAAACTTCGCTAACGATCGAAATGTTCCATTGCCATTACCAAACATCATGTATATGTAAGCTAGACTTTCACTAGTCATTACGACATCAGGTATTTTATCATTATTAAAGTCGCTTACTGCTAAACCGAAATACCATGTGTTAAATGTCATTACGAAAGTTTTCATTTCGTTTGTGTAGTATCCACGACCATCCCCAAGCAAAACATGAATGCTGCTAGTTTTATAATTGAAAAAAGCAATGTCAGCTAGATTATCTCCATTCAGATCAGCGATAACAGGAGATTTGAGTCCAGCATTCGAAGTATTATTATAGCGAACTGCTATTTGAAACTGCAACTGACACATGGGTACTATGTTAAAATGAAAAAGGAAAGTTCGTTTAAGATTTTCTCTATACATGGCAAATTAGATTACTATGTGCCGTCGAAGTTGAAGTTGTTGTTGTGGTCATTGTACTTGTCGCCATCGTACTTTCATCGATGTTAATTGTCGTAGGCAATGAAAATTCTATGTAAACATATTTAAAATGTATGGAAATTCGAATAGTTCGAATATCTCACCATCTGGATTAGTTGTCGTCTTCTTCGACCGAAGGACATAAATCGAAAAGAGTGTAAGACAAGCGATTGTAATCGTAATTATTAAACATATTGAAATCGCATTCATATACGATCGGTTTGATCGTTGAACACTCATAGTTCTTAAAACGAGAGGGTTCTTTCACAAAAATGAAATAGTGCAAAAAATCTCCTACTCGAATGAAGTGCTCGTTGATTGTGTATCCGTCGATGCTGTCGGATGAATAGTTTGCGAGTATTTCTTTCTGATGATTCGAACTATTTTTGGACAGATCCATTCTAAAACAATGGAAAGACCACCTTGAAGACCAAGCATAACAGTAATAGTGTAGAGCACACTGAACGGCTGATTATAAGTATATGAACACAACAAAGGCAAACATTGCTCGAAATATAATGAATAATTAATTGTTGTTGCCCACTGTTCGACAAATAGTTCGTCCATAAGTTCAGCAACAGTGGTGTTGATGAAAAATCGACTATCTGCTATTGATAGCGGTGTTGACGAGTTGATTAGTATTGTTGCATTCGTATATTTTTGAACCAGATTCAGACACGATTGATCATAGAAGCATTCGAGCGTTGACGAACGGAGAGATTCACTTGGTAAGCAGCCCATTTTTAAACCTTTAATTGGAATTGCAGCAGACAGTTTTTGTTCATCAATAAAATTAGCTTGAGTAGTACAATTGGAATGTAATCCACATGAACAGTTGCCATCATAGATAATCGCTCGACTCGGAATAAATGGAACGTAGACACTCGATGTAAACCAAGTGGAGAGATACTCGAAATTTGTGCCATAACTGGAAACGAATGCATTGCCATGATTAACACTTCGAATCAGGAAGAAAAGACGTGTCAATGTTTTCGAAGCGGTCGATTTCTTCTGTTTGATTGATAAATTCAGACGTGAGTGAAAGTCATTTTCTCTTAAAAGTTCAGTTGTTATGAATAATGACGTGAGAAATTGTTCAATAGTGCTCTGAATAGATTGAATGGAAAGTTGACATAAACCTTGAAGATATTGTAAATGAGCTGCAAGAAAACGACGATAATCTTGTTGTCCGTAAATCGATAAGTTTGAGACAAGACCATTGGAAATTTCATACCGCCATTGATCGGATGTCATCGGACTTGTGCAAATCTACAACATTCGGATGTAAACTTCACGAATACTAAACAAATATTTCTCACTTTATGAAATTCTGCATTGATCTTAGTAAATTCATTGTATTTTGTTGCAATTTTCGAACATGTACATTTAAATTTCTCTCCATACTTTTGTTCCAACTGTGTATAACTTTTAAACGATGGTTTATCGAATGTGGTTGTTACAGTTTGAGGTTGAATGATAGTATACAATGTGAGAATAGTAAGACCAAGGATCAAAAGAACAAAGTAGAGACGTGTTGCCCATTTGCCAAGATGTTTCGCTGTCGCTCGATCAGCATGGCTACCAAAATCTCGTATGGAAAATACATTCAACTGAATGACAGTTTCATATATAAACAAGAACACTTCTCTACTAATTCTTTTCAAATGGCTGCAACTGATTCGACAAGCTATAGAAAAATAAAGAAAAGAGGCCTAAGAATTAACGTACAAGTAATATAGTATCTGCAATTTGACTTTCACTTATGATACTACTGAGAGTTTTTCTTCTACGTAGAACAAAGTATACTTACCGAATTGTTGTTGATGCTGTTGCTTGTGAAAAATGTATCTAAATAATTTACGTATACCACTCACCAATATTGGTGCGAAAATTTGTAATGCAAAAGTCAGACCACCGATCATCGAAATGAGAATGATCACCACTTCCACAATCGTTTTGGTGCGCATTCGTAGAGAATAAGTGCAATATTTCGGTGCACACAAGCCATAAAAGTACTTATAAGAATAAGATGGGTTCCACTGTTCGATCATAATTTGTTCGACTATTGTTGAAATTGATGTGTTAGGCGGATAACGACTGGCATTTGGATAATAAATAAGCGGATTGGCTTGGTACCATTGTGGAAATTCCACATTTTGATAATAACTGTCTTTCATATAGGTCATTAGAATCGAATAACAATTCGATTCGGAATAGTAACAAAACAGTTGTGAAAATAGAAGAGAACTGAATGTTGAACAGCTAGCAAGCGAACCAGGAACGATGTAACTTATATACGCATAGATACGTGAATTCCAAACACTATCCATTTGATAAACAGCTACTGAAGTTTGACAAGAAGAATTTGTTGCACAAATGCAATTGATCGATGACAAATTTACATAACGAGTTCCCGGTAAGCTAAATGCTATCTAAACAACGAGAGAATGTGAGTATCTTGAAAACAAGAAGATCTACTTGTAATGTGAGGTTATTCGGTTGAATAACTCCTGTTAAGAATGGATCTTGGATTGTGTCCCAATCGTTTTTTCTCGATCCTAGATAGAATTGGTCGACTTGGGTGAGTAGTCGGGCGATGTTAACTAAAGAACCAAATGAAGTGATAGTTGATTGAGAAAACTGATTCAGTGTTGCGTCTAATTGAGTGCGAAATTCCATCTCCGAAAGAACACTAGCAATAATCAACGATTGAGAAAGAAAGTGATGAACGGCATCATCGATTGTATTCTTCGCTAATTGGCAAAGATTCGATAGTAACTTAAATTGTAAGTATGCTCGGTTTCGCCAATCTTCTGTGTTGTAATCAACGACATATTGCAAGATGGAAAGCCAACGATCGGAAACCCAATCGCTCGAGCAAACTTGATGCAAAACTGGGGATAGACTTAGGAACTTTTCATAAGGTATAGTTGTTGTTGAACAAGGACACAGCAATGTGTTGGGATGCAAGATTTGTAATTCTTCGTAAGTTAATAAAGACGGATTCGCTTCGGTTATTGTTGCGATTTCTGTACTTAGTGAAGTGAAGATTAGAAGAATGGTGAATGAAACTAGAGAAAGTCAAATCTTCGAGATTATCCATACGGCGAAAAGAAACTCACCTCCTAAGAGAATCAAATAAACTCGCGTGATCAGTCTCTGTTTTCTGATATCCTCTTCCGATCTTTTCTCGATATGTTTGTAAAGATTGACTTGCTGAATCGATCGAAAGAGCTTCTTTGGATGAATATTATGACATAAAATAAAAAGATTCTTATCTTCGACAACTTCTTTGAATTTGAGAAACATTTCGAATAGAAATGGCGCAACTAAACGAAGAATGATTATTAAACCACCGTATAAACTAATAAACATTGTAATCGCATAAGGAAGATTAGTTCGAGCGGTTGTTATATAGGAACATGATGATGGCAAGCATTCGGCAAAATATTCCGCATAATTCACTTCGGTGGACCATTCTTTGACGAAAAGATCGCGCAGATAATCATACACAGTGATGTTCTGTTGCTCGCCTGGCAAAATTTCACTTGTCCAGTTGAAATTCAGCTAAAATAGAGAGAAGAGATTAATAACGAAATGTTGGCTTCTACGAACTTTGTCGAGATTTAGAAAATAGGTGATCAGTATCTGGATGCACTTAATATCATATAAACAATCGAGTGTACTTGGTAGGAGAGCTTCGAGCGGAGTGCATCCAGCAAAGAATCCATCGACAAATATCATATTTGATGGCGGTCTTGACCACCCGGCTATAACAAACAATCCTATCACACCGGATCTTGATGAGAAACTTGTAGGACTAACTGGATTTTGCGTGCCACACATCAACGTTTCAGGTGTCGTAACAAAAATGGTCGTATCTTCAGTAAATTGTGTCTGTAGTTGATGAATGGTATATTGATTATTGAGATAGTAACTTCCAAAGATGAGATTTGTATTCAATGCTGAGACTACATAGTTGCCGCGAACATAGACGCGAAGGTAATTCAGAAATGATATAATCTGTGTCGAGATGCTGTTCTTGATGAGATTGATCGTCGCATTAACTTCCAATTGCAGGCGTTCGGCAGACTGAAGATGAATTGTAAGATATTCATCATTGTCGAAATCGATTTGACTCTGAGAAACTGTATCACTCGAGATTGAGCACAGATCGGCCAGAAGTTGAAACTAGTGAAGAGAAATTTGAGATTTACGAATTATTGAAAATGGATTTACTTGAGATCGGGCTGTTGTCCGAAAGTCGGAAGGTCCGTAGTCGCTTGCATTGATCAAGTATAATGCTTCTATCCAAGGTTTGCTAACAAAAACACTCGAACAAATTGAGTGAAAGGTAATTGTATTTGAAACAAAGTTCTTGTAAGGTATTGTAACTGTTGAACATGGACATGAAAGCGTTTCTTTATGATTCGAATAAAGTTCAGTGAAAATATTTGGATTAATTTCATAAATCGTGATCGTTTGAGAATGTGGATTCATTAAGGTGATGTAAAACAAAACATAGAGTGAAACTAAACATTGAACTAAAAGAGCAAACTATCGATGAGTGTGATAGGACTTACCCATGAGGAGAAGAATGTATAGTCGGGTGGTATATTTTTGATGTTTGAGGGCAATGACTGGATCTTTCGAGTGATTTTCTTCATAGTAGTCATTTTCTTCCAACATGAATAGATTATAATTTCTCCACCAATCATAAAACCATTGTAAAACGACTCTCATTTGCATCGTAGCCGTACGGAAAATCATGCGTGCTAGCCGCAAGTTATTTAATCAACATTTTCTATGTGACGTGGAATAGTTCAATGAGCTATTTACTAAAAATAAAATTTGGTAATTTGAAAATTGTTGAAGGAGCAACTAATGAACTACATAGACCAGATGTTGTTAGGAGTTCTACGTAATAGAAAGTGTTTTTTCATCAACAGAGAACCGTTGCGACGTTTTTAATCTGTTATTGTTTGTGTAAAAAACTGTTTTTCATCATAGCATACGTATGCTCTTGATGTCAATTTATAATTTATGTTGTGAAGCAAATAGAAAACTTCAGTTTTCTTCTCTTCCGAGCAAATGTTCGGAGAATTGTGTCGTTCGATAGACAGCGGAGAACGAAGAACAGAAAGAATATGATTTCATTTCACTCGCAAACTTTTTGTCAAAGAATAGGCTGTTTGTGTCGAAGATTCGATGGCGAGTCAAAGACGTGTCAAATCTGCCAACAATTTAGAAAAGATTTATCAATGCAGTCGCGACATACGAGAATGTCGTCTAGGTGCTCTATTTATGGCTGAGAAAGAACAAGAGCGAGGGTATCGAATCAATGCAACCGACGTTCAAAATACTGAACAGATTCAGATACGAATGATCCGATTACATTTACTTCAACAGAATGAATTAATCAGAGGCTATTCGGGTGGTGTTGTCAAACGTGAAGTGCCAAAGATACCGAAATTTCCCGACATTGGCATGCCTGCGGAGAAAAAATGGCCCAAGCCCGCTAAGAACAATCATTCGATACGAAAATATACTAGCACAAGATCAAAAGGCAACTCCGGTGCTCATCGACCAACATCACCAGTTCCAGTACTGAAAGTAGAACGCGTTGTTTTCGAAAAAAACCGAGCTGTCATCAATATGAAAATGCAACAAGCCGAATCGAATGATGCCGATGTTAATGATAAGAATAATATTGTTGACGATATTGTTTACCCACCCGGAGTCAAAGATCGTCGTCCATATGATATAGTTGCTAAATATCGAAAATTAGCAGGAAAAACAACTGATTTCACTGCCGAACCTCTTGACGTCGGCGAAGACAAAGCAGAAACAACTGTTCTCGGTTTAAGTAGTTTCGCTGAAGCACACAGTTGCGAGTTGATATTCACTGATGAAGAGCATCGATTTGATAATAGTATCTATCGGGCTGCTTGCGGTGTAGCTGACTTAGGAAGTATTCATCTCTTGGCTACGGATTCAGTTCAAACAGCAACGTTTTGCTTCTTTATGAATTTCGATTTTAACAGTGAATTCGAAGAATCGTCAGAAAGAGTCGAAGCTTTCGTGGTCGACTTTTGTCAAGCAATCGCGACAGTTCTCGAATGTAATACGAATAATGTTCGCATGTTCTCAGTTGGTAAAATGGGTAAAGAAAAGAACAAAAGTGAAGTGAACTTTGGAATAACAACGGGAGAAACGAAAAAGACCGAGCAACTTGCAAATGCATTAAAAGTAAACGTTTTTCAGAGTTATCTTGCCAGTAATAACAATTTTAAATTCGTTTTTTTTCTCATTCTTTCAGAGCCGTGCTCGTTCAGGTTTTACTAATGATAAAGTGCTTGAACGCGTTCTCGCGAAAGACTATGAGTACGAATGGAGAACAGCACTACAAGCTTTGAGATTGCAAATCAGCGATCTTGATCCTACGTATAACTTTGACTATAGACCTGACCATACACCTAACGAAGATAGTCGCGGAGGCCATGCCTACTATCTACCTCGTGGTTGGTACCGACATGCTCTTCGGGTTGAACACAAGTATGAAAAGGATTCACATTGGTTGGACAATACAAATGCGAAAGGTGAGTGGCCGGTCGCCTTCCACGGAACAAAAGATTGGGCAGTATCAAGTATTGCTAAGGAAGGTTTGAAAACAACTGCCGTTAAAACTGATGCCATGCGATTGGAAGCCATTCAACAAATGGGAAATGAAGCGGATCGTCCAGGTCTATATGTAGCCACGCATTGTGATGGTGGAGCAAGCATTTATACGGAAAAGTTCACCGTCACGCCATTTCCAGACCAAACTGAAACCTTTCGTATTGTTTTTCAATGCCGTGTCAAACCCGAAAAGTATACAGTTCATACAAGCCCTGTGAATCAAGGGCACGCATGGCGTTATGTTGACCCAAGTTCCATCCGTCCATATGGTATTTTGTTAAAAAAAGAGAACTAGACCCTGTCGGTTCTTTCTACGATATACTTCGCAAAGACGAATTTGATTTTCTATCTTCCATTATTCTTTACTTTTATTCTATCAAAGAAACCAAGAGAATGATTGTATAGAAAAAAAATACTATGAAAGCAGTGCTTCTCGTTTGTCATCAGATTCATCGGAAGCGTTAGTTGTGTGCAATGTCTGACTTTCTGTTGACCCGCAACAATATTTACATATATCATTCATTCTAATAATTAACTTCCAATCGATGTCATTTGGCTGGATAGGATTATGCAAATAAGACACAATTCCACCAATGATAACTACAGTTCCGACAGCAATCGTCGTATACCACATGTAACTCACCGAGTACAGCCCAAAAAATAATTCAGATCTAGAATTGAAAAGATGTCAGCTATGATCGAAAGCTATCATCACTTACTTAGCATCCACCAAACTTCCTGTAAGGGTGGCGTTTCTGTTCGTTCTACTAAATATATCGATATCAGTACAGTTCAGTATTGANTACCTTTTATTCAATTACATTGCTCGATGTCTCAAACAGAAACCATCCATTCGACATCGTCTTCGACAATTTTTACATTCGAATAAAACAGATACGATTATTCTTTATCGCGGCGACAGAGCCTCAGAAAACACTATACATGAGTATCGGCAGGCAGCTGGAGATAAATCTCAATATTTCAAATGGCTTCCCTTCATTTCGACTTCACGGACAAAGGAAGAAGCAGATAAATTTGCACAAGATGTTATGTACGTAATTGCAATTGAATCTCATTTGTCAAACGAAGACAGATTCATATTTATGGCACCGATCAGTGACTACACCTACGAAGACGAATATTTATTACTACCAGGTCTACAATTTCAAGTGAAGAAAGTCGAATTTAACAACACGCAAGGTTTATATTACGTTCATATCAAGATCATTTCATCGTACATCTCAAAACTACACTAATTGTTTCATTTGAAATTATCGAATAGAAAAATAGATATGTTCAAAGTGCAAAGGACACAACGAGAAAAAGGTGTCATTAGTCGAAGCTTGAATATTTCAAGATGCATCCAGGGGATGTTCACACTTAGTCCAGCTCTTTCAGCAGCTTTGTTAAGTCTAATTTCATTTTTTCTCGATAGATCACGAAACCATACGAAAAGTGCCTTCAATCCTTCATCACTGAAATCGTTTTCATGTAAGTCCAAATGAATCAATGTTTTGTTCATCTTCACCATCAGAGCAAGACCTTCTGCGCCTTTATTTGTAAGACCGATATTTGCTACTCTTAATTCTTTGAGTATATTGCTATTGATTGATAATGCTTTGGTAATATATTGAATGCCTAGATCACTTATTCGAGTGCCGGAAAGATTTAATAATTTCAACGTTGAATTATTCTTCAAACCGGCGGCTAAAATAACTGCATCTTTTGATGTAATCGAATTGTTTATTAAATTCAGTTTTGCACATTGTTTTTTGATAATTACTTCTTTAACTACGGTTACCATGTCCGAATCGATTAATCTGATACATCTGGGAGCGACCATACGACTGACGAATGATTTTTTTGAAGTTTTACATTTCGATAAGCAATGAATTCTAAACAAAGATAAACATTTGACTTCATTACACGAAAATTCGATCCTACCTATACCAGAAACACCACTTATTTTACTGTTCTTCTAAGCATTGAACGATGGATATTTTTCTCGAATTTCCAATGTCTTATTATACCATTGAATACTGACGTCATAATGACCTTTATGTGAAGTTATATCACCGAGATCTCCATACAATTTGATGAGAGATGGATTATTATTCGATGGAATTTCACCGATCAATCGAAGATAGTATTTTTCGGCTAAGTTAAATTTTCCCATTTTCCAAATAATCTTCACTAAAGTTGAAAGAACTGCTTTGCCATTCCCATTTTGATCTTTCATATGCGATAAGACTTGTTTCAAGTCATGATCATTATCGCTATACAACATCATCGTGATGATCCATAAGGGATCGTCTTCGAGACTGACATTATTAGGACGAAATATCGATCCTAACATGAAAAGTACTTCAGTTTCAAGGGGAACATCACTATCAGAGAAAATATCAGCAAATGGTTTCATCGACACAACACGAGGATCGGCGTCGATCTCGAATAAAACCCGTTCTAGATTGTCCGTCGGATCGCGTTCGCCCCTGAAGAACAATGCGGTTTCACGTTGTCCGGTCGTCGATAGAAACGAATTAAGAGAAATAAACTGACCGATGTTTCTCTTTAATCTATGAATTTCCTCTTTCGCCATCAGTTGACTTCGGTAAATACGTGTCGAAGTTTGTAATTGATAGAGTTGCAACTGATGATACATGTCGAAAATGTATGAACGAAATAGAAACAGCATTTCGATATTCTGCACACGTAATGTTTTGTTCAGAACTTTGTGGAAAAATGAATCTCGTGTATACCACCATAGAACTTTTACCGGTGAGTAGTCATTTTGAAATTCGTAAAGTTGATTAAGTAATCGATTGTTTCCTTGATAATCGTGTCGACAAATGGATAATCAGTTCGTTTTTGTCTTGTTCATTTGGCTCTATTCGAAGAAGACAATCAATCAGTAGTTGAGAAGATATTGATCAACCATGGTTGTTCATCTTTCATTCGTTTTCAGTGATCCAATCGAATTCGAGCAACGAGCTCATTAAATTCAATATTGACTGATTTGATCTAGAACAAACAAAGTGCATCATACAGCGACGAAAATTGATCGCGATTTGGTACTTTAGAAAATTTTGCAATCATTCTCTGTTGACGAACGTGTTTTGACAATAAATATAAGTTGCGTAAGTTTGCTGTAATTGATGAATACGAGACACCAGTGTAAGTATTCAATATGATTCGATCTTCTTCTGGGCCGTTTCCCAATATATTCTTGGCAAGTGTCTTCATTTTGAAATGCTATAAGATGTTTGCTGATCGAACGCATGTTTTTATTCATATTTTCGCCTTCATCACAAGTGGTGCTAGTTCTATCATCGAGCCAAACAAGACTGAATGTTTCAAGATTGTCGTTAATACTATGCGATTCATTGGTTGGAGGCACTGCTTCAGCCATTCTTCTTTTTCATAAAGCAACACAATTGCAAACAAACGAATTCACTAACACATCGACCACATCTTTTGCTCTGTTTGTATCAAAATACACAACTTGAATGGTTTTTTTTCATAGTCAGATGTGTATCAGTATAACAGTGTGCATCACTTGAAAACCAACGAACGTGGTAAAAACTTCAAATAATGGATGTGTTCGATGAAATTTTATCTACGATCGAACTAGATACAAATGCGTTAGTCGAAGAACCGCCGAGATTTACTCTTCCATCCTATTTATGAAGGTCCAAGTTAACGGTACACCTGATCGATTTAGGTTGTGCAATTCTTTCACTAGTTTTTATACTCGTTGCACTTATTGTCACGCTCCCAGTTTATATGATCTTTGTTGGAAGCACAAATATCGGTAATTGTTCAATCGAAAGAAAAATTCCTATTTATCTAATTGTTACCGGACTGGTATCGATTGTTTCTTTGTTACTCTCGGTTGGAATCGTCGTAATTAAATTGAATAATACTGTAGAGATACTGGGCGTTTGCTTATTTTACCTACAACACATGCTGCATGTATTTTGGATAACTTGCATCGATTTCGGACTAACATGGATGATCAATGTAGAGTCATCAGTGCAACATACGAATATTCTACTACCAACATACTGCGCTGAGGATGTATTCAAAGTTTTTAGAGCATCTGCACCCATCCAGAGCGGTATCGCACTGTTACCAATCCGTTATTCTGCACTTTTCTGTGTTCTTGGTTTTCAATGTGCAGTCAGACGTGTGGTCAAGAGGATCCAACCACCTCCTAAGGAACACTAATACCTATCCCCCATTGGACTAAGCTAAAAATCGTGTGTACAACTTTGGTTTTTATTAAAATAGATCATTTTTGGAAGAGAAAAGCAATTTTTCTCACGACTAGAGTATCGCGATAACGAGGGCGAAAACGTTGCATGCGCTTTTTGGTTTGCTTGTCTCGCTGAGCTCGATCTAGATCTTGTATGGAGGGTTCAATATGAAACCCATATTTTAATATATCCATAATAATAACCAACATTACGACAGTTATCATTGCCATAATTGCTATGTAAACAAATGATTTAGAAAGAATCCGATGAATTTTTGTTGTACTAGCCACTATTTCGCAATGGCGACCGGAAAAACTACCGGCAAGACATTGACATTGATAATCGAGTACTAATGGTCGGCAAACGCCATGATTGTAACAAGTGACATTGCTGCAATAATTCACTTTTGTCTTACATCGATCATCTTGCCAACCAGGTTGGCAGTAACAACTGTACGTTGTATTTGATGTTTCACTACACGTTCCTACAAATAAAACATTTTTCTTAGATTTGTTTGCAGCACAAAGAAAACAACGTACCATTGTTCCAACACGTATCTAATCGACATAATCTTTTATCGAGTTGACATTGGTCACCGGTGAAACCATATGGGCATAAACAATAAAAATTATTTACGTTACTGTTGTTATTATAGCAAAAACCATTGTGATAGCACGGTTGAAGATAGTCGCATGCCTTATCAGAAATGTTATAATACAAACCAATGCCCGTAGAATTCTTCCAGGTTGACTGCGAAGATTGAGCCGAGTACAATGTTGTTGTAATATCAGTTGTGAAACTTACGGCCATCGAAGTATCTAATAAAAACACATTCATTATTGACAGTATCGATCTATTTGACCATGACTAATGAAAATACTGAATTTACTTACAACATGAATTTGTTAAGAAAATAAATTTTTGAATTCGATTGTTGTTTATATCGCTGACAAACATATTTCCATACGTATCGAAACTAAGAGCCAATGGCCAATATAACTGATCAGCTTCTGCACCAGATATTCCGGTACATCCAACTAAGCAACGAAATCCATATGGACCAGATCCAACAATGCGCGCATTTATTTGATCCACAATAAAAAGATAATTTTCAGCATCGAGAACAATACCTGCGGGACAGTTAAGTGAAATTGTCTGAATTGTAGATTGATTGCCTGCTACAGTCGTTCCATTTATTATACCCAATTGGAACAATTGAATTCTATCATTACCGCAGTCTGCCACATATAGATCAAAATTGACATCCACAAATATACCCAAAGGGTAGTCGAGTGCATCTGGTGTGGCTGCAGCTGTGCCTTTCCCGGCAACAGTTGTGGATGTGGACGTATTATCATTGAACTGACTTCGAACAACTATATTGTTATCTCTCATTGAACAATACAAGTTATTATTGACATCAACAAAGAGTCCATAGCAAGAGCTACTGGAATGCATCCTAGTGCTCCACGCATTTGTGTCTGCGCTGTATTTTCTCACTTGGCTGCCATATAAATCACTGCTACTATAAATATCGCCGTTAGATGTAACGAATATGGAATACATAAGCGATAGATTGCCCACAAATACGTTCGTCACATTTACGCTATTATAAAGCCACATAAAAATGATGCCATTATTTAAATTAGCAGAATACACGCTATTGTTTGTATTAACAAAAACAGCGTGAGGTTGCGAGCCAACTATAGTATTTGTTGCAAAAGTCGTTGCATTTGGATTCCATTTTGCTTTTGCACAAAACTTTGGTTGATTGTATGAAACGACTGTATAAATACATAAAAAAAATTATTTGATGTATCTTAATAGTCAACGTACCACACGAATTTGTAATTAAGAAAAATTTTTGTATACGATTATTATCTTTGTCGTTGACTATTAGATTCCCGTAACTATCGAATGCAAAGCTGAATGGGTACTGAAGTTGATTTGGTCCTGAACCAGGTGTTCCTGAACATCCAATGATGCATCGAAAAACATGAAATATATACTGAAGAATTCGGTGGTTATCCAGATCAACAATGAACATACATCCATCGGCATCGAGAAGAACATCAGTTGGTCTCGATAGTGTTATTGATCCCGCTCCGGTTATGCTGGTTCCATTCAACTGATTTGGATAGAAATATTGAATCCTATCGTTTCCATAATCAGCTACGTATAGATTAAACTTATTGTCAACAAATATTCCATTGGGATAAGATAGTAGAGAAGGTTCTGATCCATTAGTACCATTACCAGCAGCAGTAACCACTGTATTTGTATGATTTTTCAGGGACATCTTAACGACTTTGTGTTCGGTATCGTAAGCACAATAAAGTGTATCGTTTGTGTCAATGAAGAGACTTGAACATTCACTAGTTGTATTCATAGCAATGACACCGCTCGTTGCATTCAATGCCCATTTCTCTACCCGATGAGTGATACCACCATTTGCAATGTAAATATCTCCGTCACTCGTAACAAAAATACCAGATGGATGAAATAAACCAGTCGATATGTTCCGAGTAGCGACATTACTTCCTTCGGGCACAACCATTGTTCGATTGAGATTTTTAGACGTTACATAGAGAGTACTGTTATTATCTACGAAGATTCTTGTAGGTTTTACGCCTACAAGAGTAGAAGTTGCAATGGTTGTACCATTTGGATCCCAAGCAGCGCAGAAAGAAAATTCCAATTGATTGTAGGATAGTTTTGCAACTATACAGCAACATATAATAGGAACTCTTGTTAGTAAAGGACAAATCTACCTGTCGTTTGTTCAAATATTAACTGAACAATGAATCCTATGATCAAACTGGGAATCAGATTCATGTATTCTTGCGTTGGGTGAAACTTCGAAAGAAAATAATGCTGATAATAAATGTAAAAAATTTGTTTTCTCTGTCAATTCAAATCAGTTCTTTTCTACTAAAATCTTCATTGTCAGCATAAAAAGATAAACAACGAGAAAAAAGTGTTCTGCACTTGTAAAAACTTACATATCCTTTGACACGATCGTTTTTATTTGTTTAAACTTCATGCACGAAGAAATCATTTATTGCCGAAGGTAAACTAACACCTTCCGGAGAATGAAGAGTGCAAGTTTTACCAAAGAGAAGAGCAAAGGTTTTGCCCGATGTATCATCGTCACCTTACCGATTGTAATTGTGGGCACACTTATTCATGAACCACTTCATCGTCAAATATTCACGCACCAGATATCTAATCAAAATTCAAGCAACGAAAACCTGAACATTGGAAAAAGGCTGGCGCAAGAAAGCAACACTTGGTGTATAACCGCTTATACCCAACCAATTCAAGATTACAATACGGCCATCTTATCGACAACATCTTCGCGACCAACGGAATGAACATATACCACTCGTCATCAGTCCCGCAATTTTAGTTGTTTTATCGACACCATGTCTGATCATATCTTTGCTATCGGAATGCATAAACATGACTCGTCATACATGGTTGTATGCTTGCAATTATTTTATTTCATTTACACCCTCGATACTTATCCTCGTTGTATTTGTTATATCTTCAAACTCTTATTGGAAAACTTTCAAAGAATCATTTTTTTCGCATTTGTAGAAGGCAGTAATTATAGAATAAGTCATTAATTGTTCTTTCCTTTCGTAACCTATTTGAAATACGATACAATAAATTGTATTCGCTCTTTTCCCGGCCCAAAAACTGAGTAATACTATACATTCTGTATTCGGGGTGATGTGCTTCACCTTTAAAGTATTTAGCTCCCTTATAAGTATACGTTTAGCAAATACTACCTGTTTGTTTATCAATACGACAGAGAAAGTTCTACCTATCAGTTCTAATGTATTGACAACGACTATTTTTTTTCTTTTGTAATGTGTGACGTAAATCAAATGGATCTTTACCGTTTAGTCAAAAATTTTTAGTTTCAATCGTTGACTTTTGGTTAACTGTATACTACAATGATATCGATGTTTCTCGGTGATATTCTCACATGAGTAGAAAAAACAAACAGTATGGTTGGTGAGTGTTGAAAACGAATGAAATTGCATCTAGGTCTGTCAATCTGTACGTTCGTTCGTTATTTTTGTCATACATTACTTATGAAAAAGAAGCATTTCAAATAGTTAGCGTTGTAATAACAATTCCTACTGATACACTGTGATGCCTATAAACTAGATCGTTCGGCAGTTGTTCAGATAAAACTCGTCATTTTTACATGGATCTGATGTAAAGTTGCACCTTATCTGACGATAAGAAAATAAATTAATGCAAAAACAAAAATTTTTTCACCTTTTCTTTGCTATGCGTTTCGTTCAATCAACCCAAATTTAGTTTATGTGCAATGTGGGCTGCGAATGCTACGATATTCGTCAATGCAAGTGTGATTGATCTAGCGAACGACTAATACCCTATCCTTAACAAGTCACTCCCAGCAGATTCAATAAATCCATGCAGTATATTTGTGACGCACAACAATGTTACCTATGTTGATCGATGCATACTGAATATTACATACAGTGGCAAGTTTCCGAGCAATAGGCGCTGTTATCTCACTGAATTGACCAACAAGTGTGATTCCCGACAGTAGAAATTATCGAATTATACGTTCGATGGCGAATGGATTTGAATGTTTATTTGGGTGTTCAGGCAGCAGTGGAATATCAATGGACCAATTGAACACACTGTTGACAATGGCTTTTGATAAACATGACAATATGTGTGTCACTGATTTCAATAATCAGCGCGTTCAAGTGTTTAATCTCATTCGAAATTCATACAGTAAGTATATAGATTAGTACATACTACTTTTTAAAACTAATGTGCAGTACAAACAATCGGAGAATCAAATCTTGTCATTCCTAATGGACGGCTGATATTATAGTGGTGGAATGACACAAACTTATTAGAATAACAGTCTCAACAATCAGATCTTACTGACGTCAGAGTCATGGTAGATAACGATTATTAAGTGAATTTTATCTTATAATATGGATATTCTTCTATAGTGATCGTGGACAATGTCATTTAGATGGTCACGATACAACGAATTTCTTCATCGTGGCAATATGTAAATAGGACGCCAACAATTGATCCCAGTTACATTGATAATCAGAATGTTTACTATAATTGTTGCGCATGACTTCGTGGATATGTTAATCAAAATGACAATGCTCGGACTGATTTGACATTCATCAGCCAAGCGCAAATACACAAGTAGGGTCAATTATCACTCTTGAATCAACCTTGACTGCGGATCGCGATGATATAACGTCACTAGTTTTCCGTCAAGTAAGTGGTGTCGCTCCTGTTTGCTTAATAAAAGTCATCCTAAATAATGGGATCGGATAATGTAGTGATGGAGCTGTTGATAACATTCAGTTACACTTCAATCAATAATTTAATAATGAGTACATACTTTGTATTAGAGATGTGTAGAATAAACGTGTTTGCATTCTAATGCTACACCCTCTTATCCTACAGCTCGTTTACTCTAAGTTTTTTCTACCCGGCAAATCTCTCGCACGTATGTATTTGTGTCTACCTGCTGTACTGCAATAAATAAAAGTCAGGATCAAAGACTGAACCAGGTCGTAACTGGTTTAAAATATATAAGTACTTTTTGAACGAAAATATCTTTTTAATTTGGTAAGAAATAGTCCCTAAGACAGTAAGTTAAAGGTTCTGTAATAACGAGCATGGAAAGAAAAGATTCAAGTGATGATGACTGACTCCGATAAGAGAAAGAAATTTAATTCTATTTCATTTAGCTGAGAATTCAGCAAGATTCTCTCAACGAGCAGCATTAGAAAAACAACTATTCTATGTGGCAGCTCTCGAAAGTATTCGTGGGAAGTTCTGTAACAATCATAGGAATAGAATTGACTATGATGAAATAAATTTATAATAGCAACAACTGTTGTAAAATAGTCAATGTTGATAAATACTTCATTTAATTCACACCCTCAAGAATTTTAAACGACGCTATATGAAGTTTTTCACTTATTAACAAAAATCTTAATTGTCTATCTGCATGGCATGGTTTTTGTCTACAATACACGAAGGAAAGAGTTATTTAATGTCATTGACAAAACATTTTTATTGCAAAAGGACTTTAAAAAATAGAATAATACTTTCTTGATACTATATTCATTTTTTTCAGGTTTTAATCCTTATAAGTAATATACGAACAAACTTACGTCATGAATTCTAGAAAGAACAAAATATGTGTTTGTAACGTAAGATGCGAAAGGCAACTTTATTCAAATAGTGTTTTTCCTATCACTTTAGACTATTTTGAATCCTTCGAATCAAGGAGACATGATAACAGTCAGACCAGAAACATCGTAGGTATCTTCCTGAAAAACTATAATCACGAGATTGTGATTAGATGAAACTGACATACGATTAGTAAATAACAAAATAAATGTTACATTTGTTTAGATTTGGATCGAATAAGAAAAGCTCATTATCCAAATTTTAATCACTTTGCTTGCAGATATCATGCTAATACTGGGGGTACCACGATTCCGTTGAGCATGATTAGAAAGAAGAAAGGTGGTTCATCAATGAAAATAACAAGAACAGCAAACAAAAATCATCCAATACAGTAAGACCCTTCAAATTTCGATGAATGCACAATTTCATAAAAGAATTTGATCTCGTTTTGAACTTCTTCGAAAACGAAAACTTAATGTAGATAAAGAAATTAGTTTACTCTTGCTTTGCATCTTATCAGTCACTAATGAATTCATTGGAATTTTAATTAAGAACATTCACTAAATAAAGAGAATAAATGTAACAACGTGAAGGAGTACATACGTATACAAACTCAAAAGACGAGTTTAAAATTTGTATGTCTAGAACACGGATATGCGGGTCAGAGTGCGACAGTCGACAACGTTGGAAACTGAAAACTGGTGTGTCTGAGCTGAAGCGTAACCAATGAGAATCGATTTCCAATAGCTTGCCAGTATAAAAGTGGTTTCTGTCGGGAAGTAAAGTGATTGTTTAGTTATCCGATAAAGTCCTTGAACTCCTTTCTTCAAGAACACAACCAAATGATTGTGGCTTTGATCCAGTGAAGATTGTGTATCCATCGTTCCATGCGCCGCAAGATCTCTCGTATGAGGCAAAAAATCGTGCATCTGACTTACTCCATGTTTTTATGTGATAGTTAAAACTTTCGAAATATTAAAAATTACTTACTAAACCAGACAATTTATTACAATCTTCGAAATCTCTAGACGCATTCAGTGTGACTAAAGCAAGTGAGTTTTAAATGATATTGAGAAGAAATTCTTGAAGTTTATCGTAACGTCTTCCATATTTATATTTTAATTCAAGACGTAATTTTTCCAGATGTTTTGCAGAAAAGAAAATTTATTGATAAATTTGTTTCTGTTAAATTCAGCATTTGCGTGAAGAGTATCGATAAATCACTGTTGAAGGAGTGATACGTTATAACGATGAGATGATCAATAACTAAAAAGTTGAAGATATTTAAAATAGAGTGACAGCATTTTCAATGAATATCTTCAAGTGAAAAAACGACGGTGACGATAGCGTGCGATGCGCTGACAAATTCGTGGAACTCACTACTTTGGAAAAAGTGACCAATAAATGGCAAGTATGGTTTGTCCAAGTAGGAGAAGTCAAATTTGATTTGTATAAGCAGCGAAAGATAGTCGAAACTATTTTAATAAATAAGAGCTTCCAAAACCGTCATTTTCAAAGTTTTTAAGTGCTAACATGAAGAATTGTAGACAGACGCTGCAAGATATACACACAAGGAAAAGAAATGATTTTCCAGTCGAAATATTTCTAGTTCTTGAAGAAGTTACACTGAGGAATAAAATAAGACTAAACAAATGTTCGAAGAAAGACTTTGCTACTCTCTATTGTCACCATGAGAATGTAATTTCTTTCGCGCAGAAACGTAAAAAATGAAAATGATATATGTTATTGCACAATGTTGTACAATTCTCTTTTCATTCGTCCGTGTTCTCCACTTGCCTTTTATTTTATGTTGTTGTTTTTTTTCGTTGATTCGCTCGAGCTGCAAACTTTAAGAATGCGAATCAGATATTTCACACTTTCCGGAATGAAGACAACGGTTGTCGCTCTGCAATGCTCTAAGTATACATACTAAAAATACCATCCGTGTGTCACATATCAGTATTTTGCTCTCGATTTTTGCATTCTTATATTATAAAATTTAAAAAAATCGCTTTTTAATCATTTGAATATGACGGTCGATCACAAGTGCACATTTTGGGAAAATATCCTGCTAAACAAACGCCTTCATAGTTATAATTACAAGCTTTCGACGGCGATACACCCGGACGAGTACGTATCAACAGTTGACGGGCAGCCTCTTTAGCTTTTTCATCGTCCTGAAATACGTCAAGCAATATTATAGATATAGTTCACATGTCTGTAACTGATTACTTTATATTTCAAATACAGTTGCATCGATGCTTTCGCATCTTGAGTAGCCAAATGTCCATTTGAAGCGTTTAAATTAACATGTAATAATGTCAATGCTTCATGTGCTAATGAAGAGAAACTATAAATGGACAAAGCGCGCAATGTAATTTTCTGTATGTCTAACTTACTTGATGCTGCCAAAACGTGGATTATATGCTTTGAACCAATCGCTAAGATCGATAACATCGGAATAATGTGTGCCCTTTTGTAGTTGTAACCATTTAATATCGTTTTTTGGACTTTGTCCGACAATGATTGTCATCGGACAGAAAAAAGAATATATCTATGTAAGATAAAAGTTGATTTCATACTAGAGAAATTATTCATAGCTACTTTTTGTAAAACTTCGTCGAGCGGCGGTGCTTGTTCGAGATCTTTGATTCTTAAGCCTGTAAATGGATATAGATCACTTACAACTTTTTCTATTGGTTTAATCAATGACGAATAAATTATTTCACAACGATCGTTGACAATCGCTACGCTGCATGGAGATCGATCTTCATGTGTGTAACCCGTTGCGACACATTCGACATCAATTGCAAGAATATGGTGATTATTTGAAGTAGCCATCTGGAATTCACAACATGGATTTCTATGACTTGCGGACTGCAATAGAATCTTTCATCAACTGCGTTATATAATAAGGTCACTGTGTATTTCCCTGTTAATACTGTGTAAATTTAATCGATAATACGAGTAGTGTTGACAAAATGTGTCTTACAGGTGAAATTTTCGACTGCTCTGTTTTGTCGAAAAAATAGAGATATAGAAAAATGACACAATAGATGTCTTTGCAAGTCGCTCCCCTATTTATTTATTATTCGATTCGGTAATAGTTCGTAAATATGACACACTTCATATCATAGTAAGCGTAACAAGAAGAAAAATGCCATGATTGATTTATAGCTGAGTAGAACACAAACTGTGCCAGAATGAACTGGTAAAAGACGATCTTCCGCAATCTATATATAGAAAAGTATTTAACAGTATAACTAACTTATAAAACGTAATCGTATTACTGACATGAAAAACAATAGCCATTCCTCGATCTAGATGAGGTTCTGTATGACAGTGAAAGAGCCAAACGCCAGGATTTTGTGCACGAAAGCGAATGCGCATATATCTAAAATGAGATTTTTCTAATTTTTATTAACTTTCCTTCTCGTAAACAATCCTCACCCTCCTTTTGGTAGCTGAATCGTATCCTTGACTAATCGCATGTTATTCGTCGCACACGTCCTATTTTCTGATTGGCACGTGCACACAGCATGTTCATCGCATACTATCTTAGGATTGTTTGACATGATTTCTCCTGTTGTCTTGTTCAATATTGGAAGGCCTTGCTCGACAATATGGAAATAAGAACCGTGCAAATGCAGCGGATGTTGATCGTTATCGTGATTGACAACAAGCAATTCAATAACATCGTTATATTGGGCGACGAGAGCATGATAGCATTTCTCGCCGTCATCCTCAGTTAATGATCGTCCGGAACAAGGAAGAAGTTCTCTGGCGCGTCGAGGATTGGACAGTACCGAATCTTTTAATGCCGGATATTTCATACCAATATAATTAAACGATTCAAAACCGGCTCGATTATCGTTTCCTTCGACCATCGTTAAGGAAAGTGTATGATTGATATTAATTTGAATATTCTCACTAAATAATTCTTCATCGAGATGATCAGCATGGGTACTAATGTTCAATGGTGTCAGGCAAATGAAAGTATTCCTTCCATCACTATCGCCTGGTCCATATTGAGTGAATGGGCAATTCAAAATTTGACATGGTTGCGATACACTACATGTTCGAGGAACGGTTGTAGGTTTCGTTTCAGTTTCCGCATACTGTAGAATAGCATAACTGTGCCATCTGCTGTTATTATTCCTATCCATCGTATTCACTCGAATCCAATAGTTGACTGAAGTATCGATTCCGGTAAAGTTATCTATGAGGAGATCGTATCGTTCACCAACACCAATAATTAACTGATCGACAATCATCGGCTGAGCGAATGGTACACCATCGGAACTGATCACTTTCAAAAGATGTTTGTCAATGGAGAATTTCAACGAGAATACACTACCGCCGTTGATGAGGCGAAAACGAAAGGATTTATTAGCCTGTGTGGATGGAACTTTCAGACGTTCGAAAGGTGTCGTGCTAGAGCCACTCGTCCCATTTCGCATGTCGATATATTGGCCACGGCCATTGATTAATATTGAAGTAACTAACGCTTCGGCAGCTCTCGATCCATCCACTGATTGAAAGTAATCAATAGTTTCAGATTTCGTTAATGATTCTAGTTCATTCGGATAAAACTGACCACTTTCAATCAAAAAATATTGTTGTTCGCTGGTATAAAAATGTTGCCAGTCATTTAGAAAAAGGACGAATTCACCTTCATCAGCCGTGCTCGGTTTAACTCTCGGATGCACTACGAATCCACCCATGAGACCCATGGCTGTTTGTAAATGCATATGTGAATGGTACCAAAAAGTACCTTCATCTGTGGCAACAAATTCATGGAGAAAATCAGCACCAGGCAATATTGAGATTTGTGTTAACTGACCAATTCCATCGCTCTCAGGCGTGTTCACCTGTCGAATACCATGAAAATGTACACTCAACGATTCTGTCATCATGTTATTGTAGATGCGCACGCGTACAGTTTGATTTTGATAAACATGTAGAACAGGTCCTGGCAATGAATTATTGAAGACGTATACCTACATGAAACATATCTGAAGAACCAAACTCATTATTGTTAAAGATGAAAACCTACTAGTTTTGGATAACCATCAGCTGTAATAATATCGCTCATTGGAAATGTTCGATTCACGTCAGCATAATGATGTAACATACCTTCATCAGTAGCAACAACACGAAAGAGATCTTTATAGAACATGGTCATCGTTGCTGAAGCATGTAACTCAAAAGAGCAAATCGACATCGAACTTTGGCAAAGATGATTATCTTCGTATGGTCTGTATATCTCCAGTGTTTGAACATATTGTTGACAAAGAAGCAATGCATTCAGTAGCATGAAAAATAACCCGCACATCGTGTGAGAGAGGATCAACTGATATTTCAGTGAATGACAACAGAAAGAGAACCTTTTACCTATACGCAGTATGTATCTACAGATTTTATATCACCGCCCTGTGTAAATGTTTTGAGATATTTAAGTCTTATAGATACGAAGAGAAGCAGCATATGTCATAAAATAAATTCAGAAATTCTATGCTCTACGAAGATTTAAACGCGTATAATATTTTGAAATTTGTCTTCAGTATTCGAACGAAAATTTCTCAAAGAAACACGGAATTAAGTTTTCAGAGCGGTTTCATTTTTCGTTTAGTGAGCGTTATTTCACCGTATAAAGCACAATAAGGAAGATCGAGAGGGAACATGTATTCACAATGAATACCCCTGATGCCATATCGCATTTTCTGTTGTACATAAATTCGTGTAGTTATGTATGGAATCGAAATAGGAAGAATGAAGACGAGAAAAATATCAGCACACATATCATTACAGTGTGCATTTATTTTTTTAACGCTTCTATCCTATACGCCACAGTAAACCATATAGGATATAAAAGAAAAGAACATAATATTGACTTTTAATTCGATGATGAAAACTGCACATGGTATGCAGCGCTTTTTCTTCATCTTATTTTAACGACAACATCAGCAGGAATCAAGATGAGCGACGATGAAACAATCTTAATGGCGATCGCTATGATCGATCGAAAGATCGAATCGTTGAATGGTCAAGGAAAAGAGTCTGCTTATTATATTGGTAAATTGATGGTTGTTCGGGAAGGTCTTGAGAAGCTCTTCAGTTTAACATCTTCAACGAATACTTTAGTTCATCTATTTTGTCGACGAATGAATCGACTGATAAAATACAACAATTCAATGCTGATCAACGACTGGCTCAACTTACATGCGGACCTTCTGCTCATTTTAGAACATCATGACGAATCAATTGAAAAGCTTGACTTGATGCAGTGTTTATCGTTTTTGAAGTTAGAAATTAAGATGGAGGAGCGTGAAATACAATTCGAGAAGAATTTCGGCCACCGAAAGACATTCCTTGAATTAGCTGAACAACATCGAGTTTTACTTGATGAATACCTCCAAGCATGTTACTCATTTCATTCAAAGATTCAAATACAGGGTCTGGTCGAGAACGTTGATGAGTTTCTTCGAGAGATTTCTTGCACAGCAGATATTCAAACTAGCGATCGGCTTGAAACAAGATTGAACTCGATCGGCATTCCCATGATATGCCCTTATCAATTATTTCAGTCGTGTACACCAACATCTTTCTTAGATTTTCAATCGCGTCATCAATTGACCGATGGTGAAAACGTCTTCTTGCCCGGTATGGATGAGATAATAATAAACAATGATGCGGGTATGTTGAAAATCCATCGGAGACTACTCGAATCTCGATGGCTTGTTATTCTCGGCGATCCCGGAAGTTCCAAAACGACGTTGTTACGATACATCACGCAACTATTCGCTTCGGCAATTCTGCAAGGGAAAACACATGTCGCAACCGATGCAGACGATTGCAGTCCACTTCGAATTCCGATTTTAGTTCGAATAGGCGAGTTCTCTGAACGGCAGAATATCGATTCAAACCTGACTTTGTTCGATTACATTGGTAAACACACGTGGTTTTCGCAATTGTACGGTGATGATAACATTGGAAGTGTATTAAAAGACTTTATCCGTCATGGCCATGCACTCGTTCTTTTGGATGGTCTCGACGAGATTTCTGCATTCGACCAACGAACACAAATCGTCAAACTTATTCGCGAGTTTATTCACGAGTACATTTATGGTGACGATTTCATCTCTGCCTTTGATGATGTTCCAAAAGGCTTCAATAGAGAATCTCGAAGAACAATGGTAAATGAAAAACAATCACCTAATGATTGGAGATTCAGAGAAATGCATCCACCATCGCTGCCTGGTGGCAATCAAATTGTTATAACAAGTCGCATCGTCGGTTGCAATTTATATCGATTCCATAGCCGATTAATTGATTACTACAATTTACTTCCCATGTCGGACACAAATGGGAAATTATTCATCGAACAATGGTTCACCAGTGTAGATCAGGAAGTGCGTAACGTCCTAACAAGCGAAAACATTCATTTCGACAAGGAAAAAATGGACAAATCCAGACGACAACGGCAAGATGTTCTCGATAATATACTTACCGACATGCGGAAGTCTTTCTTATCACATCCATTGATGCTGTCTCTGATGTGTTCATGTATATTCAAACTGCTGGATGACAGTCAACTACCAAAAACTGTGACTGAATTGTACGATAGAACTATACGTTCAGTACTAGGCAATAGGACGACCTCGCATCAATCGAGAATATCTCAAAATATTCTGATCAAACTTCAGAGCAATCTTGCGTTGTATCTTCATGCGCATTCATCGTCTGGTGTCATTGATGAATTTGATTTCAAACGAATCTGTGGTTTAGTATTAAAACGAGAAAATGTCGCGAAAACCAAGGCGGAATTGTGTCAATATACGGATGAATTGTTAACATTGATTAATTCGAACAATAGTATGATCGTCGAACGAGGATTGAAGGTGTTCAGCTTCACTCACTTATCGTTTCAAGAGTATTTCGTTGGCTTATCTCTTATCGATCAATCGTCCATCGAGAAGACGATTCAACGTATTCTGATCTACGCTGTCAAGCCTCGTTCTCGTGAACCCATACGATTCGCGCTTAGTTGGATTAATCAGACATGGCCATCAAATGATCGGAAGGAACTCTGCAGAAGACTAGTGACTGAAACAATCAATTCCGTACTTCCGTTAGGCGCTATCTTATTTTTCGATCTTATTCATAGCATTGAACAGTCACTCTCAAACTGTGCACTTTACACAGCACTGGATCAGCTTATCGATCACCCTTCTATGTTGATCTCCATTGGATACTTCGGAAAAAGTTGGCCTGTATTACCACTGGATGCAATACTCAGATGGATGGAGTTAACTTTAACTAATGATAAACGTGTTGTGAAATTCTGTAAATCATTTTTATTCTCAATTTTTCTTATCGAACATCACACGTTGTGGAGACAAAGAAACGACGAATTACCGGCTGTTTGCCAACGATTATGGTCGTTACATTCCATGAGTTCAGATGTTGAAGTCTGTATTACCCAAACATTGTACCGTATCGTGACGTCATTGCGTTCACCATGTTCTATTTTTCAAAGTGGGTTGCCTCAGTATCTTCAGATACATAAGATGGCTTTGTCTCAATGTCATCCATTGGTAACCAGTGTTATTATTGCATCGTATGGTGGGGCTTACAAGAAGAAGGATGAAATGTGGTTTTCTCACAAATATATCTATCGCAATTCCATAGTCGGTAAGCCAATTCTCGACTATTTGGCCAATACGAACGACTCTTACTCAATCAAGATTTTAAACCTTATCAAACAATACGAAGATATGCTACGAAAATATTCATCGGATGATATTTCGAGCGATGTTATTGACATTCTCGTTGCTCTTATTTGTTTACGTGGCATCTCACAACCGTTGATATATTATAAATTCGGTGTATATCGAGCATTGCCGCTGGCTTTGAATAGGTTTAAAGTTATATTATTTCTTTTGAGAGATGATTCAAGATTCGTGTGGGATAGAACAACACAAGTGATGTTTTCTGGAGTGAAATTAATCATAGATATATTCGCTTCACAACCTGGCCAAACCATTGAGCAATCCAAACAATTTACACTAGCGTGTATAGCCGCATGTGATCGACTCAAAATTGATTGGACACGCTATTCATCAAGCTTAGGGAATCTATTCGACAACAATACTTATCAGTTGCATCGATCACGAAAACGTTCTCATAACAACGGATTCAAAACGCAAGGTATTCACGCTCGTCAAAAGTCAACCGTTCAATTAATCGAAGAAGTTCATTCATCCCATGAGCAGTTATTGACTCTGCTGAATTTTGTGCCTGGTTTCGTTCAACGTCTGTACTATCGTCTACTTATGAACCAAGGTGAACAACACGACTCTCCACTGTTTATTGTTCTTTTATCACAATGTTTGACTTTTTTCGATGCTAATATTGAACTAGATGAGATACTGGTAACTTTGAATGACTTATTACCATTGTTCAGGACGTACAACATGCAAAATTACATAATAGCTCTGTTTTGGGAAAGTAAATTTCGATATATGAGTGATCCAAAGGACCTCGATGACGGTTATCTTCGGAAATTTTCGATAACTTATTCGGAAAATTATGAAGATCTGATCGTCGAAGAACAACGACGAATTTTACAAGCGAACGAGTCGAACGATGTTCGTGACAAAGACTTTCAACTTTTTGCTGCATCACTTTCACTTGCACGACTGTATCAAATTCGATTCCGTTACAGCACAAACGCAAATCCATCAGCCGATGAGAAAAAACAAATTCGATCCGCAATAGAAAATATCAACAACCAAGTTTTATATATCGTAGCCATGAACATTATCTTAAACATGAACCAGCCATCTATTTTCGATACCAACCTCCACGATACCTTAAGATCAGAAATAGTTTCTCGATTATTAGAAGTGTTGCCTAATCTACCCTTCTTAACAGGTGCTTTACTACTTTTCCGGTGCCAAGTAATAGGTCAATCCTTTCCATTAATTTTCCAAAAACTCGTTCATATAATTGGTGAACAATTACTTACAACTCCATTAGATGAAGACATGTTGGAAAATCAGAAAGCAGTCTATGTCGCGCTTAGCTCAATAAAGAACTCTTCACTTAACAGTCTCTTGATAGAATTCAAAAAGCAAGTTCATGATGACGAAGAATTTCGTGATGTGAACTCGGTTGTGTTTCATCGTTACTTAACCAGTACAGATTCATTTGGTGAATTGGATGAAATTCTTTTGTGTAGCATGTACCTAAGCGAACTAGCAGTGGATGCTCAAAATTTGCAAAAATATGTGTTCAACAATGAACAACAGAATACGGTTTCTTTATCGGAAAATTTCCAGCAATTGTTAAAAGTTTCGAAGAACGTGATTACATCTGAAATTGCCACATTAATCGTCACTTGTATAGCGAATGACAGTGAAAAAGACTTTGACGTGATTGGCAATGAACTAATTAATTGTAATCTTGTCGAAAAAGACGCTCAACCAGTGCTCCTCGAATTATTCAATCTTCCGACGAAGAAATCAAGACAATCGTTAGTTTATTACATTGCACTATTATTAGCTAAAGACGGTTCAACCACATCAGCATCCATTGAGTATATTAAAAATTTTTGTCAGACCGCTATCAATAAGAAACTCGAGGGTCTTATCCAACAATTTCTCGAGCTACCCAGCATACATTCGGAATCAATACGTCAGGTTTTAGAGACATTACTTCGTTGTATGCGTCGTTCATCATTACACATTCGTGCTACTATTTGTTCCCGTGAAATTATGCAGTTAATCTTACAACTAGAAAATGAAGAATCTCGAACAGATGGCAGCTACGTTTTATCCGATTCGTTTTTAATGCTAATCGATGGTTGTTCATTCGAAGTACAAAACTATCTTTTAGAATATCTTAATGTAGACAGTGATCTACAAGGCAGTGTAAAAGAACAGCGTCTGATTAGAATGATCACATGGATTATGCAACACTTCGCCACGAAAGAATGTCCGGTCTCTGATCTGCTTTATAAACATATCGTATCACTTTTTCAGGATCAAAACTACTCGTGGGTACAAGAAACGATTATCGATAGTCTTCGATATATATATCTCGGAAAATTTCAGAAGAATATTTTCACCAAGGGAGATGTCAAACAAATTTTGGAGGAGACTATTAATCATTGTGTAGAAGTCGCCGATTCTCCTTCTGAAAAGCTCTTAGCAAACTGCTTCAACACTTACGGATGTTGCATCCAATTCTACAAAGGTTGTCGAAATGAAAATCCATCAAATGAGATGATCAATTTATTGACAAGACTTTTTCAAACGTCTTCATCGTCACTCGTCGCTGCACGAGCAGGTCAATGTTTGCTAAATATCGAACTATATGTTCATCATGGTTCGATTGCTAGTTGGCTCAGGAAAACTAATCCGAATCCCGAGCAGATATATAATATATTCATGCGATGTACATCCGATGAATATCAATTGTGGAGAGAATCAGAGCGAGAAAAAATATTGACTCATATTATACTACAACATCCGACAGACCTGCTTCCAAAATTCGTCAATGAAATGTACGTTTATCTTAAAAGCACGCCAATGACCTGCACACTTTCCAAGGATATATTTTCTTATGTCATTAGAGCTAATCGGTTATGCGCTACAAATTTTACCATGTTTCGTACTGCCGTAGAAAAACAATTCCATGACGCTAAGGAATTTAAATCTTTACTTTATCAAATAAGCAAACAAGGTGATGATGACTTTCGAAATGAATGCATATCATTATACGCCTGTTTCGGTGAGATTACGTCGGATCTTATCGATATGATCCTAACCAGTGATTTGAAACAATGGTCTTTTTTATCAAAGCAAATAGAGCCATTGATAGCTGGTAAACAAACATCATTAGATCGAGAGATAATTGAGAGCTTATACGAAGCATTAGAAACGCCATCGAGGGGAAAATATGCAGCGCAATTCCTTATATGGCTTGTGAAAGCTGGTTTTATATCGGTTTTGGAAGTATATCAGAGAATATCAAGTATCGTTAGCAAACAATACTTACAAAATGAGGATAAATATCAAGCAGACTGTGAACATTTGTTCGAAACCTTACTGAAGTTGACTTGTATTCAACTCGGCACTGTATCTAGTGTAGATTTACAAGGACTGCTTTCTAGGGAAGATAAATTAGGAATATCTACGCAAAAGAGAATATATAAGTGTTTTCATAGTTCGAATTGACTCTTTACGAATATTTCAATGAACAAAATCAATGCTTTTTTCCAATTTTTTCTTTTTATTTCCTGCTAAATAAAGTTCATTTTCTTATCTTTATAATGTAAAAGTGCATAAATTTCGTTATAACGATTATAATCAACATTCGCAGAAATCAAGAACCCAAACGCTATGTTCATTAACTCTACCATGACCACCAGCGCATGTGGCACCCTCGTGAAGTACCCAACGATCGCCATTGTAATACCAATCGCGACATTGACCACATTTATTACAAGCACGACCGTTACAACCTGCCGCCTTTTCAGAAAAACTTACTGATTGCTGGACTATGTTGGCAGGTTTTTTGTCTAAAATAAAAGTCTCCATTATTTCTACGTAATTGGGTGTAATTATTATAGAATATATTGAGCTTATTTCTATGTTTACCAAATGATTTGGACGATTGTTGCATTTGATTCGTAGTTGATGAAGACGCTTTCTTGTTAGTCTTACTCGTTTTTCTCGATGACGTTATTGTTCGATCTGTGTGCAGCGAGATATATAAATGCCAAAATCACCGTGTATTACTGTAAAATAACCTATTTAAACACATGTGTGAATAGTTTGTTGTGAAGTTTCAGAAAAATAGTTTTTCTCTGTTCTCTTCCATTCGCTGACGTCAAACGAACGCAAAATTTCTCTTCTTCTAATGCAATTCCAATGTTTTGCATAAGTAGAAGTATCGTCCTTGCGATCAATCGTTGAAATATTCATCAGAAAAAAATCCGAAGTGGAAGCGAGTGGTATTTATTTTACTCTAGATGAAATTTTCATAGATAACTATATCAAACTATATCAAACAAAGATAGCAACTATAAAATAAAAATTTCACATAATCCGGTATATGAAAAATATTTTCTACACTTCAACAGTTAGTCCGTTACGACTGTGGTTGATAATTGTCTTTAGATGAAAATAAAATGCTGGTATATTGTAGCTAAGATTTGCGTATGTCAAGAGGTGGATCGCATATCATATTAGTCTACATCTACACGAAGAAAAAAGTTAGATCGTAATCAAACGGGAAAAAATGAGAGCAGCGCAGATTATGAAACTTGAAAAAGAGATAGATGAAAGCGAGTTATGTTTTTGTAATGTTTGATCATTTGATTCACTCGGACTCTTGACGTATGCGGCATTTCGATAAGCAGCATCGTCATAGCGTTGAACTTGCGTATTTGAATTCACAATTTTTGTAACTTTTCCCGGTTGATCATTACATCGATCTGTGGCACAACAAGTTAAATCGAGATACTTTTGAGGATGTTGACGCATCTCTTGACATTTCCTCAATGACGTTAAACCACGATGCCATTTAACATTTCCATTACGACGATCGGTGTCCGTACATGGAGAGTAATGATTTGAGTCATGTGATGAATGAGAACACGCAGCTCGATAGCTAAAACAAGCACAACCAACAGTAGCACATTGTTCGCCTTCCGGTGTTGCATATTGCGTCATTTCAGCTTGTGAATATGCATAGCTTAACACATCACTTGATGCTTGATTTCTTGTCTCTTCATGTTCATATTTTGTATAGCATGTTAACGGTGTCTGATAGTAATTTTGCGATGAAACGTATGAGAATAGTACGAGCAAGAAGCAAAGCGTAAGTTGATGGGAAACAACCATCGTTGTTCGTCGAAATGAAGATAATTATATTTCCAAACATTCTTGTGCGTATATTTATCCATCGTACTTAACGTCTTCTCTCTTCTTCTTTCTCTATTTTCTATTTCTACTTCAACCCACACATCAAGTATAAATAATTTTGTATATCTAACAGGAAGATAACTGCTACATGTCATTCGCCTCCACATATACGTTTGTTTTTCTTCGCATTCTCGATGCTATCCTGATCTTATACATAGAACGAACTCTTAGATTGCGTTATCAGAAAACACTAAAATAGACCCTATTCTATTTCTCTTCAGTGTGAATCATCACTGAGTACACCATATTTTTTTCTATGTTGACGTGTCATCGCCTTCCTCCTCTCATAAATTGTGAGTCATCCTCTACTTTCTTTATCACATAGTAAAAACACACAGATGCATAGGTAAAAGAAGAAAAACATTCCAAGATGGTGTTTGTTGCAGTATTGATTATGGTTTTCATCACTGTAGTGTTGGCAATTGTTTATTTACGATATTTTTCCACAAGTCGTTATCGATTTCGTTATTTGTCGAAAATATCAGGATTAACTTCAATCAAATTTTCTGTGCTCGAACAAAATCGTCAAACATATTATCCAGCGAATCCCGAATGTCAATGTCATCCGAATCACGCTTCAATTATTGTACCGCAAACTAATTGTCCTCATAGATCTGAGACGTTATTTATTAGTTTTGCAGGCGCTGCGCTACTCGTCGGAGGATTCACATTTACAGAATGGAAATCTACAATTAAACAATTGGACTCGCAAGCGGACATCTTATTTTTAACTGATCCTGCTCAGTCGTTCTTTCTACAAGATTCCACTTATTCATGGCAAGGATTGTCATATTGTCGCTCATTAGTTCGAAACTATTCTAAATTGTATAGAAATGTTGTATTAATCGGTGCTTCGATGGGAGCGAGTATGGTTTGTATGTGTAGCGATCTTGCTACACTCTCAATTGCATTCAATCCAATATTCGATCCATCATTAGTGGCGAATGCATACTATTTTTATCGAGTATTATGGAAATATCCAAAAGCACACATTTTGAAGCAAGTGCAAATCAACATCGATAAAATTACGAATGAAAATCTACCATCTATTTTACATGTACATTGGAGTAAGAATTCACATAATGATCTCATTCAAGCAAATTTTATTTCAAATCTAAGTTTTATACACTTCACGGATGTGAATGAGTGTACTAAAAAGCAAGGAGCGTATTTTTGGTTACATAAGTGTGATAGTCATGGTTTACCCCAATACTTGAAAAATGAAGGAATTCTAACTGATATTTTGCGATGTCATGTAAGCGCGTGAATATTTTATTTTCCAGATCATAAAAGCAGAATAAAAGGTTTTGAAGTTAAACGTGAATAAACGTTTAGTCAATGGCATGCACAGGTATTCAATAGAACGAACATGGCACCAGCAGTGTCATCTGAAGCGAGTATATCTTGACAATCATCGTTGTTAAAATCACCAACAACGATCCAAGTATAGCTACCAGTTAATCCTGTCGAAAAGATCATTTGTGTATCGAAATTCCCATCACCATATCCAACTAGAATATAGATAACAGACCGGTAAATCGGATTGACAGCTATATCTGATATACCATCGTTATTGAAATCACCAGTAGCAGGCCGTGTATAATATGTTTTATTTCCTACGATATATTTTTCCACCGGACCCATCGTCCCGTTACCATAGCCTAATAGGACACCAATTCGTTTACCACCGCTATAGGAAATAACAGCGTCCGAATGATTATCTCGATTGAAATCACCAATTGCAATGTACGATGGATAATAATTGCCACCAACGAATGAGGTCCTTTGCGGTTCAAATGTTCCGTCACCTCTACCGAGCAACACACCAAGACCTCGGTTATTAATCGTATTATAACTAATATCTTGATGACCGTCACCATTAAAATCAGCTTGATCCACAGTTGATGGATTTGCATTAAGCCCGGTGTAGTATGTTGTCCTGTTTCGAAACGATCCATCTCCATTTCCTAATAAAACAATGAGCATGTTAAACGATGGAGCAGACACAGCTATATCACTGTTATTATCACCATTAAAATCATAAACAATAATACCTCGTAAATTCGTACTGTTTCCCATATAAAACTTCGCTAACGATCGAAATGTTCCATTGCCATTACCAAACATCATGTATATGTAAGCTAGACTTTCACTAGTCATTACGACATCAGGTATTTTATCATTGTTAAAGTCGCCTACTGCTAAACCAAAATACCATGTGCTAAATGTCGCTACGAAAGTTTTCATTTCGTTTGTATAGAATCCACGACCGTCCCCGAGCAAAACATGAATGCTGCTGGTTTTATAATTGAAAAAAGCAATGTCAACTAGATTATCTCCATTCAGATCAGCGATAACAGGAGACTTAAGTCCAGCATTCGAAGTACTATTATAGCGAGCTGCTATTTGAAACTGCAATTGACACATGGGCACTATGTTAAAATGAAAAAAGCAAAATCCGTGTAAGATTTTCTCTATATGACAAATTAGATTACCATGTGTCGTCGAAGTTGTTGTTGTGGTCATTGTACTTGTCACCGTGGTACTTTTGTCGATGATAGTCATTGTAGACGATGAAAGTTCTATGGAAACATATTTAAAATGTATGGAAATTCGAATAGTTTAAATATCTCACCATCTGAATTAGTTGTCGTCTTCTTCGATCGAAGGATATAAATCGAAAAAAGTGTAAGACAAACGATTGTGATCATAACCATCAGACATATTAAAATTACACTCATATACGATCGGTTTGATCGTTGAACACTGATAGTTCTTAAAACGAGAGGGTTCTTTCAGAAAAATGAAATAATGCAAAAAATCTCCTACTCGAATGAAGTACTCGTTGATTGTGTATCTGTCGAAGCTGTCGGATGAATAGTTTGCGAGTATTTCTTTCTGATGATACGAACTATTTTTGGACAGATCCATTCCAAAACGATGGAGAGACCACCTTGAAGACCAAGTATAAGAGTAATAGTGTAGAGTACACTGAATGGTTGATTATAAGTATATGAACACAATAAAGGCAAACATTGCTCGAAATACAATGAATAATTAATCGTTGTTGCCCACTGTTCAACAAATAGTTCGTCCATAAGTTCAGCGACAGTGGTGTTGATGAAAAATCGACTCTCTGCTATTGATAGCGGTGCTGATGAGTTGATTGATTTTGTTGCATTCGTATAGTTTCGAACTAGATTCAGACACGATTGATCATAGAAACATTCGAGTGTGGACGAACGGAGAGATTCACTTGGTAAACAACCCATTTTTAAGCCTTTGATCGGAACTGCAGCAGACACATTTTGTTCATCAATAAAATTAGCTTGAGTAGTACAATTGGAATACAATCCACATGAACAGTTGCCATCATAGATAATCGCTCGACTCGGAATAAATGGAACGAAGACACTCGATGTGAACCAGGTGGAGAGATACTCGAAATTTGTGCCATAACTGGAAACGAATGCATTGCCATGATTAACACTTCGAATCAGGAAGAAAAGACGTGTCAATGATTTCGAAGCGGTCGATTTCTTTTGTTTGATTGATAAATTCAGACGTGAGTGAAAGTCATTTTCTGTTAAAAGTTCAGTTGTTATGAACAACGACGTGAGAAATTGTTCAATTGTACTCTGAATCGATTGATTGGAAAGTTGACACAAACCTTGAAGATATTGTAAATGAGCTGATAGAAAACGACGATAATCTCGTTGTCCGTAAATCGATAAATTTGAAACAAGACCATTGGTAATTTCATTCCGCCATTGATCGGATGTCATTGAACTTGTGCAAATCTACAAAATTCGGATGTAAACTTCACGAATACTAAATAAATATTTCTCACTTTATGAAACTCTGCATTAATCTTAGTAAATTCACTGTATTTTGTTGCAATTTTCGAACATGTACATTTAAATTTCTCTCCATACTTTTGTTCCAACTGTGTATAACTCTCAAACGAGGGTTTATCGAATGTAATTGTTACAGTTTGAGGTTGAATAATAGTATACAATGTGAGAATAGTAAGACCAAGGATCAAAAGAACAAAGTAGAGACGCGTTGCCCATTTGCCAAGATGTTTCGCTGTCGCTCGATCAGTATGACTACCAAAATCTCGTATGGAAAACACATTTAACTGAATGACAGTTTTATATATAAAGGAGAACACTTCTTTACTAATTCTTTTCAAATGACTGCAGCTCATTCGACAAGCTATAGAAAAATAAAGAAAAGAGATCACAGAAATTTAACGTACGAGTGATATAGTATCTGCAATTTGACTTTCACTTATGATACTACTAAGAGTTTTTCTTCTAGAACAAATTAAACTTACCGAATTGTTGTTGATGCTGTTGCTTGTGAAAAATTTGTCTAAATAATTTATGTATACCATTCACCAATATTGGTGCGAAAATTTGTAATGCAAAAGTCAGACCACCGATCATCGAAATGAGAATGATCACCACTTCCACGATCGTTTTTGTGCGCATTCGTTGAGAATAAGTGCAATATTTCGGTGCACACAAGTCGTAAAAGTACTTATAAGAATAAGATGGATTCCACTGTTCGATCATAATTTGTTCAACTATTGTTGAAATTGATGTGTTAGGCGGATAACGACTTGCATTTGGATAATAAATAAGCGGATTGGCTTCGTACCATTGTGGAAACTCCACATTTTGATAATAACTGTCTTTCATATAGGCCATCAGAATCGAATAACAATTTGAATCGGAATAGTAACAAAACAGCTGTGAGAATAGAAGAGAACTGAATGTTGAACAGCTAGCAAGCGAGCCAGGAGCGATGTAACTAATATACGTATATATACGCGAATTCCAAACGCTATCCATTTGATAAACCGCTACTGGTGTTTGGCAGGAGGAATTCGTTGCACAAATGCAATTGATTGATGACAAATTTACATAACGCGTACCTGGTAAGCTAAACACAACCTAAATAACGAGAGAATTTGATTATCTTGGAAACAAGAATATTTACTTGTAATGTGAGGTTATTCGGTTGAATAACTCCTGTTAAGAATGGATCTTGGATTGTATCCCAATTGTTTTTTCTCGATCCTAGATAGAATTGATCGACTTGGGTGAATAGTCGGGCAATGTTAACTAAAGAGCCAAATGAAGTGATAGTTGATTGAGAAAACTGATTCAGTGTTGCGTCCAATTGGGTGTGAAATTCTATCTTCGAAAGAACACTGGCAATAATCAATGATTGAGAGAGAAAATGATGAACAGCATCGTCGATTGTATTCTTTGCTAATTGGCAAAGATTCGATAGTAGCTTAAATTGTAAGTATGCTCGGTTTCGCCAATCTTCTGTGTTGTAATCAACGACGCGTTGCAAGATGGAAAGCCAACGATCGGAAACCCAGTCGCTCGAGCAAACTTGATGCAACACTGGCGATAGACTTAGAAAGTTTTCATAAGGTATAGTTGTTGTTGAACAAGGACACTGCAATGTGTTGGTATGTACGATTTGTAATTCTTCGTAAGTCAGTAATGACGGATTCGATTCGGTTATTGTTACGATTTCTGTACTTAGAGAAGTGAAGATTAGAAGAATGGTGAATGAAACTAGAGAAAGTCAAATCTTCGAGATTATCCATACAGAGAAAAGAAACTCACCTGCTAAGAGAATCAAATACACTCGCGTGATCAATCTCTGTTTTCTGATATCCTCTTCCGATCTTTTCTCGATATGTTTGTAAAGATTGACTTGCTGAATTGATTGAAAGAGCTTCTTTGGATGAATATTATGACATAAAATAAAAAGATTCTCATCTTCGACAACTTGTTTGAATTTGAGAAAAATTTCGAAAAGAAATGGCGCAATTAAACGAAGAATGATTATTAAACCACCGTACAAACTAATAAACATTGTAATCGCATAAGGAAAATTAGTTCGAGCGGTTGTTATGTAAGAACATGACGATGGCAAGCACTCGGCAAAATATTCCGGATAATTCACTTCGGTAGACCATTCTTTGATGAAAAGATCGCGCAAATAATCATACACAGTGATGTTCTGTCGCTCGCCTGGCAAAACTTCATTTGTCCAGTTGAAATTCAGCTAAATAGAGAAAAGAGATTAATAACGAAATGTTGATTTCTACGAACTTTGTTGAGATCTGGAAAATAGTTGATCAATATTTCGATGCACTTAATATCATACAAACAATCGAGTGTACTTGGTAGGAGAGCTTCGAGTGGAGTGCATCCAGTGAAGAATCCATCGACAAGCGTCGTATTTGATGACGGTCTTGACCACCCGGCCATAACAAACAATCCTATCACGCCGGATCTTGATGAGAAACTTGTCGGACTGACTGGGTTTTGCGTGCCACACATTAATGTTTCAGGTGTCGTAACAAAAATGGTCGTATCTTCTGTAAATTGTGTCTGAAGTTGATGAATGTTATATTGATTTTTGAGATAATCACTTCCAAAGACGAGATTTGTATTCAATGCTGAGACTATATAGTTTCCGCGAAAATAGACGCGAAGGTAATTCAGAAATGATATAATCTGTGTCGAGATGCTGTTCTTAATGAGATTGAGCGTCGCATTGACTTCCAGTTGGAGTCGTTCGACAGACTGAAGATGAATTGTGAGGTATTCATCATTATTGAAATCAATTTGACTCTGAGAAACTGTATCATTCGAGATTGAGCACAGATCGGCCAGAAGTTGAAACTAGTGAAGAGAACTTTCATATTTACAAATTATTGAAAATGGATTTACTTGAGATCGGGCTGTTGTCCGAAAGTCCGAAGGTCCGTAGCCGCTTGCATTGATCAAGTATAATGCTTCTATCCAAGGTTTGCTAACAAAAACACTCGAACAAATTGAATGAAAGGTAATTATATTTGAAACAAAGTTCTTGTAAGGTATTGTAACTGTTGAACATGGACATGAAAGCGTTTCTTTATTATTCGAATAAAGTTTAGTGAAAGTATTTGGATCAATTTCATAAACCGTGATCGTTTGGGAATGTGGATTCATTAAGGTAATGTAAAACAAAACATAGAGTGAAACTAAACATTGGACTAAAAGAGCAAACTATCGATGAGTGATATGACTTACCCATAAGGAGAAGAATGTATAGTCGGGTGGTATATTTTTGATGTTTGAGGGCAATGACTGGATCTTTTGAATGATTTTCTTCATAGTAGTCATTTTCTTCCAACATGAATAGATTATAATTTTTCCACCAATCATAAAACCATTGTAAAACGACTTTCATTTGCATTGTAGCCGTATAGGAGATTATGCGTGCTTTCCGCAAAGTGAATAGTTATTTAATCAACATTTTCTATATGGCGTGGAATAGTTCAATGAGCTATTTACTAAAAATAAAATTTGACTATTTGAAAATTGTTGAAGGAACAGCTAATAAACGACATAGACCAGATGTTGTTAGGAGTTCTACGTAGTAGACTGTGTTTTTTCATCAATAGAGAACCGTTTAGACGCTTTCAATCTGTTATTGTTTGTGTAAAAAACTGTTTTTCATCGTAGCATACGTATGCTGTTGATGTCAATTTAGAATTTATTTTGTGAAGCAAATAGAAAACTTCGGTTTTCTTCTCTTCCGAGCAAATTTTGAGTAGCAGATATTTTCGGAGAGTTGTCTCGTTCGATAGAGAGCGGAGAACAAAGAACGGAAAGAATTTGGTTTCATTTCACTCACAAACTTTTTGTCAAAGAATAGGCTGTTTGTGTCGAAGATTCAATGGCGAGTCAACGGCGTGTGAAGTCTGGCAACTATTTAGAAAAGATTTATCAATGCAATCGTGATATACGAGAATGTCGTCTAGGTGCTCTATATATGGCTAAGAAAGAACAAGAGCGAGGGTATCGAATCAATGCAACCGACGTTCAAAATACTGAACAGATTCGGATACGAACGATGCGATTACATTTACTTCAACACAATGAAATCATCAGAAGCTATTCGGGTGGTGTTGTCCAACGTGAAGTGCCAGAGATACCGAAATTTCCCGACATTGGCATGCCTGCGGAGAAAAAATTGCCCAAGCCCGTTAAGAACAACCATTCGATACGAAAATATACCAGCATAAGATCAAAAGGCAACTCCGATGCTCATCGACCAACATCACCAGTTCCAGTACTGAAAGTAAAACGCGTTGTTTTCGAAAAAAACCGAGCTGTCATCGATATGAAAATGCAACAAACCGAATCGAATGACGTCGATGTTGATGATAAGAATAATATTGTTGACGATATTGTTTACCCGCCCGGAGTCATAGATCGTCGTCCATATGATATAGTTGCTAAATATCGAAGATTAGCAGGAAAAACAATTGATTTCATTGCCAAACCTCTCGACGTCGGCGAAGACAAAGCAGAAACAACTGTTCTTGGTTTAAGTAGTTTCGCTGAAACACACAGTTGCGAGTTGATATTCACTGATGAAGAACATCGATTTGATAATAGTATCTATCGGGCTGCTTGCGGTGTAGCTGACTTAGGAAGTATTCATCTCTTAGCTACGGATTCAGTTCAAACAGCAACGTTTTGCTTCGTTATGGATTTCGATTTTAACAGTGAATTCGAAGGATCGGCAGAAAGAGTCGAAGCTTTCGTGGTCGACTTTTGTCAAGCAATCGCGACAGTTCTCGAATGTAATACAAATAACGTTCGCATGTTCTCAGTTGGTAAAATCGGTAAAGAAAAGAACAAAAGTGAAGTGAAATTTGGAATAACAACGGGAGAAACGAAAAAGACCGAGCAACTTGCAAAGGCTTTAAAAGTAAACATTTTCCAGACCTACCTTGCCAGTAATAACGATTTTAAATTCGATATTTTTCTCATTCTTTCAGAGCCGTGCTCGTTCAAGTTTCACTGATGATAAAGTGCTTGGACGCGTTTTCCCGAGTACCTATGAGTACGAATGGACAACAGCACTACAAGCTTTGAGATTGCAAATCAGCGACCTTGATCCTACTTATAACTTTGACTATAGACCTCACGAGATACCTAGCGAAGATAGTCGCGGGGGCTATACCTACTATCTACCTCGTGGTTGGTACCGACATGCTCTTCGGGTTAAACACAAGTATGAAAAGGATTCACATTGGTTGGACAATACCAATGCGAAAGGTGAGTGGCCGGTCGCCTTCCATGGAACAAAAGATTGGGCAGTATCAAGTATTGCGAAGGAAGGTTTGAAAACAACTGCCGTTAAAACTGATGCCATGCGATCGGAAGCCATTCAACAAATGGGAGATGAAGCGGATCGTCCAGGTCTATATGTAGCCACGCATTGTGATGGTGGAGCAAGCATTTATACGGAAAAGTTCACCGTCAAACCATTTCCAGACCAAACTGAAACCTTTCGTATTGTTTTTCAATGCCGCGTCAAACCCGAAAAATATACAGTTCATACAAGCCCTGTGAATCAAGGGCACGCATGGCGCTATGTCGACCCAAGCTCCATCCGTCCGTATGGTATTTTGTTAAAAAAAGAAAACTAGACCCTTTCGACTCATCGTACGATATACTTCGCAAAGACGAATTTGATTTTCTATCTTCCATTATTTTTTACTTTTATTCTATCAAAGAAACCAAGAGAATGATTGTATAGAAAAAAATATTATGAAAGCAGTGCCTCTCGTTTGTCATCAGATTCATCGGCAGCGTTAGTTGTGTGCAATGTCTGACTTTCTGTTGACCCGCAACAATATTTACATATATCATTCATTCCAATAATTAACTTCCAATCGATGTCATTTGGCTGGATAGGATTATGCAAATAAGATACAATTCCACCAATGATAACTACAGTTCCGACAGCAATCGTCGTATACCACATGTAACTCACCGAGTACAGCCCAAAAAATAATTCAGATCTAGAATTGAAAAGATGTCAGCTATGATCGAAAGCTATCATCACTTACTTAGCATCCACCAAACTCCCTGTAAGGGTAGTGTTTCTGTTCGTCCTACTAAGTATATCGATGTCAGTACAGTTCAGTATTGANACAATTCCACCAATGATAACTACAGTTCCGACAGCAATCGTCGTATACCACATGTAACTCACCGAGTACAGCCCAAAAAATAATTCAGATCTAGAATTGAAAAGATGTCAGCTATGATCGAAAGCTATCATCACTTACTTAGCATCCACCAAACTTCCTGTAAGGGTGGCGTTTCTGTTCGTTCTACTAAATATATCGATATCAGTACAGTTCAGTATTGACAGTGGTAGTCGATGATTGTTTCGTTGATGTTTCGTTAGTTGTGCTCCTATAAAGATCCATAGTTGCAAAATTAAACTTATAAAAAAGCCAACTATCGCTCCTGTTCGATTGGCTCGTGGCACGAAAAGTCCCAGAAAGAATACGCCCATAATCGGCCCGCAAAGCGCATTGGTCAATGATACGCCAGCATTAATTATTGGACCTAAATAGCTGATAACATAAGTTAGAAGTACGATAATAACGCCGACAAAAATGGATGCGCATTGCGATAAGTAACCTTGCTGTTTTTTATCTAATTTTTGTCTTAATAGACCTTTGTAAATGTCTTCGATTATAATTGCTGCCATACTATTCAATCCGGATGAGATTGTTGAAAGTGTACCGGAGAAAACGCAGGCTAGAAACAAGCCTGGTACACCTTTCTTGTCACCTAACGTTTCCATGATGAAATACGGTAAAATTTGGTCAATGTTCTTTATTCGACCTGCTGTGAACGGATCACAAGTGTTATAGTAGGCGTAGAGTACGAGACCCATAAAGCCTGTGAGAAGAATGAAACCAGCAGTACCGATCAGATTGATCAAAAGTGCTTTTTGTGCTGCTTGAGTGGACCGAACGGACATATATCGTTGTACTTGCATTTGATTGAAACCATACAATACTAGTAAATTTAATGAACTACCAATAAAAATTGACCAGATCGTATGACGTGTTCGAGGATCGAGGCTCATACTAACAGAACTGATAAGATTCACAGTTCTCCTTCATCTTTACACTCACTTATCGAATTCTATTCTACTGCCTTGTTTGGCAATTAAAAATACGGATTCAATACCACCAACTCGAATCAAACCTCAAAGAGCGAATTGTTGACTATCGATCTGTAGAGCAACAAAACTTACCATGAGTGATGGCTATCACAATCCCTGTATACATAACTAGTGCTTGTAAAACATCCGTCCAAATAATGGCTTTTATTCCACCCTATACATTGAACAAGTCACATTTCAGATCGGATGTTCTATTTCTCTGTATACATACCATTGATGAATAAAAAACACAAACAACACTAATCGACACAACAGAAAGCCATTTATTCAATCCTGTGACTAGAAATCATTGCCAATAAATGGTCATGCTACATTAATTCGATAGTAGTATACTTTGACTTAGAGCTAACGATGGTGCGTAGAGTACGAGAGCCATGTACATAAACTAAAACATCCATAATAGGACGTGCATTTACAAAAAACAATCATACTCCACCATATATATCGTGAAAATGATAGACGCACACATCCGTACCGATTGATCAAAGCGTTTTTCTAAATACTAAGAAATACGCATTCGATTCTTTGTTCTTTTGCTCGTACACAAATCTCAAACCTCATAAATACTTGTAAATTTCATTTCACGAAACTTTGGCACAAAAACAACAGCTGTTATTACCGAGGCGATACAATATGCAGCAGCTAACAATTAAAAAACAAATGAATATGATCAGCAATATCGTCTAGAATTGCACCTTGATATAGAAACATTGTTCCTGACATGTAGATTTCGCTCGGTACACCCAATATAGTGATAGCAGAAAGAAATGAAACCATAATACTCAATGCCGTAGGCAATACATGCATCGTACCACTCGCTATGACAAAAAGCGAATAACAATTGTCTCAATATGAGTTTCTATCTACCTAGAAAGTATTCTTCTGCTGTCGTCTTTTTGAAACCAAAGATGATGCCAATGAAAGCTGATAGTAACAGTAATACCAATAAAACAGCATAGTCAACGATGCTGAGTGTCGGTAGCTTCATTTAATCAAAATATGAATGATACTCAATTGCTCTTACCTTGTAGAGAGGCGAACGAATGACTGTAAATAATTTAACGTACTCATCACAGCACGGAGAAAAAGTATCGTACGACGATTCTACTTATGAATAATGCAACGCACATGGTATTCTGAGTATGAGACAAGAGTATCAAATTAAACACGATAACACGCTTTGATGATTCAAATCATCAGAATATAAAGCAACGAATCAATGACGTCTAAATAAAAGTATGTTTTTGTAAACAGATTTTACGATCGACGACAAATGTGTTTGTAAGAAATATCCATACCAAAATGGCAGGTTTATTCGAATTCACACTGCACATATTGGCATAGATATGCCCCCGGTAAACACATTGCTTGATTGCCATTTACCAATCCTTTCCTTCCTAGTAACTAGTCGGGAGTCTGTCTTGGCAAGTTCGCAAGACAGATGGAAAGAATTGGCTCTTGCGTCATAACATAAATTCTATCTGCAATTGCTGCATTCCAAATATAAACAATTTTAATTGATTTCCAGATTCTGACATTGTGAAAGCTGAGTTATGTAAAGAATTTGAAGTTGTCAAGTAAAACTGATATAGTCGGAAGCTTTAGTTGAGATTGAAACTAAGTTACTTCGTGTAGACTCATCGTCGGTCAAGATTAAAGCTTTTGAAATCTTGACCAGGCTATATTTTCAGCCTTTGGTGGTTTTGGTACTTTCTCCTTTGGATGAGTGCCTGCGCTATAGATATAGACGCGTCTGTGCTCCGGATAAACCACAGAGTAAATCCGCTTTTTCAACCTAAGGCGATACTCCCATGCGTAGTATTGCTGCATGGTGAAATACTTCCCTTTTATATGAATAAAAGGTGTTCTGGAGACATGCTCGACATATTCACTCATCAAGTCGGACATTTCGACTTGGAGTTCGCGCAAGTTCTCATAAACGTCCATATCGCCGGTACCCACTTCAAAAAGTACCTCTGCTTCTTCTATACATCGTTGGGCGATTAGCTTTGAGAGAGAAAAATGTCTCTAGAAACTTACCTTTTTTTGAGTCTTTTTTCTTATCGCCTTTTTTCGCCATCGTGTTTCAAAAAATTCTCTCTTTTACATCGGTTTTTATAGGTAAAGTTCCTCTGCAATGATTCACTGGGAAATTTTATTTTCTGACTCATGAAAATGGCGTTGATTCATATTTTAAACCATGGCAACATCTGACTAGAAGAAAAAGGAGACTTTTTTCCAACACAAAGGTATTATAATTGGAAAGAAATATTTTTCGTCATGTATCATGCGTCATAAAGGCAAACAGAAACCGACAAAAAAAGCAAATTCATCATGTCGGATGACTACGTGTTACGGGCGAAAACATCATCGTCAGACACTCGTTGTGTGTGGATTATAATATCTTATCACGAAAAGCATGAAATAGAAAGGTTAAACTATGTGTTGAGAATGTTCACAACATCAGTAACGCTTGATTTTTTTATCCGATTGGACATCTCTGTACGCGTTGATTATATGTATCAGCCACATATAAATTATTTTCATTATCAAGTTTCAACGCATAGGGAACATTTACTAAGGTTGCGTTACTCCCAAATACTCCAGTTTTTCCAGCTACAGTAGTACCGTTTGCAGAGCCTACCTGGAAAAATTGTATACGATGATTGAAAGTGTCAGCTACATATAAATTTCCTAGAACATCGAATGCCAAACTACAAGGACTGTTTAATAATTTCGAGGATGTGCCAGCTGCTCCACCGATGTCATCAACAACAAGCGTCCATGTACTGGCACCTATGATCCATCGAACGACATTGTTAGAAATACGATTAGCAATAACAAGACTATTTGTTGCTAAATCTAAGTAGATACCAAATGGATCATTCAATTGTGTGTTATATAAAAATACAGTTATGGAAGACGTTGTAAATAGTGCAACCTATAGTTGACTCACCTGATCCAGCAATGATCGTCCCTGCAGACGATCCATTTAACCAAAGTCGAACACGACTGTTATACGGATCTGAAACGTATATGTTTCGTTTTGAATCAACAACAACACTACCGCAACTTTTGAAATAATTCAATGCTGATCCTGCGACTGTCGATCCGTTTGTAGCATTGAACAGGATAACTGAGATGATTGAATTCATTCTCATTCACGCCCGTAACACCGACTAGGGTAATAGCAACTATGTTCCACTGCACGACAAGAGTTGAAGTTGTTGTAACTAAAATTAGATATGGGCCGGATGTTTCGTATAAGAAAAAAAGCAAAAAAGAAACGACACTTTCATTATGACATGTGCTTAATGATTCTTCACAATTAAGTTGCCAATGAAGCTAAACACGTTGATTGTCAGAATCTCTCTATTCTCACCTGATGTACGTAGTAGAGGTGCTTGATGTGGTGGATGCTTTGGACTTGTTAGCCAAAATGAATGCGCTTGACGCGTACTGAACGTTGTTGTCGACGTTGCTATAGAGTACTCGATATATTATGTGGATCCGAAAGGATAGACCGTATTTACCTAGAGTTGTTGTATATTTATTATGTACAACAAATATTGGAATGCATCAGAATTAATATGACAGCAATTGTTCCAATAACAGTAAAGATACCAGTTAAAACTATACGCTGTTTAGTACTTGAAAATCATAAAGTATAGAAGTTCTTTTTTATTTATTTATAGATTTTCAACGTCATACTAACCGTTCGTTACGGGTGGAGAGAGTCCATGAGTTAGCGTATTTTGATATTACTCGGGTGTGAGTCATTATGATAACCTGAAGAAAAATGCGCGAAATTCATCAAAACAGTTTTGTTTGGGTAAAAGTGTATAGTTCAACAATCATAAAATAGTCTTACATTAAAATGCAAATGTAATAGATGTTTTCATTTGTCAAACTTACGCCAATGTTGGTTGCAGACGGTGCCTTGATGAACAGTAAAGAAGTTATGATATAAACTCATGATTTTTATATTGTTTACTTCTGTTTTTCTCATTTTATTTCAGGAAAACTTCAAATTCGAGTTTCTCAACCGATAGTTTTCATAAAGATCTCGTACTCGATACACCGCAGATGATTCAGTGCATCGATTTTCTCGAAGGTTTATATACCCATACAGCAGTCACATCATATACATCTATTTTGAATGTTATTTACATGAATGTAGGAATATATTCGCACAGAAATTCTCATCATTCTAACCAGGATCTTGTTGAATATACATGTATTTGACGGCACGTGAGTAATAATGCATGGTTTACCTATTTGTGTAGGAAAAAACTAATTTTTAATATTAGTTTCATCTACGGAAAACTTGAGAGAGTGGTTGTTCGAAGTGAAGAGTGTAATTAGAAAGATAGAAAACTATATCACGAACCATATTACCACAATTTAATGAGGCTCAGATCTACGAGAGAAAGCATTTATTACTAAGGAGATGAAAAAGTTATTTAACATGCACATTTTCTTATACGAGAGCGTACCGTTTGAGATAGATCTAGCCTTTCTACTATGAGTTTAATATGTATGTACTAAAGAAGAAACAGATGCAAGCTGACATCCTTCTCCAAATGCCATTAATTACGTAGTCACGGATATTCCCCATTATCGAGACGAAAACAAGCGATTATCTCGACTTAGTCAGATCAGATATCGTTCATCTTTTTCAATGAAAAACTTGAATTGAATGACAGAGACGTATAATCACGACATTTCTTCGACCTTTTTACGAAGTTGATCATGTTTAGACGAATCAAACTGTTTTACATAACGCAATCCAAACATATCCGATCAATATGTCACAAGTATCGAACCTCACAATATTATCATCATCTATTCCAACAAATTTATACAGATATGGCGGACCTATTTTAATGATTATGGGCACAATTGGTTCTATGCTCAGTTTAACCGTTTTCGCAAAAAAGAATCTACGTAAAAATCCTTGTTCAATCTACTTTATGGCATTTAACATCGCTAATTTGTTCTTAATTTACTTATCCTTATTCATCACAGTATTAGCACTTGGTTATAACATAAATCCTAGTTTGTACAATCGAACTTTTTGTCGTTTTCGTTTATATGCAGCGGCGCTATTTGACGTACTGAGTCCATCGTATCTAATCTTAGCATCAATTGATCGGCTATTGATTACTTCCCATTGTGTCCGAACACGGCATAGAAGTACGCCTCGTCTCGCTTATCTATGCATTCTTTCTGTGACTTTGTTTTGGTGTTTAATACATATTCATACATTGATTTTTACAGATATTATTGAACCAATGCCAAATGTTATTATTTGTTACTTTCAGCCTGGTATTCATTTGATGATTACCAGTTACTATTCAATAAGTATTAAAGGAATTCTTATACCTTTGCTGATGATTATTTTTGGGCTTTGGACGCACAGAAATATTCGAGCTACAAGGGTGCATCCGACCCATCCGAAAGATAGACAACTGATTCGACTGTTATTGACTGATGTAAGTGTTTACATCGTGTTTAGTTTGATGATATCGATCGTTCTTATGTATCAACATCTGTCGAGTCGATCGAGAACTGAAATAACTTTCACGAACATTCAAATGCAATTATTTCTTGTTAGTATTGCATTGTTCAACTCTTACATTCCATATTCCATTGTATTTTATACAAATCTATTAGTATCGAAATCTTTTCGACAAGAAGTCAGAAGTGTATTTAAATAAATGTGAATAAAGCCAGACAATGAACAAATATGCAATCAGTTTTTCATTGGTAAGATTATCGATGATAATTGGTCAGCTGCATATTTGAAATCTTCTTGTTTGAATTTAAGTAATTCCGAACCGAACGCGCCTTTGACTTCCATGATTTTCGCATAATCACCGCAGCAACCTTTGCAGAGAATCAATGGCCACGTGCAAGTCAGTATTAGAACCATCACGGCCATACATGAATTCATAGTCGTGTCTGTTGATTCTTTCATTACTTCGATATCACGCATAAAGATAGCAGTATCGATATGATGACCTTCACAGCAGCAACAACAAAAGGCTGGATCTTGATGTCGAACAATTATTCGCTTAGCCGTGAAAATGACATTGGATTTTGGTCCGCAACATGACGAACATCCTTCATTGCATTGGTACAATCGGATGAAATGTTCACCATCAAGTATCGAAAATGTATTTCGAGGAAGATTAGGTTCAGTTGGTTGTACTGTTACCGGCCTAATGAGATCCCATAGTTTTACAAATGAAACAGTTCAAAAATCGTACTCACATTTATGGAACCTATACGATCGCGTTTAGAAGCAAAACGTAGAATGAAGTAGTGAAGACGACTTTGAATAAAACTTCCACTCCGACCAAAACGACAAGGTGACAGTATGAATATTGCAATATTTTTAATGATAGAGTGAGTAGGGAAAACCGTCTCTTATTTTCCTTTTTTTTCACATTTTCTCTAATTGCTCGAATCTGTCCACTTCAATCTATTGTCATAAAAAATATCAAATAGGCTGTAATGGGTGATCATTTTTCTTTGAATGAAAGCGTATTTCAAAAAAAGTATGAATGTACTTGAATACGACGTGCTAAATTATATGTCTGCGTCATTGCTTCGTAGCTATTTTGAGCAGCGAGAAAAATCTTCAGAAAAGAATGTCCAATTTATGAAATGCGATGGGTTTCTTCCGAAGACAGTTTGTAAAAGTAATCCGATATTATACAACACGTTCTTGTTGATTTCTCAAGTTTGATCGGATTTTGACATGAAATATTCATTCAGATCAATAGATATTTTCAATGGGAGAATGATGCTCACTGTGCGAAGAATATGTATGAAATAAAGCGTATGACGAATGAAATTCGCTCCAATTAGCTATTCTCTATTGAGATATTCAGACACGGAAAGATACCGAATTGAGTTCGATGTATTTAGTCAGCATTCATTTTAGTTGGATAGAATGAATGAACACTGATAAAATTCAACTTTTCTATGTTGATTCTTTTCTTTTTCCAGTTAAACATTTTGTTTTATATCCGACGGAAGCTGAAATTGATACATAAAAATCTTTATTTGCATTTATCCTCGTTCTCATAGACATGAAAGATATTGTTTCGTATGTATTCGTACGTTTTTCATCGAAGCAAAGTCAGGTAGCAATATGATCATCTTAAGCTCGATTTACATATTAACAGTACTCGAAAATATGGATGAAGTAAGCAAAACGATATTGTCAGTTCCAGGATTAAAGAGGAGGTGGGTAGTAGTTTTATTGTCGCAACAGATATCTGATTACGATTTGAAAATCATGCATAAATGTGTCTGGATTGATATAAAAGAACGAGTATGATTTGCAAAATATAAGGAAAAAGGTTGTACATGAAGATGCCACCGGTAATATTCGTTGTTACATTTTTAATTATATCGGCAAGTGCATCTCACTACCGGTAGGAATATTGTATGACCAACTGATGTCATTGAATACTATCATTCTAGTGGGGGATCATTGTCGTGGAGCATCGATGAGCGAACAATTAACGAATCGTCATCTACAGTCGTTGTTCGTATTACACAACGACATTCATATCGCACGAATTATTCATCAAGTACATTTTGTAATAAAACTACAATTGCTAATGGAGGTCTAATCGGTGATGGTACTGTATCATGTCTTGGCAATTGCTCAGAGATTTTACCAGTTATTTACTCGATACCAGTATTCACTACGAATGTACCATGCACTGATTTCAGCGATGAGTTTGGTTATAGTAGTGGAGAAGGTAGTGTTGCCGTAGTCGTACCCAAGGATGTTCGATTCACCTATGTCTCACAAAGTTGCTGTTGGATATCTCTGTTACATGGTGGCAGCGGTTGGTCATTAGCTTTGGTTGTCGATACACACCGCCGTCGCAATGGAAAGTGAGTCTTCGAAAAAAAAGCAATCAACTTTGTCTTTCTTCGATCTTCGTAGATATAATAATTCACCGAAAACTTCATCAAGCCCAGTCGTTCAAGTACAAATAGGACAAACACACGTCATTCCTATTCCAATGGCGGACAGTGATGGTGATGCACTTCGATGCCGTTGGGGGAACACACCAGCAGAATGTGGTGGCATTTGTCATCCTAAGGGTACTCTTCAACCATTCCCTTGTCAACTGACATATGAAGCAACAGCTCTCGGTTATGAAGGTGTAGCATTGGTTATCGAAGATTATGATCGAATTACTAATGAGAGTTATTCATCTATTCCTCTTCAGTTTCTCATTCATATCGTTGACCGAATTCAAATAACTGTACCACCGACATTAAACTACACAGGTCCTCCAATTTTACCGGCATGTGCTGTGTCTCCAGTATACGTTGGTGATCGACATCATGGGGCTTGCATCGGTATAGCATCAAATGCTACAGCCACTGAGCGCGTTGTCTTTAAGGTTCCTTGTAATGATTCGAGTACTATCATTACAGATATTCTCACTGTTTCGCCACCTGGTATGACTAAAAGTCCCATTTCTATGGATTCGAATGATAATAATGCGTACATTATGTATGTTCAATGGACTCCTCGACCAGATCAGTATGGAATTCATCAACTATGTTTAACTCCGGTTGATTCTGCTGGCCAAACCGGTCAACAAGTATGTTATACATTTCAAGTGGATGTCGCTCCGCCCCAATTCGTTGCTGAATCAATAACACCTAAAGGGCTTGTTCCACGGAATCAAGCCATCTGGTCTATCTCAACTAATCAACATGTAGTACCACCAATCCAAAGAACACCATATATTCGATATTTCAAACGGCTTCTGAATGGCACAGATGAAGAAGTATTGCGTGTTAATACAACGACGAATGTCATCTATCAAACGACGCAGTTGATCATCAATACAAGTAATACTATTTGGGAAGACGTAAGCGTTCGTCTTGATTTCCCTTTCAAAATAATCATTTTCAACATATCTTTAGGGTGCCCATTATTATATTTTATTTGACAGTGGTATAGTTTCACTCAACCAATCATGTGGTATTGAATCAGCATCGATCATGGATAAGCATTTTTGGGAATTTTGGATTGAATCTGTAACCACTCCTATTGCTACTACCACTCCTATTGCTACTACCACTCCTATTGCTACTACCACTCCTATTGCTACTACTACTACTACTACTACCACTCCTATTTCTACTACTACTACTACCGCCCTGGTGACGACTACAAAACCAACGACCAGAGCAGTTGATTCAGACTATTATTGCCCTCGTTGGCTGTCATTCGGGACCGTAGTCAATCTTACAAGTAGCGCTCTAGAACCGAACTATACATTTTGTTTTACGGTTAACACAAGTTTTGCTGACGTGACCATCACGGCCAACACTTGGACTTCTTGTTCAACTTGGAAAATGTCCGGTACCGCTGATCCTCTTCTGGAATTATTCACGCCAGAAACAAGTATTGATTCACCGGTAGCTCAAAACGATGATGGCAATAGTATTTCTCATTTAAATTGTTATGCAGCTGTGCTCAGCTACCGTCTCACTAAAGGTAATCATCGTGTGGTTATTCGCCATCCTAAATGTGCATATGGTAATTTTGAATTACGTTTATCAAATGAAATAACCAATACTTTCAAATAAAGGATTCGATTTACAGTTTTTCTTCCATAACATTGATTCACAGACAAAATCAGTTCTAAGAGTGTCAACGGGAGCTTTTACCCATTTATATATTCATTTCAAATAAAATACCAATGAACAAAACTAACTCTGATTTAAATTTTGATATTTTTAAAACTAGTAGGAGAAAGTCCTTCATGATATTACTCAACTGTTTGCTATTTCGTTTCTCTTTCCTTTGTTAGTCATTTCACATAGCAATCAGCCGTGGAACTTGTAGCGGCAATCAATCCAGGAGAAATCAAATGAGAACTTCAAGTATATCTGGTCGAACAGCGTCCATTTGACTAGATGTTGAACGATTTATGAAAGATGTCAGTTGTATTCAGTGCTACTGGAATTATGAAATCTATATAGCGTTTCTTTCAGTTGTCTTAACCAACCGTGAACTATAAGAGAAAGGTTCTCAATTACCGTCTTACGATCGCGACGTTTGCATTTACGTTCTGGTTACTACTTCGTATATTCTATTGGCTGCAAGGCCGTGTTTTTATTGTATTATGTTTTCTATTCTTTATCGAATTCTTTCCAGTAAAGCATATAGCTTCATACTCTTCGTGGTATTCAAATGATAGTTTTTCACGTCTTAATAGAGTTTATTGATCAAAGCTAAGGCAGAAAATGACAAAAAAAAGGAAGTTCATTTCTTTCGGCAAAGTGTCGTTCCATCGCCAAGACGTAGAAAACTAATGTCAACACGTTGATCATCTCGAACGAATTCATTGAATTGTCGAATAGCAACGGTGTTTTCACTCGTGTCTGCGTCGTCTAGAACTGCTCCGTCCCATAACGTGTTATCGATTGCAATCAGACCATTCGAACGGACTAATTTCAATGATAATTCATAATAATTCTTATAATTTGTTTTGTCGGCGTCGATAAAAACGAAATCAAACGATCCGGGTCCGTTTTCTTCCAACAGTTTCTTCAAAGTTTCCACAGCAGGTCCAATTTTAACCGAAATTTTCTTGTCAACACCTGCTTTTTTCCATAAATCTCGGCGGATATATTGATCCGATATGTCACATGCGATTAATTCACCATCAGGCGGAAGTACCAATGCAATCGAAAGCGCTGTATAACCAGTAAATGATCCAACTTCAACTAGAAAGAAAATTTATTTCTTTAATATCGGATTAATATCACGAGAAATCTTACTGCAGCGTTTGCATCCAATGAGTTGAATAATAATCTGAAAGAATTGTGCTTCATCGAGAGCACCCAGCATTCGTGATAAATGACCTGAGGAAAATGAAATTCACGTTAAAATCCACTGTTTCGATATTCTTACCTGGTAACGACGTTGAATATTTAACTAATTCATCTTGTTCCGATCTTAAGCGAAGAGAATGTTCACCAATGTAGCGGTCGATTGGATCTTTCGATTCTTGTGTTTTGAGTCCAGCTGTATTGTTATGCTCGGTCATGTTCAGAAGAAGAATATGCTTAGTTTTCAATGAAAGAATACCGCGCTTTATATAGACAAGCGTATGTCGCTGATGACTCATCGTATGTCTAGTATAACAGAAGAAGAGAACGTTTTTTTCCTCGATAAAGACTGGCGAGAAGAAAAGAACATGTTATTTCTGTTCTTGCTGTTCTTTTTCGCACTCGTTACCGATAAAGTGCGTTAGGGTCAACATCAGAATATACTTCACTTTGAAACTTTAATTCTGATTTACAAGAAGACATGACAACACAAAGATTTTTATTACAATATCTACGGCCACGAATGCATTCGTATGCCAAGTTGACGCATCTTTCGAAACAACACATAAGAATCTTTTAAACTTTTTCCTGGCAGTCCCCAAGAAGGTATCATTTCACCAACGGTGACATGATGCTCAACACAGAGTTCATCAACCAACGAACTGATCTTCGGCTCCTTGAGAATCTGCTCGATTAATGCGTTCTCAACAGCTGGTGTGTCAATATCTATTTTAACAATCACATAATCATGCGTTTCGGCAATAGCTTGTAACATTGTCCATGGATTAAATTTACCGACTTCTCCAACGCCAACATTGATAAGAGTATAAATAGGAAAAACATCATCAGGTAATTGACTCCATGCGCTTTTTGCATCTAATGAAGAATGTTCAAAAGCTATGATGCGATCGAATTTCACATGAAAACGTTTGTGATATTCGTAGAACCATAGACTAGAAGCGCCGTTCGGATCACCTCCCCACGAACCAAAGTACGAACTACCTATATCAAACAGGAAAAGTTTAGGACGTCGTACGTCGAACGCATGCTGATAGGACCAAGGAAAGATATGTTCAGTAGGGGTAAATAAGGAATGGTTGTGAAAAGGAGCTGCAACTAATAGCAAAATAAAACGTTTAGATTGCATATTTGCATCGGCATAGAGACCAGCTGGAATTGATGTAGATTTGATAGGAGGACAAACAGTGAACGGATCACGTAATAATCCTATTAAAGGTTCGATGAGATATGAAATATCGCCAGTTCTCAATGAAACATTTGAATTAGAGTTTCGGCATTCCTCACGATAAAACATTCGAGAGAAAAGGTAGTCTACCGTCAGATCAGCATTTGCCGTTTTATTTCTTCCGAAACGCTGTAATTCGATTAATCGTTGCATCATTTGTACGCTTTTGTTGAAATGATCAGCATTCGATAATCTTCCACAAACATTTTTCTGAAATTCATCAATGTTGTTGTACCATATATCTTCCCAATAACTTGGAGTGTAATTTAAGAAGTATCTTTTACATGTCATTCTGGGCTCATCTATATAGTTCACTATCGAGTGTAATCTTGTGACGTAATGTGATACAATCAAGTTGAAGAATTTCGTACGTGCCATGGTGTACGATAAGCTAACCAATACGATGANTTTTGGTACTTTCTCCTTTGGATGAGTGCCTGCGCGATAGATATAGACGCGTCTGTGCTCCGGATAAACTACAGAGTAAATTCGTTTTTTCAACCTAAGGCGATACTCCCATGCGTAGTATTGCTGCATGGTGAAATACTTCCCTTTTATATGAATAAAAGGGGTTTTGGAGACATGCTCGACATATTCACTCATCAAGTCGGGCATTTCGACTTGGAGTTCGCGCAAGTGCTCGTAAACGTCCATATCGCCGGTACCCACTTCGAAAAGTACCTCTGCTTCTTCTATACATCGTTGGGGGATTAGCTTTGACAGAAAAAAATGTCTCTAGAAACTTACCTCTTTCTGAGTCCTTTTTCTTATCGCCTTTTTTTGCCATCGTGTTTCGAAAAATTCTCTCTTTTACATGGGTTTTTATAGGCAAAGATCCTCTGCAATGATTCACTGGGAAATTATATTTTATGACTCATGAAAATGGCGTTGATACATATTTTAAACCATGGCAACATCTGAGTAGAAGAAAAAAGAGATTTTTTTCCAACACAAAGGTATTGTAATTGGAAAGAAATATTTTTCGTCATATATCATGCGTCATAAAGGCAAACAGAAACCGACAAGAAAAGCAAATTCATCTTGTCGGATGACTACGTGTTAGGGCGAAAACAGCATCGTCAGACGCTCTTTGTATGTTGATTATAATATCTTATCACGAAAAGCATGAAATAGAAAGGTTAAACTATGTGTTGAGAATGTTCACAATATCAATAACATTTGGTCTTTTTTATCCGATCGGAAATCTCTGTACGTGTTGATTATATGTATCAGCTACGTATAAATTATTTTCATTATCAAGTTTCAACGCATAGGGAACATATAGTAAGGTTGCGTTATTTCCAAATACTCCAGTTCTTCCAGCTATAGTAGTACCGTTTGTAGAACCCATCTGGAAAAATTGTATACGATGATTGAAAGTGTCAACTACATATAAATTCCCTAGAGCATCGAATGTGAAACTACAAGGATTGTTTAATAATGTCGAGGATGTGCCTGCTGCTCCACCGATGTCATCAGCAACAAGCCTTCATGTACTGTGGTACCTATGATTCATCGAACGATATTGTTAGAAATACGATTAGCAATAACAAGACTATTTGTTGCTAAATCTAAGTAGATACCAACTGGGCCATTTAATTGTGTGTTATACAAAAATACAGTTATGGAAGACGTTGTAAATAGTGCAACCTATAGTTGACTCACCTGCTCCAGCAATGATCGTCCCTGTAGACGATCTATTTAACCAAAATCGAACACGATTGTTATACGGATCTGAAACATATATGTTTCCTTTTGAAGCAACAACAACAACAGCGTAACGATTAAAATAATGCAATACTGATCCTGCGACTGTCGATCCGTTTGTAGCATTGAACGGCCATTTTTTCACTCGGTTGTTACCCCATGTAGTAATGAATAATGAGTTTGATGAATCCAGAAATGTATCGTAAGGATAACTGAGATGATTGAATGCATTGTCATTCACGCCCGTAACACCGACTAGGGTAATAGCAACTATGTTCCATTGCACGACAAGAGTTGACGTTGTTGTAACTAAAATTACATATGGTCCAGATGTTTGGTATAAGAAAAAAAAAGCAAAAAAGAAACGACACTTTCATTAGGACATGTGCGTAATGATTCTTCACAATTAAGTTGCCAATGAACCTAAACACGTTGATTGTCAGAATCTCTCTATTCTCACCTGATGTAGTAGAGGTGCTTGATGTGGTGGATGTTCTGGACGTGCTAGCCGCAATGGATGTGCTTGTTACGCCGAAAGGGCTGAACGTTGTTGTCGACGTTGCTAGAGTGCTCGATATATTATGTGGATCTGAAAGGATAGATTGTATTTATCTAGAGTTGTTGTATATTTATTATGTACGACAACTATTGGTATGATCAGAATTAATATGACAGCAATTGCTCCAATAACAGTAATGATATCAGTTAAAACTATACGCCGTTTATTACTTGAAAATCGCAAAGTATAGAAGTTCTTTTTATTTATTTATAGATTTCCAACGTCATACTAACCGTTCGTTATGGGTAGAAGGAGCCCATGAGTTAGCGTATTTTGATACTACTTGGATGTGAGTCATTATTATACGATGAAAAATCGAATGATAATCTGAAGAAAAATACGCGAGATTGATCAAAACAGTTTTGTTTGAGAAAAAGTGTATATTTCATAACAATCATAAAACAGTCTTACATCAAAATACAAATGTAATAGATGTTTTCATTTGTCAAACTTACGCCAGTGTTAGTTGCAGATGGTACCTTGGTGAACAGTAAAGAAGTTATGGTAGAAACTGATGATTTTTATATCGTTTACTTCTGTTTTTCACTTTTTATTTCAGGAGACCTTCAAATTTGAGTATCTCAACCGATACACCGCAGATGATTCGGTGCATTGATTTTTTCGAAGGTTTCTAAACCCACACACAGCAGTAACATCATATACATCTATTTTGAATGTTATGTACACGAATGTAGGAATATATTCGCACAATAATTTTCATCATTCTAACCGAAATCTTGTTGAATATACATGTATTTGACGACGCGTGGGTACTAATGCATAGTTTATCTATCTGTATAGGAACAACTAATTTTGAATGCTATTTTTATCTACGGAAAACTTGAGAAAGTGGCTCCTTGAAGTGGAGAGTGTAATTAGAAAGATAGAAAAAAAATATCACGAACCATATTACTACAATTTAATGAAGTTCAGATCAACGAGAGAAAACATTTGTTGCTAAGGAGATGAAAAGTTATTTAACGTGCACATTTTTTTAATACGAGAGCGCACCGTTTGAAATAAATAGCCTTTCTACTATGAGTTTAATAGGTATACTAAAGAAGAATCAGATGCAAGCTGACATTCCTCTTTGAATGCCATTAATTACATCGTCACGGATATTCCTCATTATCGAGACGAAAAACAAGCGATTATCTCGACTTAGTCAGATATCTTTCATCCTTTTTAATGGATAACTTGAATTAAATGACAAAGATGTATAGGCACGACATTTCTTCGACTTTTTCTACGAAGTTGGTCACGCGTTTAGACAAAGCAAACTGTTCTCTATAACACAATTCAAACATATCCGATCAATATGTCACAAACATCAAACCTCACAGTATTATCATCATCTATTCCAACAAATCTATACAGACATGGCGGACCTATTTTAATGATTATGGGCACAATTGGTTCTATACTCAGCTTAATTGTTTTCACCAAAAAGAATCTACGTAAAAATCCTTGTTCAATCTACTTTACAGCATTTAACATCGCTAATATTTTCTTGATTTACTTGTCCTTATTCATCACAGTATTAGCACTTGGTTATAACATAAATCCTAGTTTGTACAATCGAACTTTTTGTCGTTTTCGTTTCTATGCAATGGTGCTATTTGACGTGCTGAATCCATCGTATTTAATCTTAGCATCAATCGATCGGTTATTGATTACTTCCCCTCGTGTCCGAATACGACATAGAAGCACGCCTCGTCTCGCGTATCTATGCATTCTTTCGGTGACTTTGTTTTGGTGTTTAATACATATTCATACATTGATTTTTACAGATATTATTGAACCAATGCCAAATCTTATTATTTGTTACCTTCAGCCTGGTATTCATTTGATGATTACCAGTTATTATTCAATAAGTATTAAAGGAATTCTTATACCTTTGTTAATGATTATTTTTGGACTTTGGACGCACAGAAATATTCGAACTACAAGGGTGCATCCGACTCATCCGAAAGATAGTCAACTAATTCGACTGTTATTAACTGATATAAGTGTTTACATCGTCTTTAGTTTGATGATATCGATCGTTCTTATGTATCAGTATCTGTCTAGTCGATCGAGAACTGAAATAACTTCCCCGAACATTCAAATGCAAGTATTTCTCGTTAGTATTGGATTGTTCAACTCTTACATTCCATTCTCCATTGTATTTTATACGAATTTATTAGTATCGAAATCCTTTCGACAAGAAGTGAGAAGTGTCTTTAAATAAATGTGAATAAAGCCAGATAATGAATAAATATATAATCAGTTTTTCATTGGTAAGATTATCGATGATAATTGGTCAGCTGCGTATTTGAGTTCTTCTTGTTTGAATTTAAGTAATTCCGAACCGAACGCGCCTTTGACTTCCATGATTTTCGCACGATCACCGCAGCAACCTTTGCAGAGAAGCAATGGCCATGTGCAAGTCAGTATCAGAACCGTCATGACCATACATGAATTCATAGTCGTGTCTGTTGATTCTTTCATTACTTCGATATCACGCATGAAGATAGCAGTATCGATATGATGACCTTCACAGCAGCAACAACAAATGACTGGATCTTGATGTCGAACAATTATTCGCTTAGCCGTGAAAATGACACTGGATTTTGGTCCGCAACATGACGAACATCCTTCATTGCATTGGTACAATCGGATGAAATGTTCACCATCAAGTATCGAAAATGTATTTCGAGAAAAATTAGGTTCAGTTGGTTGTACTGTTACTGGCCTAATGAAATCCGATAGTTTTTACAAATGAAACAGTTCAAAAATGGTACTCACATTTATTGAATCTATACGATCGTGTTTTATAGAAGAAAAATGTAGAATGAGGTAGTGAAGACGACTCTGAATAAAACTTCCACTCCGACCAAAATGACAGTGTGAATGTTGCACTATTTTTAATGATAGAGTGAATAGGGAATCCGTCTCTTATTTTCCTTTTTTCTCTAATTGATCGAATGTGTCCACTTCAAACCATTGTTATCTAAATTATCAAATAAACTGCAATGCTTGATGATTTTTCTTTGAATAAAAGCGTATTTTAAAAAAAGCATGAGTGTACTTGAATACGACGCGCTAAATTATATGTCTGCGTCATTGCTTCGTAGCTATTTTGAGCAGCGAGAAAAATCTTCAGACAACAATGTCCAATTTATGGAATGTGATGTGTTTCTTCCGCAGACAGTTTGCAAAAGTAATCCGATATTATACAATACGTTCTTGTTGATTTCTCAAGTTTCATCGGATTTTTCGCATGAAATATGCATTCAGATCAATAGATATTTACAATGGGAGAATAATACCCACTGTGCGAAGAATATGTATGAGATAAAGCGTATCACGAATGAAACTCGCTCCAATTAGCTATTCTCTATTGAGATATTCAGAAACGGAAAGATACCGAATTGAGTTCGATATAATTCCCTTTTCTGAAAGAAAGGGTTATACAGCGTTTAAATGCTGTGTTAAAAAGCTTAAAGTTTGTCTGTCTGTCTGTCTGTCTGTCTGTCTGTCTGTCTGTCCTATCCAATCAGAAATCAGCATTTCTAAAATCAATGAAATTGATCGATAGTTGTTAGAAAATGATTACCCCTAGGGTAATCGAGGTCGAGGAACTTGAANCGACAGGAAAGAAAGAGAAAAAGAAATACATATATATGTATATGTATAGAAATACAAGAAAACAACTATGTAGAAGGTAGCGTCATGAAGTAATATCCAATGACGCTAACAGTCTCACTAAAGGTAATCATCGTGTGGTTATTCGCCATCCTAAATGTGCATATGGTAATTTTGAATTACGTTTATCAAATGAAATAACCAATACTTTCAAATAAAGGATTCGATTTACAATTTTTCTTCCATAACATTGATTCACAGACAAAATCAGTTCTAAGAGTGTCAACGGGAGCTTTTACCCATTTATATATTCATTTCAAATAAAATACCAACGAACAAAACTAACTCTGATTTAAATTTTGATATTTTTAAAACTAGTAGGAGAAAGTCCTTCATGATATTACTCAACGGTTTGCTATTTCGTTTCTCTTTCCTTTGTTAGTCATTTGACATAGCAATTAGCCGTGGAACTTGTAGCGGTAATCAATCCAGGAGAAATCAAATGAGAACTCCAAGTATATCTGGGTCGAACAGCGTTCATTTGACTAGATTTTGAACGATTTATGAAAGATGTCAGTTGTATTCAGTGCTACTGGACTTATGAAATCTATATAGCGACTCTTTCAGTTGTCTTAACCAACAGCAAACTATAAGAGAAAGATTCTCAATTACCCTCTTACGATCGCGACGTTTACATTTACGTTCTGGTTACTACTTCATATGTTCTATTGGCTAGCCCGTGTTTTTGTTGTATTATATTTTCTATTCTTTATGGAAATTCTTTTCAGTAGAGCATAGTTTCATACTCTTTGTGATATTCAAATGATAGTTTTTCACGTTTTAATAGAGTTTATTGATCAAAGCTAAGGCAGAAAATGACAAAAAAAAGAAGTTCATTTCTTTCGGCAAAGTGTTGTTCCATCGCCAAGACGTAGAAAACTAATGTCAACACGTTGATCATCTCGAACGAATTCATTGAATTGTCGAATAGCAACGGTGTTTTCACTCGTGTCTGCCTTGTCAAGAACTGCTCCGTCCCATAACGTGTTATCAATTGCAATCAGACCATTCGAACGGACTAATTTCAATGATAATTCATAATAATTCTTATAATTTGTTTTGTCGGCATCGATAAAAACGAAATCAAACGACCCGGGCCCATTTTCTTCCAACAGTTTCTTCAAAGTTTCCACAGCAGGTCCAACTTTAACCGAAATTTTCTTGTCAACACCTGCTTTTTTCCATAAATCTCGTCGGATATATTGATCCGATATGTCACATGCGATTAATTCACCATCAGGCGGAAGTACCAATGCAATTGAAAGCGCTGTATAGCCAGTAAATGATCCAACTTCAACTAGAAAGAAAGTTTATTTCTTTACAATATCGGATTAACATCAAAAGAAATCTTACTGCAGCGTTTGCATCCGATGAGTTGAATAATAACCTGAAAGAATTGTGCTTCATCGAGAGCACCCAGCATTCGTGATAAATGACCTGAGGAAAATGAAATTTACGTTAAAATCCACTGCTTCGATATTCTTACCTGGTAACGACGTTGAATATTTAACTAATTCATCTTGTTCCGATCTTAAACGAAGAGAATGTTCACCAATGTAGCGATCGATTGGATCTTTCGATTCTTGTGTTTTGAGTCCAGCTGTATTGTTATGTTCGGTCATGTTCAGAAGAAGAATATGCTTAGTTTTCAATGGAAGAATACCGCGCTTTATATAGGCAAGCGTATATCGCTGATGACTCATTGTATGTCGAATATAACAGAAGAAGAGAACGTTTTTTTTCCTCGATAAAGATTGGCGAGAAGAAAAGAACATGTTATTTCTGTTCTTGCTGTTCTCCTTCGCACTCGTTACTGATAAAGTGCGTTAGGGTCAACGTCAGAATATACTTCACTTTGAAACATTAATTCTGATTTACAAGAAGACATCACACACAAAGATTTCCATTACAATATCTACGGCCACGAATGCATTCGTATGCCAAGTTGACGCATCTTTCGAAACAATACATAAGAATCTTTTAAACTTCTTCCTGGTAGTCCCCAGAAAGGTATCATTTCACCAATGGTAACATGATGCTCAACACAGAGTTCATCAATCAACGAACTGATCTTTGATTCCTTGAAAATCTGCTCGATTAATGCATTCTCAAGAGCTGGTGTGTCAATATCTATTTTAACAATCACATAATCATGCGTCTCAGCAATAGCTTGTAACATTGTCCATGGATTAAATTTACCGGCTTCTCCAACGCCAACATTGATGAGAGTATAAACAGGAAAAACATCATCAGGTAATTGACTCCATGCGCTTTTTGCATCTAATGAAGAATGTTCGAAAGCTATGATGCGATCGAATTTCACATGAAAACGTTTGTGATATTCGTAGAACCATAAACTGGAAGCACCGTTCGAGTTACCTCCCCACGAGCCGAAGTACGAACTACCTATATCAAACAGGAAAAGTTTAGGACGTCGTACGTCGAATGCATGCTGATAGGACCAAGGAAAGATATGTTCAGTAGGGGTAAATAAGGAATGGTTGTGAAAAGGAGCTGCAACTAATAGCAAAATAAAACGTTTAGATTGCATATTTGCATCGGCATAGAGACCAGCTGGAATTGATGTAGATTTGATAGGAGGACAAACAGTGAACGGATCACGTAATAATCCTATTAAAGGTTCGATGAGATATGAAATATCGCCAGTTCTCAATGAAACATTTGAATTAGAGTTTCGGCATTCCTCACGATAAAACATTCGAGAGAAAAGGTAGTCTACCGTCAGATCAGCATTTGCCGTTTTATTTCTTCCGAAACGCTGTAATTCGATTAATCGTTGCATCATTTGTACGCTTTTGTTGAAATGATCAGCATTCGATAATCTTCCACAAACATTTTTCTGAAATTCATCAATGTTGTTGTACCATATATCTTCCCAATAACTTGGAGTGTAATTTAAGAAGTATCTTTTACATGTCATTCTGGGCTCATCTATAGAGTTCACTATCGAGTGTAATCTTGTGACGTAGTGTGATACAATCAAGTTGAAGAATTTCGTACGTGCCATGGTGTACGATAAGCTAACCAATACGATGATACATAGAAGAGCCTTTAGCTGCACTTTCGACGTGAAATGATCAGAAACCATTTCTGACGAAATTATCTAAAACATACTCCTCATATAAAGCGATAGTTTTATGTTGTTCATTGCAAAAGAATCGATGATTGTTTCCGTATGTTTTTTTAAAGAAAATTCTATTTGTTCTGATCGATAGGGAAAAAGGAAAAGAAGCAAACACTTTTTCACGACATGTTGAGTGATGTTATTAGTCAAGGACGTCAATATGACATATGTGCGTGTTGGAATAGGTTTGAATGACAATCTGCGGCAAACATTCGACATATTCGAAAAATTGTTTTTCTTTGTACTATCAAACCCAAGTAATAGGAATAATATCACCGCGATCGATCTAATTTACACAAACGTACTGAGAAGAAATGAGAAGTCACCCTCATGTGAGTTGTACAATGCAATGATTTCGTTTAAATCCTTTTCTCTTTTCTTTTGGATAATACCAAAGCATTTATAGCGTGACAGTAATTCGAACGAAGCCACTTCTCTTTTATTTATCTTTAGTTTCCATTCTATCCAGCGATCTTGAGAATCATGCGAAGTTCTAGCACGTGACTGCGAAATCGTGATTAAAGCTATGTTTATAAAAAAAGAAGCATTCTAAGCGGTTTAACAAAGCAGATTTCTTAGCATAAAAGAGTTTTCTCTATAACCACTCAAACTAAAAGGTACGATGGTTCACATACACTGAGAAAACGATAAGTTTGTTTGATGAAGGTTCATATCCGTTATGACAAACGTAATAACTTCATTAATTCTTTTCGAAATACTCGACCACTCAGTGTGTAGAGATAAAACGTAATAGTGTTGTTTAAAAATAGGCTCAATACACACACATTGAAAATTGTGTTTTCAATTGACATCTGTAGAACAGATTTCGCGTTGTAAATAGTTACAATACAATAGATTTTATAAATGCTAATGGGAAACGCAGAGACCGCAAACACCGTCACCTACATGGAAAAGCAATGTTTTGACTTACATATTTATTGTTTTCGCTTACTTGAACGAGTAACATCGGAACTAATTGTACATCACGTTTTTGGATTAGCCGATTCGTTCTCGTCGAGAGAGGTGGAGCATTGCTGTGTATAACATGAACACGATGGCGAGAGCGACGAATATTTCGTACAGTTAATAATCCAAAAATGATCATCATGAACGTTGGTGCTAAAATTTCGAATAAGCACTGCATAAGACTATCCACAACTNCGATAATCTTCCACAAACATTTTTCTGAAATTCATCAATGTTGTTGTACCATATATCTTCCCAATAACTTGGAGTGTAATTTAAGAAGTATCTTTTACATGTCATTCTGGGCTCATCTATATAGTTCACTATCGAGTGTAATCTTGTGACGTAATGTGATACAATCAAGTTGAAGAATTTCGTACGTGCCATGGTGTACGATAAGCTAACCAATACGATGATACATAGAAGAGCCTTTAGCTGCACTTTCGCCGTGAAATAATCAGAAGCCATTTCTGAGGAAATTATCTAAAACATATTCCTTATATGAAGCGATAGTTTTATGTTGTTTGTTGCAAAAGAATCGATGATTGTCTCCGTATATTTGTTTTTAAAGAAAGTTCTGTTTGCTTTATATCAGTAACCATAGAAAATTGTCATTCATTACACCTTGTACGTAATTGTAACCTGCTATCGCATTTTTTTGTCAATGAAAACATGTTGATCATTTGTTCTGATTGGTAAGGAAAAAGGAAAAAAAGTAAACACTTTTCAAGACATGTTGAGTGATGCTTGTTTTAGTCAAGGGCGTCAATATCACATATGTACGTGCTGGAATAGGTTTGAATGACAATCTACGGCCAACATTCGATATATTCGTAAAATTTTTTCTTTGTAATATTGAATCTAAGTAATAGGGATAATATCACCGCGATCGATCTAATTTATACAAACGTGCTGAGCAGAAATGAGAAGTCACCCTCATGCGACATTTGTACAATGCGATGATTTTATCCAAATCCTTTTCACTTTTCCTTTGGATAATATCAAAGCATTTATAACGTGACAGCAATTAGAACGAAGCCATTTCTCTTTCATTTATCCTTAGTTGCTATTCTATCCAGTGATCTTGAGAATCATACGAAGTTTTAGCACGTGATTGCGAACTCGTGATTAAAGTTATGTTTATGAAAAGCGTTCTAAGCGGTTTAATAAAGCAGATTTCTTAGCATAAAAGAGTTTTTCCAACAACCATTCAAGCTAAGTGGCACGGTGATTCGCATGCACTTTGAAAAGGATAAGTTTGTTTGGTGAAGGCTCATATCCGTTATGACAAATGTAATAACTTCATTAATTCTTTTCGAAACACTCGACCACTCAGGGTGTAGAGATAAAACGTAATAGTGTTGTTTAAAAATAGGCTCAATACACACACATTGAAAATTGTGTTTTCAATTGACATCTGTAGAACAGATTTCGCGTTGTAAATAGTCACAATACAATAGATTTTATAAATGCTAATGGGAAACGCAGACACCGCAAACACCGTCACCTACACGGAAAAGTAATGTTTTCATTTACATATTTATTGTTTTCGCTTACTTGAACGAGTAACATCGGAACTAATTGTACATCACGTTTTTGGATTAGTCGATTCGTTCTCGTTGAAAGAGGTGGAGCATTGCTGTGTACGACATGAACACGATGACGGGAGCGACGAATATTTCGTACAGTTAATAATCCAAAAATAATCATCATGAACGTTGGTGCTAAAATTTCGAATAAGCACTGCATAAGACTATCCACAACTTGACAGGAAATATTTTGTTTTAATTGATAACATGATTGCGGGGCACCGAATAAGTTTTGGTGGATGTCAATACAATAGAATTGTTCGCCAAATGCAAGAATTCCAAATAGTAGAACACAGAGTATGGAGATATAAGCACGACTTTTTGACATCATCTCTCGTTTGTGTATGTTTCTCGATGAACGAAGGTACCGTTCGACACAAGCTAAACTAATAAACCATGCAGCTGTGTATCCTGCATAATAAGTTATGAAGAATCGTAATTTACAAAGAATACCCGAATATTGTGTTGGATCGACACCAAAACCGTTTAATAGACGAGGTAGAAGACCGACGAAAATAACAAATGAATCAAAAACAGTTGACATGAGAAAAAATATCGCACAGATATTATTGCGAAAGATATGTCGGACGAAAATTAGTATATTCAAGATGTTCCCGATGATACCCAAGAATAATAAAGGTACGGGAACATAACGATTGATCGCTTGATTTAATAGCACGAAGTTGATTGAAGACGTGTTTGCCATCTTATCTTCAAAGAAGAGAAAATCCAGATATAATGAACGTCAGTCTTGATTGTGCTTTCTAACAAATTATTCTTCATACGTCGAATATGTTAATTAAGTTAAAAGAGAAAGCAGTTTTTCCTCAAGTGACACTTCCGCAACATGCAAACAAGTTGATACAAGAAAGACTCCAACAAGTGAAAGCGAACGCTCTCTTTAACTCCGGAAGCTCAGGAACACAGTTTAACAATTCTTCTCTTTTTATCTGTTGATAATAATCGTTTTAAAAACTTATAGCTATCGATTGTTAGCCATACGCACCACTATATAAACGGTAGTGCTCGAGATCATCAAGCCATAAAAATTGAGTAAATCATCGAAGTATGAGAATAAATCGTCAACTTGTGATGATTCATCGACAGGATTTGTTGAAAATTCAAAACAAGATGAAATTTTGTACAAACTTTGAAGTTAATTTGATTATCTATTGGTATAGTTGTACACAAATGAGAGCTTTCGAGCAACATCGCTCATTATCAATTAGAAGTTGATGATTGATGTGAAATTCTAATACTGGGTTTTAGACGCGAATTCTTTGATGAGAAGTCGATGGGATCGGTTATTTTTTCCAAAATTCTAATTTGTTGAAAGTTTTTTTTGCATGACTGGTGGGCTTGACATGCTTTCCTAATGCTGAATTGCATTTGCAGACGATTAAATTCGCTTCGAGTGGCCTAATTTTGAATTAAAATGATGCAATAATTATTGAACATATGCGTTTGTTTTCGTAGCATCGGCTACACGCTCTTTTATGTGTTAATGTGCTTGGCGTATGATCTTTCCAATATATTTTTTGTTACAAGTGCTGCAAGATATTTCACAAACTACTCGTGGCATTTGCTCCGCATTTAAAGCATCTTTTGTTGGGAAATAGGGTTTCGTGTATCCATAACTGACTTTCCCTATATGTGATATTTCGAAGTATTTGTACCTTATGTTCATGATTGGTTTACTCTGATTTTAAGTTTTTTTTCATTGTATATTGATTATTTTTTCGACAAATTGAGGCGGATAATTATTGAAGCTGGCCATGAGTTGGATATACTGTAGTTCATCATTTAAGAAATCTGGTGTTGAACATTTACGGTGTGCTCTGTTAACATATACATTGATGGGTGCTGTTTTATATACTTTTCGTAAAAGACAATCTCGTTTTTTCCTGCATACAGTTGTATCAAAATCATCATTCTCTCGTCGATCCAATACATCAAGAAATGGCATACTACAATTGGTCTCGGCTTCTGCTGTAAACTTAATGCATTGATGAAGCGTGTTCAATAACTGTCGAATTTCGTCTTCCTTTACATCGTGTTTGAAAATTGTAAACGTGTCGTCGACATATCGATGCCAGACAAGTAATTTTGTATTATTACCGTTCAGTAAAATGGACGGATGCTTCTCCTCAAAGTTCTCCATGAATATTTCAGCAAAAAGCACTGCCGTTGGCGTACCCATGGAGACACCATCACGTTGATCATAGAATTTTTTATTAAATAAGAAATGAGTACCAATGCTAGCGAGAAATTTACCGATACGATAGTTATCTGACTGTGTGCATGATACTATTGGACGCCGAGGTATATTAGCCTTGCGAGTTTTTGGTGGAGCATATAACTTTGCTGGAACCCAAACTAGAGGTTTAATGTGTCTATATTCTTGTTGTGTTAAATATTCTTCTTTTCTCATTTCCCGTAAAAGATTCGTTGATTGTATTCTCTCGGGAAGTGATCGAATCATGATCTAATAATTTGAATTTTGAAACATCACTTAAAATATCTTTTATCTTTTTAATATAATCATGACGATTACGTATTACAACATCACGACATTTATCGGGCCTAATAACTACGATTGATGGATCTTTCGATAATCGTATTCGTATTTTGCAATCATTCGTATCAGATGGTTTTTGTGCATCATGAAAGAACTTTCCAGTTGCGTTCTTTAGATCTGCTGCAATAGATAGTTGTCTTGGTTCTAAAACACGAACTTCCTTGTTTGCATTATTGTCAGGATTTTTGCCCCATTTTTTCAAATCAATTGATTCTTTCTCAACTCTACAAATATTATGAAATAAATATTCAATATTTGAGATTAATTTAGAACGATTAATGGAACTAATCCAGTTGTGATTCCTCACTATTGGTCGTAGTTGAATTAACTAAGTCAGTATCAAACACATCATGTTTACTGTATACGGCTGCCATCTGATCAAACCTAAAATGGGGTACAGTATTATGCGCTATGGAATACGTTAACGGGGTACACAGTTTTTTCATGATAAACAATAGAACTGACATCAATAAATGCATTTCATAAAATAATTTCTCGCAAAAAGTGTTTTTGACTATTTTCCTCTGTTCTTAAATTATTCTACGGACTCTAGTTTCTATATTCGAAACGATTGTTCTCAGAATACATATTTTTTTCACTATGTATTCGCTCAGAAAAATAGAAATATTTTCTTAAAGTCAAGAACATAGTCAGAAATTCGTTTGCGGAAATCGACTACAGGAATGTTTTGACAGTCGAAAAATATTAGAGACATCGATAACTTTTTGAAAAGTTGAAAGGTATTCGAGCAGTTTTAGGACATTTTTTTGCAATGATTACACGATTTTCCAATCTTTTGTTTTTTTTTAATTCTGCGAAAAAGTGCTAGAAGATTCCTATAAACTTTTCGACAACTCGGAGAATAATTCCGAGATTTTCACGTCAAGTATTATTGCTCTGTACTGGTTTTGAAAAGTTCAGTATTTCGATTTGAATGAAGATCAATCCCTCTGATCTTCTCACAAAAAGCTTCTACTTAAAGTATATTTCCTCTAGTTGCATTAACTAATAAACATATTTTGCACAGTAATAATTCTAATTGCTCTTGGAGCCAGACTACCTTACTTACTTATATGTCGATGTGAAACTATTATCATGATGCTAGCTTCACATCGATTGTATGTATTCAATGACGTCAGTTGTTATTTTGCAAGTAATGCTTATTTACCTAAATCAACCAAGCGTGCTATATAATACATGGCTTGATAAGATGCATATATATTTCTATATATGAATATTTTTCGTATACAACGTTTTCGTCGAGCAATACCATAACTGACATAGGTTTTAGAGGAAATATTAGTGTAACGACAAACTGGTTGGGTAGCTGACCGCTTCTCACGGTATCGATGTTTATTGACTACTCTACATGACCAGAATGTATCTCTTTCACAATAAGACACGCACTTATTTAGAGAAGAGGAAAGAGAGATATGACCTGGAGATAGTATGATATAGAGGTGAGAGAATAAAGAACAGAAAGAGATGAACGATATCATTATCGTTACAAATGGCAGTCCTGGTCTATTGTTCCTTTTTTGCTGTTGTATATTACTGTGTGTAACTAAATTATGAAATTTTCTTTTACATGAATTGAATTTTGCTCTATGTTCGTCGAATCGAATTTCATCAATAATTTCGGTAACTTTAGAAGTTAATTCAGGCGAAACAATATTCACCAATTCATTGTAAAAGCTATTGCATTTCACTGAGATATGTTTCAAATGAATTTACTTTAGCTTAATTTCTTGACATAAGAGAATGCGTTAACATTTTTTATACGCCTTATTACGAGCTAACGTTGGATTGTCAACTTTAAATTGAACAAATCCTGGCATTAAATCATACCATTTACATACATACACAAAATCTAAATCATATGAGAAAACAAGACATTAAACTGCTACTTTCTCTAAAGATCGATGTATTTTGTATGCACTAACGTTATAATTCCTCTTCATGAATCGAAATCTTGTTTCATATGATAAAAAATTCACATCCGTTACAGACCTATTGACTCCAATGTTAGTGGTATCCGAATTCATTTCATACCACGATAAATCAAATTTATTGAACAAGTAAGCTAAAACACAATAAAATCCTTCTAATAAACAACAAACTAACTTCCACCAATTCCATATTGAAAAGCAACACACCTACAATATCCTAAGAAAAAATCAGCAAATTCAAACATTAATTTGAAATACACTAAAATACACATATCACTTAGGCAGCCAAAACTAGTCAGCGATCTAAAGTGAAAACCGAAAAGTAAAAACTAAAACCGAACCTACCACTCAAAAAACAAGAGTATTTTCAAATAAAAATCACATTCCTTCAGCAATACAATACAATTCATGTAAACAATCAGATTCACAACAGCTAAAAAACAACCAATCACTACAGAAAAAATAATATTCATTTAACTTATAGCCTCCATGAAAAAAACATTTCCCAATAAACACGCATCCACCGGAAACGAATTGACAATACCAAAAAAAAGCAATCCATCAATGCATCACATATAACAGAACAAAAAAACACCATTATCGCATCATACATAAACAATATTATAGATACCAATAATCAGTGTGAAGCTAGCACGAACAGACGATATGTTAGCTAGAAACGTTTTCACTAAATAAGTCCCGCCTGTGAAAACTACACCGTTCGACTCATAATTTAATTCTGCATCGAATCATGGTACTTTTATTCACGGGAGAAACCTTTGAAAAATTCTATTTGGATTATAATCAGACCTATGGAAAGCAAACAAAGATCTAGGTAAAATTTTTCCAAAGTTTGTCCGGTGAATAAAAGTACCACCATTCGGCTCAGAATTTAATTCTGCATTGAATGGAGTAGTTTTCATGGACCGGACATACTTAGTAAAAACGTTTTTAGCTAACACATCGTTTGTTCGTGCTAGCGCCTTCGTGCTAGCTTCAGACCGATTCTCCTTATCAACATTTGGTAATCGAAAATCAACAGGTGGATCAGGAACTTTGAATTTAATAATTGATCGAGCCGTTCCTGTAGCAGTTCGTTTGTTTAGTTTCATCATTTCAATGGAGCTAATATTCAGTATTTGCATTGCATTCGCCATGTCGTTGTTGTTGTTGTGTGGAACAGCAATACGATGATCAACGCATGTGAGCATATCATTCAGAGTATGTTGGACGATCTCGTTATGTTCTGCTGATGCTAGACACATGGATATGAATTATAAAAGAAACGTTTGCTTTATCAACTTACGCATCCAGGTTGTTTCTAAACGAGCAACTCGAGCTTGTAGATCCACACATAATCTTTTCAAGTGTGGAATATCGATTTGATTTTCTCCATCAGTTTCGGAACCGCAGACATCATCGACAGATCGCTTTCGACTGGTAAGAGATTTTAAATCTAAGATCAAACAAAATGGTGTGTTCTTTTCGACAATGAATGAAATCACACTTTTGAAAATATTACCTGTTGTGTTCGAATACGTTCGATATGATTCAGACTCCATTTTGATATTACAAATATCCTTCAAAGCCGAACTCGTATTTGCTACAGATTTTTCTTTGTCATCTGACGAAGGTAAGCATTGATTTGCATTTGATTGATTTTCCATTGAAATCGACGAACTTTCATCTTATGTAAAATCTAAAGCTATGTATAGAACAAACAAAGGAAACGAAGATTGCACAGCCTACCACTTCGATCAATATCTTCTTGTTTTTTCTCGTATCGCTTGTTCGATAAGTTTTCTTTGAAGGCATGGGAAATATTGAAACAGCGAAATAAAAATCTAAAATATATTTTCCCAGAATTACTTGATCAGATTTCGATAGACTATTATCGATCCATAGATTAGGAATTTGAAGTTTACTCTTCTATTCATTTAACGTCATATCTGTTTCCATTACATATAACTAAAATGGAATGGACATATTCCGGTAAGCTATTCGATGTAGATAAAACGAATATATCCAAAGATAATACCGTGTGATGCAGAACGAGGATTAGTCTGGTCAAAACTATCGGGGATTGGCGTAATAGTTAAAAGTGAGGGTCTATGACAGGGTTACCAACTGTACCCCATTTGGGGGTACAGCACCCCATTTCGCTATTTTGCACCCCAAGAAAATTTGTACCTATGGGGTACGCATTTTGTACCCCATTTCGACATTCTCCTATACACTCTTATACACAATACGTATAGCATCTTTTTATTAAAAACTAGAACAGATTTTTTGCTACAACTTCTATCCTGAATTTCGCGGAGAAGATAAATGTACAACCACGTCGTCAAAATCGCCTAAAAGTTCACAAATTTATCGTGGAATTTGGTTCAATTCTTAAAGAGATGATTTCGCAAGTTATTTCCAGGATCGACAATTTTCTGGAACTCTTTCAACAAGGTGGTAACAATTAACCGATCATATCACTTTAGTTAAACAAACTGAGCGTATTAAACTATTCTGTCTCAGCAGTTAAAAAAGAGTCGAT